GCAGACTTTTTCCAAACTATTTGGCAGTCCTTTATTTATACACTGAATTGACGACGGATTTTGCTGTTATTTCCCGATCATGACAAGGAGCACACGGCGTGTGTGACCGGTCGGCAGGGGATGCTCACTCCTCCATAACATCTGATCCCATCTCTGATGTTTTGGAGATCCGTGATTACTCTGCTCCTATTTTGTATTGCTTTATGGACTTTGATATTGAATACTGTAGTGTTTGTTATCTCCATACCCTTCAATCTCGATCCAACCTGAAACCCAAGCAGTCCAAAAAAGCAGTCCCGAGAAGTGATATAGTTTATGAAGAGATGGGTTAAAACGATAGGTGAAGCACCAGTAATTCTTGGGGCGTTGAAGAATTTGATCACGTGACTGATTTCATGTCATCGCCCCAATGAAACTCTAAAAATGATATCTTATTTCTTAAATAACACAAACATATTTCTTTCAAAAGTCCTGCTCAATGAGGGGCTTCTTTCACTAAAGAAATATGTTTGCTATCAGTTTATTGTTTAAGAGGAGCCGCGTACCTTGGTGGAAAGTGCAAAAATGCAAAGTTCACTACATTTCTTAAAAGTTTTAAAAATGCAACTTTACAGTTCACTACATTTCTTAAAAGTTTTAAAATTGTATTTAGTTTTATTGTTTCTGGGGACATTTTCAAGAGTTCATTTTTAAAAAAAATTTATACAGTTAAAATTTCTAATAAATTTTACTTCCATTGTAAGATATATTTAAAAAAGACCACTGTAATTCTGTGTGGGAGAAAATTTGTTTGTAGCATGTATCTTACATGTACGCTTTTGGTGGCTTTGGGTTTACTCTAGAACTGCTTCTGGACTGCATTAATTGGGTCTACTCTGGAATTCTTCCAAAAGGCACAGTTGGCGGATCCAGCACTCCCTGGGAAAGTCTTGTGGGAATACTTTGTTTAACCATAAGGGGAAAAAGGTTTGACTGACGAATTTTTTTTATCAGGATAGTATGATATTCTTCCGTCAATTAATCAATGCTTTTTTTTTTAATAAAATGTTCAACAATTTATTAAACCAATACATTTATTTAAATATTAATAAAAATGATAAAATGAAAAATTAAATGATTTTTTTTTTCAGAGAATGTGAACAAAAACTGAGTAAAACTTGTTTTAATTATTTATATATTTTTGGAGTACCTTCCGATAAAAGAATACAAGATACTTTAGTTTATTGTATTTTAATGTTTCTAGTTTTAATAAAGCTGTAGAAATGACAAGAATTTAGTTAAAAATCTTCATAATTTAGGTTTAAAATAAAATAATTAAGGTTGTTCTCTAAATTATTACAATGTTTTTTTTTCCTTGTCGTTTAATAAGTATATTAATAATAAATTATTAGATTCGTCATGAACAAATAAACCTTTAACTTTTAAATCTTTTCATAAAATCCACGTAAAATCACTTAAACGCTAAGACATACATCAATTTACTAAAGGATGTCATAAACATTGATTACAAGCGAAGTAGCAATTTTATGTCTGGAACGAACTAGGAGCAGGGCTTTCGGTATGCCTATATATCCGACGAACAATTGCTTAAAGAACAGTTTATCTCTTAAGATGAATAAAATGAGTTTTTGTTAAAATTGAAGCTGTCTTCAACCTGAACAAGGGAAAATCAAAACATTTTTGAACTGGCGATATCAATTAATTATATGATATTTATTCCACATTATGATATGATCATCAGAATAAATTTGTTAATGATTAAAATAAAAAATTTTTTGAAGCAATGGTATTTTAAATTACTTTTTTAACGTGTAAATTAACTTTTCGGACCTTGTATAAATTGTTGTCAAAACTTTTCATATATTTCGGCAAATGTGATAAATTATATAAAAATTCCGCAAAATTATTCCTATAATCCCACCTGAGAAAGCAAAATTAAAAATTAAGTCAGAAAATTTAAACAATGTTTACAGCATAAAATTCCTTAATTGACATTGACACTTATTCTTTCATCTTTAATTCTATTATATACATACTGCTAAAATGTCACCATTCGCTCAATAATTGTTTGATACTTGATTTCTATATACCTTTTGTTAATCCTTTTATTTTACTCGCTCTTTGTTCAGTATGTTTGATTTGTTGTTGAAAATGATAGTCAGTTGGAAAGACCTTCGGTGCTTATAGTTCCCAAACTCATAAGAAGTTTATTCCATGCTGATTCTATATAAAAGTACAATATTTGTAACTCGTGTTTTTGTCTTGAGGTTTTAAGAGAAGCTGGGTTCAACAATAAGAGGAAAGCTCACGGTTGAACCAGAATTAGTATTGACGAACTAAACGTTCCCGTAAAACTTGGTGCAAGAGAATCCTAAGGGTAAAAATATGTAACCCGGGACTGCTACATATACTTTGTAGTAGTCAGATCCTGGACCTCTACAAGAGCTACACAGCTAGTTTTCCCCAGATTTTGACAGATGAAGCTGACGTTATTAGGACCAGCAATGGATTTTCTCTCTTATTCTTTTGCCGACCGCAGTGGAGACAGAGAAAGTTCAACTTTCCTTCATGCCAGCATCCAGTGTGCGGAAGGTGCGGAAACGTGCATCCTAACGTTTTATGTTTTGCGTTAAGCCAGAAGTGTTACCAATGTCACAGAATTGGACATTATTCGAGGATGTGTTTTACACAGATTAAAAAAGCAGCGCCAAAACCCGAACACAAAGAACCAGTAATTCCACGCAAAAGGAAAGCGCGAGACATGAAACGACTGAGCAAGTATCTCGAAAACAAACGAATTCTGCGAGAATTACCATTTAATTCCGTTAGAGACAGCCAGTTTCGATTATATTGCGACACATCGTCTACTTTACGAACTGAGCTGAAAAATGTTAAAATCCAACTATGCATGTCAAATAAAGAGAAGAAAAATATGGCGATCAAATTATCAAAAGCGCAATGTGAAATCGAAAAACTTGAAAATCAAAATATGGCTATGAAAAAGGAGATGCAAGAACAATCAAGGAATTCTAATGATAACATACTTCGTGAGAAATTTCGAAAACTGAAAGAAGACGCCCATGGTGATAAAGTGATTATGAACTTAATGCAGAGGAAATTAAACGAGATCGGAAAAGAACATAACCAGTATGTAATGAAAATTCTGAAAAAATGAAGGTGAGAAAACGAGCAAAGAGTTTAGGAATGAATTAAAACAAGGCCTTGCTGCAGACCATCGAAACATTGCAGGATGACAGAGATCACATAGAATCGGTCCTTTTAGAAAATCAAAGCCGTTGTCAATCCCGGAGATGTCAAGGATCCGGAAGACCAAGAAGAGGCCGGTTTTATTGAGAGAGAAAAAAATCAAAACACGAGGACGTGTTTTACGCGAAGGCGGAGCAAGTGTTACGATGTAAAATACAACATTTTTTGAACTTATTTTAAATTACTGTGTAAATTAATTTTCGGACCTTGTATAAATTGTTGTCAAAACTTTTCATATATTTCGGCAAATGTGATAAATTATATAAATTCCGCACAGCCTTAATCCCACCTGAGGCATAGTCAGAGAAATAAAACATCACAGCTAATTCCTTAATTGACATTGACACTTAATTCTTTCATCTTTAATTCTATTATATACATACTGCTAAAATGTCACCATTCGCTTATCAATAATTGTTTGATACTTGATTTCTATATACCTTTTGTTAATCCTTTTATTTTACTCGCTCTTTGTTCAGTATGTTTGATTTGTTGTTGAAAATGATAGTCAGTTGGAATCAGACCTTCGGTGCTGATAGTTCCCCTAGTTTAAAAATCATAAGAAGTTTATTCCATGCTGATTCTATATAAAAGTACAATATTTGTAACTCGTGTTTTTGTCTTGAGGTTTTAAGAGAAGCTGGGTTCAACAATAAGAGGAAAGCTCACGGTTGAACCAGAATTAGTATTGACGAACTAAACGTTCCCGTAAAAAATTATAAGACAAGGATTATTCAAAAAAAAAAAAAAAATGTCCTTTTCGTAAGCAATGGTATGATCCTGTAGCGAAAACTAAAAGAGAAACATTTTTTAACGTGTGTTCTAATCTAATTTCGGAGACAAATATTCTTAGAGAGCCAACCGTCGATCAAACTTCAAGTTCATTCATTCTTGTTGCATGACGTAGATTATATAATTTGTGAAACGTATACTTTTGCTCTTGTTTTTTTTATGATATCCGACTTTAATTGAATTGAAAGTTAAATGAAAAATTAATGAAAATTTTTCATGGCAAAATTATTCATTCAAATCAAAGTACTAGTAAATTAAATCTTAGAAAGTGTCGAGTGAAATTAAAAATTGAGTTTCTTTTCATTCAAAATTTAAACAGTGTTTACTAGCATACAATTATAAAATAAGTGATATATTATATCATACGATGATATCACTTGCATTTTACGCTGTGTATTATATGACAATCGAGGTTATCGGTGTAATAGAGAATCTAGAGAATGGGTATAAAAAAAATAACTAAGAAAATATTCATATCAATTAAATAGATAACAGTAAATAGAGAAAATTATAAACAACTTGGTGTTTAATTAAAGACACTTATTGCCCCAAAGGATCCAAGGATTTCAAAGGCTAAAATATGTACCGACATATTTTACAAAGCTATATTTTTATTCTGCCTCTTAAATCAGTTCATCAAGTGCTATTATTATTCGTAAATAAGTTAATTGATAAATATAAATTAAAATTGATTAAGTCAATTAACATTTGGTTTTTCTCTCTTTTTTCAAAGGTCGTCTGATAAATTAAATTATGATCCAGAAGTTGTAAATTTTCTTTATGATTGACAGGGGAATACAGACCAGGTAAATCTGAGGGCGATCCCGTGTTTGTTGTGCTCCAAATACGTATCGTTTTAAGGGATTTTTGAGCTTGGTCTCTGTCCAATATTTTCATGTTTTAATATTGTAATAAGAAAAATTAATTTGAAAACAAAACGGTTTACATTTTTAAAAAAATTTATATGTTCATTTAAATAATATATATACATGTATACCGTAAATCACTTTTAAAAATCACAGCTTTTTTGAAATATTGTCCTTCGTTTTCTTTTTAGTGAACTTTTTTATTCCTGTGAGACCACGATGGTTTCCTTTTTTCAATGAAAGCCTTTATTCCTTCTTGTCCGTCTTCCAGCGACAGATTCTCCACCATCACCGCCGATGTCAACCTAAATAATAAAAAAATATCCCCGCTTACCTACAGAATGAAATAAAATATCACCGCTTATCTAGAAATGAACTAAAAAATCACGGCTAATAAAATATCACCGCCGATCTACAGAATGAAGTAGAATATCACCCCTAATACAGTGTCCCCGTTTATCTATCCCCGCTTATCTACAGAATGAAATACATGTATATACAATATCACAACTTATCTACAGAATGAAATTAAATATCACCGGTAACACAATATCACCGCTTTTCTACAGAATGAAATAAAATATCACCGCTAATACAATATCACCGCTTATCAACCGCTTAAATCTAAATAATGAAATAAAATATCACCATTTATCTACAGAATGAAATAAAATATCACCGCTTAAGGTAGGACAAAACACCCGTGGATTCTATTTTAACCCATTTCTTAAAAAGTACTGGAGAAAAATAGTAAGTTTTGGCATGTTTGTGTCATATTTTGTGAAAAAACCAGAGAATCCTATTTATTGGTAACTTGGGGGCTTACATTTTGGAATGTGTTTACGCTATTTAAGTGCAATAAACAAGCAATTAACAGTCTGTTATAAAATGCAGTGTAACTTTTGTTCCGTAAATAGTATAGGGCTGATATTTGGACACATATTTAAGAAGTCTCCATTCTTCATGAACTATAAAGGTCAAAGTCATATCAAGAGGTCAAAGGTCAATATTGTGACGTCATCTACTGAATCTTTTAGTTTTTTGCCATTGATTTTTTTTTAATCGCCAAAATATCTGAAACCACTGGTTCAGTTTTCTTTATTTTTACACATTTTATTCTAGGACCCCTTTGAATCATTCTGTTGACTTTTTTGTAAAAATTGAATTATACATTTTCTCTTAAGTAAACTTAAACTGTCGGAAATTAACATGTGAATTTTCAATTACAACGCTACGTATATTCTATTTTTACTTAATATTTTACTCAAATTTTCCAGTATCAAAATGACTTACAGTAAGTTACTGATTTAAAGTAACAAAAAGGTTATCTTTATTAAAAGTATTACACAGATTTGCAATAGAGCAATTGATAATTCTAAAATAAGACTCAAACTCAAGTCTAGTGTCTGATTTCACAATCTTCTTACGGGGGTCTCATAGGCCATATTTCAGACTATGTGGGCAAAAAAATGTGTGGTTGAATTTTTTTCATATCATATATGAAGAGAGATTTTGTATCCTAGAACAAAATATCAAAGTTTCAGAAAATTTGAATTTGAGGAAAAATTTGGCCTATCTATTGTGTCCTACCTTAATTCCAAATGAAATAAATATCACTGCATATTTACAAAATGATAAATTCCACCGCAAATCTTGCCACAATAAGAGTCTGAACCAAGGATCATTATTCTATTTATGACCGGTCGTTGCAAGATTAATTTTTAAGTGATACTTTTCTCTTCTTTTAGTAGAAGCTCCAACAAGTGTGTCGTCAGGGACTTAATTTTGTTTTTGTTTTATAAGTGACAGTTGACAGAAATTTATTTTAGGATATGCAGGGTTGACGGTCGACAGTTGACAGACAAGTATTTTAGTATAACTGTATATGCAGGTATGACGGTTGACAGGTCGACAGTTGACAGAAATATTTAGTATATAGTATAACTGTATATGTAGGGTTGACGGTTGATGTACTTGTCATCTTTAGAAGACATTACACTCTGCGACGTGCTTGTCAAAACATATAACGTTCATACAATACTATAAAACAATACAAAATTCATCTAGTTAACTTTATACTGAATTCATTGTAAAACTAAAAAGGCTATTCATCCAGTAAGTATGTATTTTACAGATCAGCAACTATAAATTACGACTAAGAGAGTTGGAAAACAGTGAACTTTAATTTTACTGCCCAATTTTCAGGAGATGTGGATAACACCGGCTAGATCAAATATGCTCTAGCAATTTCACACACTGAACTCATTAATTAATCTTTAAATTAATGCATGTCCACTCATTACTCTAAAGTGACAAATGGATTTACACTATCCACTGTGTAAAATGCACTCTATAATAAGAGTCTGTAGTACTGTTATGTCATTCTATTGAAAGCAAAGATTTTTTCTTAATTTGTTACAAAGCTTTACATAATAAAAAAAAGAACTGTGTAATGTTGATGAGACATCTTTTAATAAGAATACTACACAAAGTATAAGATTTACATCTATCTAAAAACTTTTAATAAATGACAATTTTAAGAGTTTAAATGAGTAGTTTAAAACTGCAATTCACATAATATACAATGTATCCATGCAATGGCGGTTCTAGATTATGTGCCTAAAACCTACATTTTTTAAAATGACTAAATTAATGAAAATTGTTTAGAAACTGTAAAAGAAAAAACATATTATCCAATCGTGTTGAAACTATCAGATGCACACCTTCATATGATAAATAAATACTGTACAAATGCTCAGAACAAACCCATTCCATAGCTTTTTCGAAAAAAAAAATCTGTGGGAAAAATCACGTCTATACAGACAGCTAGACAGACAAACTGACATACATGTACTGATTCCAATGTTTCCACCAAAAAACCGTTTGTGGAGGCTGTAACATTGAAATAAAATATAACCGTAAATGTCAATCTTATTTTGCTTTTTATTTCTATCTCAATTTTAAAAAGAGGCCCACAGGCCTTTTCGTTCACCTGAGCACCCTGGCTATGAAATTAGTTTAGTATTGAAAAAAAATTAAAATATATAAATGATCGCAAGGGTATTTATCGCAAGTACCCCAAGGGGTAAGGGGCATGATTTCTTGAATTTTGAATTTCTTGATTACTTAAATATTCACTCACTGTTGATGATATGGTTTTGCTGTTCTTGAGATTTTTTTTTGAAATAGAATTTTCCTATATTGTTGTGCAATCATGCATCCCTGAGGACGGGACATGATTTGAAAAACTTGATCTTACATAACCCAAGCACCCTTCTGAATGAATAAGAATGTCTGCTGTTCTTGAGATTTATCTTAGGGGTCTGACAAAATTTATCAAAGACAGTGATGGGACCAATACAAACAGGCACGAGACAATGATTCATTTCCATCGCCAAAAAACAAAAACAAACAACAAAAAAAACAAAAAAAACGGTGCTGTCATGAAGTGTATCTTTTTCTCTGTTTTTTGTTTTAATTCAACATATGAATCTAAAAGAAGGCTTATCAAATATGAACTGGTTTTTTAAAAAGTGTATACATTCCATACTCTTCAAGTTTAAAAACCAAGGGCGTCGGAAGCAAAATGAAAGGGGGGGGGGGCTAATCGAAAGGGGGGCTAAACCAACAAAAAAAAGGTAAATCCCAATTTTCAATGCCTATGTAATGTCTATTTTTGCAAAAAAAAAGCCCCCCCCCCCCCCGGTTCCGAGGCTTATGAAAAACCAGAAGTCTCTGATGAGACTGTAGCTCTACTGGTCTGTACGTATATCAAAGGAAAAGAAGCACATGGGTTTGAAACTCTGCAGCAGGCAACAATAAATAGAATTATGCATCTTAGTGTAGTCTACTTGTTTGCCAAATTTTATACAAATCAGACCAATATTGTAGGAGGAGTAGCGTTTTAAAGAAATTCCTTAAAAATTTCTATTTTTTAATAACCATGGCAACACCGTTCATCGAAATCAAAAACCGATGCACTAATTTATGTATCTAAGTGTAGTCTACTTGTGTGCCAAATTTTATTCAAATCAGTCCAATATTGTAAGGGGAGTAGCGATTTTTAAGAAATTCCTCAAAATTTTCTATTTTTAGTAACCATGGCAACACCGTTCATCGAAATTAAAAACCAATGCACTAGTTTATGTATCTTAGTGTGGTCTACTTGTGTGCCAAGTTATATTGAAATCAGACCAAAACTGTAGGAGGAGTAGCATTTTGAAAAATTGTTTACAGACAGACGGACGGACGATGGACACCTTACCATCGCATAAGCTCTTCCGGTCTCTGACCTAAAGCTAGGCCTAATTAGAACGGAGAACTCTGAAAAATGAACTCATTTTAATAAATCTTTCCCCAACATGTGTTCCATACTTTTTCTTCATTATAAAACGAGTCAGTATAATAGAATCTAATTACCTCGATCAAGGACCTTAGTACCTGACCTCGATATGATGGAATCCGCGATATAAAGGGTTTAACGTAATCCGAGATTCCTCTGACTCTAACCCCCGCTTTTATATTATGACTTGTGCGGGGGAGAGACTCTCCCCCGCACAAGTCATAATATAAAAGCGGGGGTTCGAGTCAGAGGAATCTCGGATTAGGTTTAACGTTACGATGAGCCAATAGAATATGAATAGGCCCTAAACATGATAAACAGCGAAACAAAGTTGAAAAACAGATTGAAGCGGGAAGAAATGTAAAGATGGCTTACTCTCTTTGCTTACAAAACATAATTTTAGATGCAATTTTATTTTATTTAAGACACTCCGCTAGCAAGCCTGTTGTTTTTTACCATGGTTACGTCTCACTGAACTGGAAATGCATGAACATGACTGACAGGCTTATTAATCTATACAATTTTAAACACTAGTTACCTATCCCGTGATAGCTCAGTTGGTAGAGCGGAGGACTGTAGGGGTAATCTTGCATTGAAATCCTTAGGTCGGTGGTTCAAATCCGCCTCGCGGGATGCAATTTTTTTTTTTATTTTATAATGCATTAAAAAGTTTTATAGTGCTCAATCCTGCATATGCTTACTGGATACCAAAATAATTATATTTCAGATTAGAATTGATAGTTATTTATATTTTGATGATAATTCAGTTCATATTAATTTGGTGAATCACAGGAGTCTGAACTTTTTATCGTCCAAAAAAAAATCTGGAAAAAAAATTTCCCATCCTCAACTAAAAAACACTAGTTGTCAGAAGGTTGGAAAATTTTTTCCAGAATTTTTTTTTCTTTTTTGAATGATGAAAACTTCAGACTCCTGTGGATTTATACAATAAAATTCTTTATGTACCGGTACATGTAGTCGAAGCTAAGGTAACATTGAATTTTCTTCATAAAAAAGCATTGCCAGATCTCATATAAGGCAAATTTAATGAACAGTTATTTTATTCTAAAGCATGATTAAAGAATCTTCTCTGTGAAATCTTAAAAAATTAAATTTGCCAGTTAATCCTATACAGGATGCAAATATATTTACATAAAGGAAGCTGAAATCAAAATCATTGCCTTGAATTTGCTATAGCCAGACAATAATCCTGTTGGTAATATATACTCAGAAACCTAGTATCAGGGAGGGGAAAGGGGACATCCCCCTTAACCTTTTATTTATCCAAACATTACTTTTTGTAACTGAAAATGTTCATTAATAAAACGCTGGACCCCGTCACTTTACAGTAAAGTGAGATAAAGATAGGTTGGTTAATTAAAAATTCATTTGCCAAGCCAACAATGAAAGAAACCAGTAGCTGAACACATACAACTATTGAAGCCTCCCTTCCAAACTGGATTTTCATTTTTTGAGAGACCCCCCCCCCCTTTTTTTAAACCTTTTAGTTCATGAAAGTTTGGAATTGCCTCCCCTTCATTTCAAAAAATATACTACATGCCTGATATGTGCTATATATTGTCAAAAGTAATACAATGTATGATTCCTTGTTGAGGAATGAAACATATACCGGTACCTGTAAGCTTCCCTCCTTTCCAAATTCATCTGAGCATGAAATGTTGCTTTACCAAGTGCTACAACCTCTCTGCTGGTCTCACAAATTCTTTCTGCTATCTTCCTCACCTTGTAGAAATGATATAAATACATGATGTATTTTAGAAATAACTCTCTAATTATATGTTCCATAGTACCATTTTGAAAAAGCCTTTACTGAATCCTTTTTACTGAGTTGGTTACATATGAATTTTAAAAAAAAAAGTCCAAACCATTGCCCTTGCGTTTATCTACAAAGTTACTGTGTTACTAAAAAAAGATGCATACAAATTCATTCTGAGTTGATGAGTATTTCATCATGTTTGGACTATGTTCTTAATTCACATAATTCCCTGCCAGCTTGATTTAAAAAGTCCTTTCTTTTGATTTTGCTCTGTTTGGTTGTCTTCAGAATCTTCAGAATCCTTAACCTTGGTCATAACTTTTGAATTTTGGATGGCTGTACATTTCTTATTCACAGGTTATCTCTTGTGTCAAGAACTTTTAAGTACTAAGATTTTTTTTGACCTTATGATGTTAACTTCTGAGTTTATCCTACTATTGAAAACTTCAACCTTGAACATAGTTTCTGATTGATTAATGTAAGGGCTTTCATATCTAATACATTTTTTCCTTGTGACTAGACGAAGGACCAAGTTGTCTCTTCTTTCAGAAAAACAAGGAAACTGTAGAAATGATATAAAACAAAACGACCAAAGAAAGAAAGATATCTCAAAATTTGCATTTCTGGATTGACACAAATGTTTTGCAATCACTACTTTAACTTTTCCAAAAGATATCTCCCATTATTTTGGGTTACATGCATGTCTAGTTTATATATATATTTTTTGCAAGGGGTAGATTAGTACAGTTTTTATTTTGGGTAAGTTATTTTTTACGATTGAAGATTTTTTTGTTTAAAATGGTAATGTTTTATGTCAAATTATAGCTGACATAATTTTTGTGTGTTTTATATTTTGTGAATTAAAAATGGTTGCAAAAATTGCGAAAAATAGATCATCGCAAAAAAAAACCAAAAAAAAAAAAAAAACGGATATAAGGGTATCTTAATGACATTTTTAACAGACAAAATTCTGTGCAAATCAATAAATTAAATCAAGAATTTTGCATACAATTTTGCCTTTTAATATTCAGGAGCAAAAAAATTTACATTTGAAATGCATATATAAATTATGTTATCCCATTCCAATTTCTAGAACATACTCCTAAATACCCCCTCTCTCCCACCCATCTATTGTATACTCAAAATTTTATTTCTGACAGCTGTTCAACATCTTAATGATCCTACATATGTTTTTTTTAACATTTAAAGTTTAATTATAACTCTGTATTTGTAAGTTTATACCTCTGTATTTAACTGGTCATCAGGTACAACTCGGCTTACTAAGCCATGGAGTAAAGCATCTGGAAATTATATTAAAAATATTCATTACTCTTTTTTAATATTATTCTTGATAATAAAAAAAGGAATGAAGCACAATATGTTGGATATCAATTAATGCCTCAGAATATAAAATCTCTATTATCTGTTATTTCATAAATTCTGATTTTTTCATGACATTTGATGTATTTTGAATCAGCTTTACTCTGTTTATACCTTGGGCAGAGATGGGGTGTCCTGTGAAAAGCATTTCCATGGCAACCTTTCTTGGCACTGCCCTTCCAACAGCCACAGCTGGTGTTGAGCAGAATAGACCAACACTAACTCTACAAAAACAAATCATTGAGCAGAACAGACCAATACTAACTCTACAAAACAAATCATTGAGCAGAACAGACCAACACTAACTCTACAAAATAAATCATTGAGCAGAATAGACCAACACTAACTCTACAAAACAAATCATTGAGCAGATTAGACCAACACTTACTCTACAAAACAAATCATTGAGCAGAATAGACCAACACTTACTCTACAAAACAAATCATTGAGCAGAATAGACCAACACTTACTCTACAAAACAAATCATTGAGCAGAATAGATCAACACTTACTCTACAAAACACATCATTGAGCAGAACACACCAACACTTACTCTACAAAACAAATCATTGACCAGAATAGACCAACACTTACTCTACAAAACACATCATTGAGCAGAACAGACCAACACTTACTCTACAAAACAAATCATTGAGCAGAATAGACCAACACTTACTCTACAAAACACATCATTGAGCAGAACAGACCAACACTTACTCTACAAAACAAATCATTGACCAGAATAGACCAACACTTACTCTACAAAACACATCATTGAGCAGAATAGACCAACACTTACTCTACAAAACAAATCATTGAGCAGAACAGACCAACACTTACTCTACAAAACACATCATTGAGCAGAATAGACCAACACTTACTCTACAAAACAAATCATTGAGCAGAATAGACCAACACTAACTCTACAAAACAAATCATTGAGCAGAACAGACCAACACTAACTCTACAAAACAAATCATTGAGCAGATTAGACCAACACTAACTCTACAAAACAAATCATTGAGCAGAATAGACCAACACTAACTCTACAAAACAAATCATTGAGCAGAATAGACCAACACTTACTCTACAAAACAAATCATTGAGCAGAACAGACCAACACTTACTCTACAAAACAAATCATTGAGCAGAACAGACCAACACTAACTCTACAAAACAAATCATTGAGCAGAATAGACCAACACTAACTCTACAAAACAAATCATTGAGCAGAATAGACCAACACTAACTCTACAAAACAAATCATTGAGCAGAATAGACCAACACTTACTCTACAAAACAAATCATTGAGCAGAATAGACCAACACTTACTCTACAAAACAAATCATTGAGCAGAATAGACCAACACTTACTCTACAAAACAAATCATTGATAAGAATAGACCAACACTAACTCTACAAAACAAATCATTGAGCAGAATAGACCAACACTAACTCTACAAAATAAATCATTGAGCAGAATAGACCAACACTTACTCTACAAAACAAATCATTGAGCAGAATAGACCAACACTAACTCTACAAAACAAATCATTGAGCAGAATAGACCAACACTTACTCTACAAAACAAATCATTGTGTAGAACAGACCAAAAAACTATAAAACAAATCATTGAGCAGAATAGACCAACACTTACTCTACAAAACAAATCATTGAGCAGAATAGACCAACACTAACTCTACAAAACAAATCATTGAGCAGAACAGACCAACACTAACTCTATAAAACAAATCATTGAGCAGAATAGACCAACACTTACTCTACAAAACAAATAATTTTCCTTTTACTTTCATTCTCAATGCCCTATAACATGAAATAACTGAAGTGGTGAACTGCATCCAACTGATCCAATTTGCTTCAATCTCATACTATATTGACTGACCATGCAACTTGCAAATAATTATATTGGAATAAACTAGTCTTCTTTCATTGGGTCATCATTCTTTACATCTTGAAGATGTTGGCTAAATTCTTCTGAGATCAATTCCTGTGATTTATGTTACAATTTTCTGTTCAATTTTCTGTCCTTAAATTTTGCAAGTTTCAAATGCTTAAATGATTCTTAAGACATACATGCCAACTTTCCCGATTTAGGCGGGATCCTCCCAATTTTACCCTTTCATCCCGCCTTCCCGATCGGGAGAGAAAAATTGCCCTAATTTCCCGATTTGAAAAAAAAGTCACCTTAAATTTCAGATTTTAAAAGTTTTCCTATCGCTGAATTTTGACAATCGGGATAACAATGTCAGACTTGTATATTCAATGCACACAGATAAGTTTCATTGTTTATTTAACCAGGTGTTATAATTACTAATTAGCCACAGGAAATCTCTTCACGCTTGAACGCACGCAGTTGTCTAGGTACGAGTAGCTTATAGCTTGGGTCAATTAGGGTATTTTCTTGTCAGTTTTAAGGAGTATGCAAGGTGAAACACATAGATTAACGTTATAACTGTTAGTCATTTTATTAAAAACATAAATTAAAGAGAATAAAATACTAATTAAAAAATAAAATCGGAATCCAAAGAGATCGTTTTTTGAAAACGAAAGTAGAAAACTACAAAGCATAGCTGATGATTTTATCTACCTATAATGAAAAATATTTCTAAGTTTGCCAATTAAAATATTATGAAAAAATTAAGATGAAACAATCAAGTGTATTTCAATTATAATTTCTTTTCCCTCCCTTCTCCCAAAAGTAATTTGCATGACTTAAGGAAATACCCACATGGCACCATCAAGCCTGACAAATTTCATGACTGTAAAAAAAAATAATTTTCTTTTAGATAGGTGGTATAAATTTCTGTAAATTTGATATCTAATTAGAATTTCTAATATATATAAAAAATCTCAAAAATGTTTCCAGAAAGAGGACTTTACAGTATCAAAACCTCATATTTTTTAGCCTTTGAAAAAATGATTAAAAGTTGTAAAATTTTCAATTTTTCACTAAATTATGTGTTCTGGTAGAAAAAAAATGTGTTTACATACGTAACTAAATACCCCTTCTTAAGTGAAAGAGGCACCTATTTTAGCAGAAATATTTCAATTTTGGAAAGAAAAACATTATTTTTTGTGTTAAATTAATTCTTAAGTTGTATTGTATAGTAATATCAATATTTTAAATTTAAAAAAAGATCATTTCATAATCATTTAATTTCACAACAAAATGTCGCGAATTTTAAGCTTTGAAAATTGTCGTCACACGCTAAATCCCCCATGGGAATTTTCAAAAGTTGGCAAAAAAAAAGAATTTCACTAACTACACTTTTAAGTAATTATATGTCTCTAAAAGTTATTAACAATTCTTCATTACCCTGGTGTGGCAAATTTTGCACTTTCAGCAGCAACAGCAATATCACAACTGGCAACTAACTGAGCCCCAGCAGCTGTGGCTAATCCTGGAAGAAATAATAATGTTTATAATTTCTGTCAGAGAAAATTGTGTAAAATTTTATTCTTGAGTCACTCTGATATCTACTTTGCTACTTTTGTGTGATTGATTTTTAATGTGTGTTCAGAATACTAATGATAATTAAATTCTTAGTAATTTGCTAGGGAGGGGGATATATGCATTTGTCAAAAAATTTTGATTTATTTATTATAAGATTTTGTAACTTCAGAATAAAGAGTTACACATGATCTATACTGTCCATATAAGTTCCATATTCATCATTTATCCAAGTATGAATATATTGCACATTTAAGAAATGAATTTAATTTTTGAAGATTCATGAAGTTATGAACTATGACGCTTCACGCCAGCATATTTCATGAAGCGCGTTAGCCCTTCATGATAAATATGCTGGCGTGAAGCGTTGTAGTTCATGCACCTCATGAATCTTCAAAAAATTAAATTCATTTCTTATATTTACATTATTTTCTGATGAATAACCCTAAATTATGCCATTCAACTATCATTTTTTAAAGTAAAACAGTTTGCACTATAGTTTTGATGTCAAGTACAGATTATGACGTAACAATTGAGATATTCATGCTCATCCATGGTAGTTCATGAGAAAATGAACAAAATTCTAAGAGTTCTTTGTAAAGAATGTAAAAGACAAATAAATAGAAATGTAAATATTGTAATTTCACATACTGCTATTTCTGAATATTATTAACAATCTGCCTGATTTATTTCAGCTGAAGATCGATCCATACATTCCTACCTGACACTGCAGCAATCACTGGGATAGGCAAATCCTGTACAATCAAACACAATAAAATTAGATCACTGGGATAGGCAAATCCTGTACAATCAAACACAATAAAATTAGATCACTGGGATAGGCAAATCCTGTACAATCAAACACAATAAAATTAGATCACTGGGATAGGCAAATCCTGCACAATCAAACAAAACAAAGGAAATAAAATCGCTGGGGAAATTTTGTACAATCAAACACAATAAAATTGAGCAATTGGCTAGGCAAAAAGCACAATCACACAATGAAAATTTACTGAAGGGGGGGGGGGGGGACAGGCAAATCCTGTACAATCAAACACAATAGAATTAGATCAAACTAGAATCTACAATACTTGAGGATGATTCCCAATAAATTTCACTAAGCATGGCTTTGAAGTACTTGAAAAGAAGATTTTAAAAGATTTAAAACTTTTATCGGCCATTTAGCCCCACCCTACCCCCGGGGGTCTTGATTTAAAGAAACTTGAATCTACACTACCTGGGGAACACATGAAAATCTTTCCTGGCCCAGTGCTTCTTGAGAAGAAATTTTTAAAAGATTTTTCAATGTAAAACTTTGATCACCATTTTGGCCCAACCCTTAAAGATTTTTCCAATATATTCATATGTAAAACTTTTATCGGCCATTTAGCCCCACCCTACCCCCGGGGGTCATGATTTAAACAAACTTGAATCGACACTACCTGGGGATGATTCCACATGAGTTTCATCTTTCCTGGCCCAGTGCTTCTTGAGAAGAAATTTTTAAAAGATTTTTCTTATGTAAAACTTTGATCGACCATTTTGGCCCAACCCTTAAAGATTTTTCCAATATATTCATATGTAAAACTTTGATCGGCCATTTTGGCCCCACCCTACCCCTGGGGGTCATGATTTGAACAAACTTGAATCTACACTACCTGAGGATGCTTCCACATGAGTTTCATCTTTCCTGGCCCAGTGGTTCTTGAGAAGAAGATTATTAAAGATTTTCCCTTTATATTCCTGTGAAAAAAATTTGATCGGCCATTGTGGCCCCACCCTACCCCCAAAATCATGTTTTATTTAAACAAATTTGAATCTACACTAGAAAAACCTGAGGATCTTTCCTGGCCCAGTGGTTCTTGAGAAGAAGATTTTTTAAAAATGCCGTTAATTTTTCTCTAATTCATAGTTATCTCCCCTTGGAAAAGGGTGTGGCCCTTCATTTGAACAAACCTAAATCCCCTTCACCTAAGGATACTTTATGGCAAGTTTGGTTGAAATTGGCACAGTGGTTCTTGAGAAGAAGATGAAAATGTGAAAAGTTTACAACAACAACGACGACAACAACGACAGACAACTGACAAATTGTGATCAGAAAAGCTCACTTGAGCCTTTGGCTCAGGTGAGCTAAAAATCAAATTAGTATATAAAATACCAGTTCACTATTCTCAATCATATTCTAATCCATCCAAGATTCTACAGTTGAATCTGATATATAAAGCTTTTACTTATGTTTGTGTTACCTGACCTACTGGTTCTAAAGCAAGAGATCGAGATATATAATAGCTACACATAAATTGACCATTACTGACCTGAATTAACGTCATCACATCAGAGCAAGTCTCAAAAACTTTGCGATGATATTCTCTACCTTGTTTGCTTGTCTGTAAATAAATATTAACCTACTAATTTATAATTTTTTTTTTTTAAAATAAACAATTTAAAAACATTCAAAATCTTCATGAAACAAATACATTTGGAATGCAAGTTATGAAACATCTGTGATACTTCAACTGAAGAAAAATAGTTAATACCGTATAAGTTAGCGAGACGCAAATTTAGCAATTTGTCCTTAAAAATTGGTATTTTATTTTTAGCAAGATGTAATTTTAGTGATTTTAAAAAGCGCACTAAAGAAGCTATAACAAATAAAGCACAATTAATTTTTAGCGATATTCAATTTTAGCGATCTTGGCACCCTAGCTAATCATGCCAAAATTAAATCCTCACTAAAAATTCTACTTATACGGAATTCGTATTTTCAAAACAATACAGACCAATTCTTTGAGGTCATGACCTGCTGACCACACAGGTCCCTGAGATCTTAGAATGATCACACGTAAATCATCTACTCCAGTGCTTAGATTATTGTGTAGGGCCTGCAGCATGTTGAGAGATAAAGCATTTCTGAAAAAAAAATTTAGAGCTTGATTCCTTGATTTAGCCACAAATGAGCCTTAGTTACAAAACTAAAAATAAGTAATTGTGATGCTAATTATTGATTGTAAAATATTACACTGCAATAGTGTTCAATTTATTTTTGAGTGCACATACCTCTTTTTGGGATCATTAAGTTGTATAGTTCTGATGCCTTTCTCATCATCAGTTACTTTTGTGAAGTTTTCATGATTGTCTTGTGACATGTATCTGACAAAAATTGTGTTTGGTTTAAATGCCACCTGCAAAATAATCATTGTGTATATATATTACAGCAGAAGAGCAATGCAATAGTAATTCTTCCAACTTATGAGGAATGTATTGAAAGTAATATCTGTATAGTTTTATGTTCAGATATATATTAAATTTAGGATAATCAAAATAATGCAAAATTTGCACTTTGGTGCAGTGATAGCGCTACTTTTAACTTATCTAGCTATGTATAGTTCTGAAAACAATGCCTGAAATAATTTATTCATCAAACCATGTACACCTGTGCTTCCTCAACAGACTTTGCACTGAAAGTTCTAAAAGTTTTGGGCTATATAAATCAAATTGATGATGATCGATTACACTGAGTTACTTCTTGAACAAACTTTTCACACATATAGAGATATCCCCATTTACAGGTGAACAACTTCAAAGTCAAACCTTTACTGGTCACTCAAGGCCATTGAGCATTGAGGGTTCTTTTTCAGCCAAGGCCTACAGTGACACTGCCGGGGCCTAGGTTAATTAATTTTTAAAGTTTGATCCAAAAGACCTTTAATTATATAACTTTCACTTCAAAGTGTTGAATGAAAGAACAGCTGTTACCAATTTTTTTATTGACTTAGGTCAGTCTCAGACAAGAGTCAAACCCAAGGTTTTCCGATCCTGGAGTTAGCACACTACCGACAGCAGTAACAGTGGCGGTAGTAAACCTTTTGAGTGTCCAGAGAATAAATATGCATCAGTCACATACTTGACAATTTGTGTCCATTAATTATATTTGTGGGAGAAACTCTTTTAAAAAGCTTCATTGAGATTTTGTATAGCTTAACAAAATAAGCACAGTCAACACTGTGCTGGACCTTCAAAAAACACCACCAGGGACCTATATATACCATAAGTATATATAGGTCCATGACACCAAGTACCTTGCAACTGAGTACCTATGATATTTTATTTTCACCTATATGAGACTCAGAAAATTGAATATAATTAAATGATAATGAATAAGATGCAAACATTCGTATTACAAACAAGCATGGCAAAGCATAAATAAGCAGCTGAGCTGATCTTGAAAAAAAAATCTTGCGTCAACTTGAAATAAAGAGATCCAAATGAAATACTTGATGTGATAAAGTGGAAAAATGTGTGATCCTACTATAATCAATCAAAATTTTCAATGACACTAAGAAGATTTTAACAAATTTACCACTTTTTCCAAAGTTCGATAAAGAGAAAGTGAAAGTCGAGAAGCCATGTTTGTTTAAATTAGATTGTTTGTAAACTTGTGTTTGATTGGTTAAAGAGACAGCCAACCAAAGTACAAAAAATATTTACTCGTAATTCCTCTCGTTTTCACGTCTTTTTCCTACGTAGAGATCCGAGTTCACAGGGGCAGCACACAGCAACGAAACTGTTTACAAATGGAGGATTTCGCCATACAGCTCGCACTTGCTGAAAGCTGACAACAAACAAAAGGACAGAAAGGTCGTTGCGTGGTTCGATGTGATAAAACAGTGTTAATATCTGACATAAAACTAAATCAAAATGAAGCCTTTATTTTCAGTTGTTTTAGTGTTATTTATGATTTTCGGTGCTGATTGTGATCAAGCAAGTAAGTTACACATTCTTTTTCTTTCTTTTCACTTGAAGTAAATTAAAAGAGCCATGTCTTATTTTCAAAAGGTTATTAATATTTTTTTTTCAAAGATTTTATTTGATTCTTTATTTTCCATTTTCTAGCCGAAAGAGACTCATATGCAGTGGAAATTATCTTCTACAGACTTACAACTGCTACGGTAAAGATTCAGTTTTGATTAATGTTTTACTATACAAGTAGTGACATATTAAACAGCTTGTCTTATTAGCAGAAACTTCAAAACTCCTAAAGATGGACATGGGTTAAGAGTTTGCCTACCCAACCCCATCCAGGGAATTTGGGATTAACTTACCTGCCGTTATGCCTGCTACCCCTTTTTGGGCATAGGCCGCTGACAAGATTCCTCCAGACCACTCTATCCTGAGCAATGTTTTCTGGGATTGGGGGTGCAATTTATTTTGAGTACTTTAATCAACGTACCTTAGATAAATTTTCTTCCTTCTTCATCTTAATTAAGTTTATGTTAAAAAAACAAAACAAATCAAGGTACATTTGTGTATGAAAAGTGACAAGGATATTCAGAAATGCAATGCCTTTAACAAATATATGCGATATGTGTTCAATTTTATAAAATAGTGCAAAAGATCACCCAAATAAATGCTGAAAAGCAGTTTCTATTCAGCTTGAATCCTTAAATGTATACTCTGTGTTAACCTCTGTTCATCTCTCTTCTGTTGGGTGATTCTAAAGACACTAATGAATAGAATGCCCCATGAAGGACAGATCCAAAATTGTATTGTCCACCTTTGTTGGTTTTTTTTAAATATTTTTTTTTTATAATTAAAATACATATAACAATTACTGATATATGTGAGTCTAAGAAAAAATGGGGAAATTGTTAAGCTAGCTCTTTAAATCTTTCTTCCAGCTTTCCTTTACATTATTTACATATTTATAATTAAAATATGAATGTTAAACTGTAATGATTAAGTGTTATGAAAGAGAAAATCAATCATTTATAGTGTACATTCAATAAAATGGTGGGACCTATGATTATTTAATTAATTACATTACTTTATAGTGGACAGCACAGAGCATGGAGACAACATTTGCCGGGACAGTAGCCGCTGCAGCTAACACTTACTGTGAAGCAAACGTTGCAACATGTGGGTTAACATCGTGCTGCACCTCTGTGTAAGTTAATATAATCAACCTGATGCATGTTTGTTCTAGCTTTTAATCAATAAATGCATGTTGTCCAGGTAAGTCCAAGCTGCATTAATTTCTGCTTGATTGGCATACATGAGCAATCAAAATTTCGATAGATTAGATATAGATAAAAACTATGAAATGGACCCAGGTCTTTATAGTGAGATAGAGAACTTTGAGAGATCAATATTATAGCATAATATATTTCATATTAGGATTTCAAAATATGGAACCACATTCTTTGTGCATATTTACATGTACATTTAAAATTTTACTTAAGAAAAAACTGTTTTGTATATCATATTAATAATTACATAAATTTAATCTGGAGTCATATGAAAAGAAATTGGTATTTTCAAATTAGCAAATATATTTTAATAATTTAATTTTAGATGTAATACATCATTTGATTGGATAAAAGATTTTTTTTTATCATATAACATAGTGAGTTATGTCAAAAACATACTTTTAAAATATATAAGCTCAATTTGAAGTCATTTTTTTTAAGGAAAAATTGTCTTAATGTCTATCTGTATATATAAATTTAATATAAGGAATGAAGCTTATTTACTTTTTATACAATATAACAAAGCAGTTTATAAAAAAAGTATAAACTGCCCCAAGTTATGTTATATTGTATAACATAGGTTAAAATAAGCTCCATTCCTTATAATTCAATATCAGATATACAATAATACATGTATATGTTAGCAAGCAAATTCATGAGTCCAAAGAACCAAAAATAATAAGTAATCATTAAATTTTAACATTTTGGATGGATTTAGATTTTAACCACTTATATATATCACTGCATTGAAATGATAATTTGAATACCAATCACATCAGATATCTTAATTAATAAATGTATGATTATTTTTTATTATAGTTCTATCAGCTTTAAGGAAACAGAGGTTGGGAAGGTCAGTGGTTACCCCCAGAAAGACCTGAAAAATCTGAAACACAAATTTTACCTTGATTTCCCTACTGGTTTTACTGCTTCAAATTCATCTATAACACAGTATGTTGTGGTGAATTCAGCTGTGTATGGTATGTATACAACAGAAATGTAGATGTTTTTAGGTTTAATCATCTTATTGTGAATGAAATGTTATTTTATTTTATCCATTGGTCACAGACAAATAAATGTGGTTATAGAATATGACATGGAATAATGATTGAAGGTTAATAAAAACAAAAAATGATAAACATTTGTATTTGAATACACAACCTATGTAGAAAAAATGATCCTGAATGAAATGCAAAATCTAATCCTTTACATTTAGAAATCCTCCGTGTGGCACGGGAAACTTTCCACACCCAGACTGGTTACTGGATCACATGGGCAGATGAAACATACTATGGTATCCCAGCAACCACTACAGAGAACCAAATCATCATTCCTATAGCAGTTGTTGTTTTGTTAGCTGTCATCTTTTTAGCAATTGGTCTTCATTTCTGGAAGTAAGTTTATTTTACTGTAGGAAACATGTGGTATACATGTATTTCTTTTTTAGCTTACCTGGGTTGAAATGATCACTGTTGCCTGGCTTTCTTTTGTCTGTCTGTTTGTATGTCTCTCCATCTTTAAACTTTCACATCTTTAACATCTTTGGCTTTGTCTGCAAGACCAATAAAATCAACCAAGGACTGATAACTTCACATTCAATGTCAGTCCAAATGACCGGTAGATGTTGAGAGAGCAACTTGCGAAAATATTTTTGTAACGTTCTTTAACCGGCATAATTTTGAATGCTTTTCAGTATCTTGTAATGGCTTCTTTGAGGAACGCAAGTACCAAACTATGATTGATTAACTGTCAAAAATAGTTTGTTGATGGCAAAAGTTAAGCCAGGTGAGAAAATCGAACTAGTTACATGTAAAAACTTATGAAGAAAATCAACCCCCAACGAGAATTCTGCAAAAATATTGTTCGACCCTCTATGAGATTTCAACAAAAAATTTTATAAGATGATCAAATCGACATGAATTTAAGTGTGCAGTGTGTATTGACGCACGCAGCTAGGATAAGGCTGCCCGTAAAATATCAAACTGTTCAATCTGTAGTAACTTCTCTGAACTACCTTATGACGTCATAATAGGAGATATTACTTGAGCTGACATGATGGGGAAAGTGTCATAATAAGCACATGGCATGTAGATTTATTTTGGGGACTTGTTGTTTTATTCAAGTGTAAGGATTGTTTTTTAAGCTTAAGTGTGCTGTTGTGATATTGAACATTTGAAATGAAAATATTCCTATTCCTTTCGTGTGTCCGATATGCACATATTCAAACAATAGCACAAAATTATGTGTGAAACGCTCCCCTTACATGTCCGTAGACAGAGTTAGAATTTATGAATCTTGTTTATATTAGACTGGCACAAGTGATAAATAAGGACATATTGAAGATATTCTGTGTTAATCTACAAGAGAAGAATGTCCTCTAACAGGATTTTGCTGGGGGATTGTTTGTAGTTTATCCATTTTTGTATAAATCGCGATAAAGGGTGGAAAATACCCCTTCTTATGTTCGTAAGTTGAATTTTTCGTAAAATATTTTCACTATTATGCCTTTTCATGTACCACAGATCAAGATGAATTGATGTATGCTACAAACTTGGCACAATAATTTTGTTTAGCACTTGTGCCGAAGCGATTTTTGTGTAATAATTAAGAATATCATAAATCTCCGTCAAGTGATAAACACAGTCATGTGACATAAAAAAAAATTTTTTTAAATAAAACCTGATTGAACTATTATCTCAAGTTGACTGCAATTTCAAACAAGGATTACATATTAAAATTAAAATCTAGCAGTATATTTTCAATTTTAATTCAAATTTAGTGTGTTTTGATATTAAAATTCAAATACAGTTTTTATCTTTTTTATTGAATTTTTTTGGGGGGCACAGTCAGTCCAAATGACTGAGAGCGGGAAAAAGATTTCAAGAACTCTGCAGTAATTTTAAAGGAAGGGCATTGATCCAATAAAATTTAAAAATTAAAAGCCTTTAAAGACCAATTTGCCAAAACAAATGAGACTATCTGAAAGCTTCTTGAAGTAGTGAAAATTTTAATTAATTCAAATTTTGTGTGGGGGAGGGGGGCACAATAGGTGCAGGATCAAAGCAAAGTTTAACATTGAAATAAAAATTAAAAACCTTTAAATACCTTATTAACAACCACTGGAACAAAAAATGATTCCACTTTTAAAAAGCTTCCTGATATAATGTAGAAAGTATGGGCCCAAGGGTTAGAGCCCCAAAAAGGGAACAATTAACATTTTGAAGTGTCTAAAATGATGTAATCTGAGAATCAAATGTTATGTTGCCCATGCGTACGAGAAAAGAATTTTCTCTATATATGCTTTTGTGGTCTATGATATGGGGTCATAATTTTCTAGAGAAATCATCTTAGGTAAAGAGGGCTTTAGTTTCTCAGGTGAGCATTTTGGCCCATGGGCTAATGATTTATCTTTGCTTTACATTATATAACATTAAACATGGTAGCTCAGTTTTCCATGTTGAGCAAATTGGAAGAACAAACATTAACATTAATGCCCTAAATATACAGCATTACAGGGAAGAAGAGTAATATTCTTCTGTTATAATAATCTAAAAAAAAAAATGTATCAATATATGAACATTTAAATGTCATTGAATTCTATTGAGGGCTTTAATAATTTTTTGCATTTGCTTTGCACTTAAGTAACAGAAAATAATTGGAGAAGTTTTAAAACTTTTCTTTTTTTTCTTTTTAAACTTTATTCTTGTATCATCTACAGTAAAAAGAAACAAAACCAGAAACGCCTGAGAAAGAAGATTGATGACAGGAAAGCCATGAAGAAAAACCAAGCCATGGTACAGCCTACTTACCGAGTTGACCCGGAAATTAAAGACATTGATGATGATCACATAGAGAAGACGTAAGATGGATACAACTGTTGGATCCACCTCTTCATTTCTATATTCACCTTTTTTTTTACTGTAGTTTTAGTTTGCATTATTAAAGTCTTTACTGATAATTGCAGGAAGTCATGGAATGGTTTTTAAATTCAAAGACACAATTCACAAAACACACAAAAAATACTAAGCATTTGATCATCATTAAATTTTTTATTTTTTCAATTTTTCTTGTCATTTTTGCACATATGTTTGCAAACGCCCAACATTCCAAGTTTTAAGAAGATTTTTTAAATATATTTATTTTCATAAACTTTTTTATAATAGCAAGTGAGAGTATATTTTATTAAATATTATATAATTATATATATAAATACAAAAAATGACATGTCTTAGGACAGTGCAATATGTTTATATAAAAAAATGACATACCTTGGGAGTAGTGCTATATGTATGTATTCTCATTTACAGCTGTGAAAATGGTTAAGTCTGGTACATGCATGCACTCTCCAATTATTTTGACAACTGAGTGAGGGAGAGCATACACTCTCTATTTATCACTTTTGATATTAGATTCGTTTGGTTGTCATTTTGTAAATATACCCAGATGTCCTGGATTGCCCTGTGGTTTTGAAAATTTCATACATCTCATCAGTCTAAATACTAGTAGCCCTCATTGTAATGATTTTTTTGCTAGCTCAGTACTTCAGAAGCTCTGCATTTTTTACTCAATTTTTTCACCCTTCCTCAATTTTCCCAGAATTGACAAATGTATTATTTATTTTTATGTTATATCTTTTAATAGTGATTACAAGAAAACCTGAAACACACTCCATATATTTTCATTATTATCTTCAGTAATAAGTGAATATAGCCATTTGAGCACGTACCACAGGTGATGTTCTTAATATTAGAAATAATTTAGAATCACTATTTTTCTTTCCTGTAGATTGAATGGACCACATAAATTCAATTTAACACCTACTCTCCGGCAAGTAACTCACAAAAACAGTCTTGTAGACATTAGTCAGCTCAAATATGTTAAAATATATTTATTTTCTTTGCATGAATATTTGTGATTATGCAATATTCAGTATTGCAAGATACCTTTATTAGTAGCAAGCTAGAGGTATATCCACCGTCTAAGGAAATGATGAGCCATAGTCTTTTATGCTTTCAACTTTTCTTTCTATATTTAAACTTTATCACATTAATAAACTTTTGCAAATAAGTGCAATATATACAGATAATCTGAATTTAAACCAAAACAACTGTGTTAATCTACTGTAATCCTTTCCATGCCCCTGAGGAGGCATGAGGCTAGAAATTTGGAAGGAAAACTTAACAATATACACTAATCATGCTTCTTTTTATCCCAAATCAATTATTTTTAACTAAAATATGTAAACTCGCACTGAAATCACATTTTATTGCACCTTTTTAAAGAACTGATAACTCTATGTAAGGGTATTCATTGGCCCATGAGACTGAAAATGATGTTTATACCATTTCAACTTCATGATCTGATGCTGCTTTCATTTTCTCTCAGCTTAATAAAGTATTTTCATATCTGTAAACAGAATAGACCCCGCAAGCTTTTTAGAATTCTCTTGAAAATAAATGCTTCATTAATTTGTTAGCCAGCTACCTTACAAGATTTACATTTGCCAGTACTTATCAATGCCTTTTTAACGATGCTGAATCACTTTTATTATCCCCTTCTTTAAATTAAGTTATTAATTTTTTTTTCTGATTTTATTTTTTTCAATTCAAACAAATTCCGTTTGCTTGTTTAGAATTTGTAGTTAAACACATGGTACACCAAGTTCACAAAAATGAGTATAGCACAGTTTCCACAGTTGATAAAAGTTAACAATAGATTTGTTCGTAAAGCATAGATTAGTTCAATCTCTCATGAGATAAGTTGTTGAAACATTTTGCTTGTTGACATATATATTGTGATAGAACAATAATTTATTGGATTTAAAAATCAGCCAATGTAGAAAATATTTTTCCTTCTTACGTTTTCCGCTGTTTATCAGACAGGTACCTTAGCATTGCTGGTATCGGTCAAGTTACCAAAACCTTGAATCGTATAGATTATAAAAAAGAGAAATTATTTCTGCTTATATGGCGCAGAATTTTAATTGCCTCTGCTGATTGGTTTCGCTAGATTTTGATTTGAAACTACGGGAAACAGTTAACACGTGTTTAGATTTGTAAACACAATTATCCAATTGCCTCTGTTAACTAATGTAAGTAATATAGTTTATGTCGATAAACTAACATAATTATTAAAATATTTTAATAAAATATTTGGTAAACAGTGAACACCTCACAGACCTCCAAAACATCAGTGGTTGGATCATAGATTTTTTGTAAATTATTTTTAACAATTACCTTTGACAGCTCTTAAAAAAAAAAAAAAGGTAAAAGTTGTAAGTTATAGTTTATGACGATAAACTATAACATCATTATTGAAATATTTAATATTTTAATAAAATATTTGGAAATAGCAAACATATTCAAGCTCAAAAGTTCTTTTAACTAAACAAATTTGAAGCAGAGTAATAATTAACAGATCTCCAAAACATCAGTGGTGGGATCATAGTTAATAGTTTATCTCTCAAAGCTATAGTTTAAGAGTTTACGTCTCATATAGTTTATGAGTTAAAATGATAGTTAATTATGGTTTACGACCAAAAACAACAATTAACGAAAATTTAGTTTACCTGGTAAATGTAGTTTCTCAGTTGTGAATCTAAGAATATTATCTTTTAATTATGGTTAGTTAAACTGATTCATGATAAACAAATGAGAATCTATTTTTATTCAGCAAAAAATCCGTTAAGAATAATATATTTTTAGACAGGTACATTTAGAATATAATTAATTGTAAACTATAAGTTACAATTGTTACTTAAAATGCGAAGACGATAATCAGTGTTCATTATCAAAGATCAAATTAAACAATTCATATATAATGAGTATAGAGCCACCACTTACCTCTGGTAACAGAGGTTGGATCAGGTCTCATGGAGTAATTAGCATCCCCTACCGACCTGTCATAGTACACTCGCCATGTACTCATTGTGATTATCAAATAGGAAAGTCGTTGCAATGCTTTTCAATATGAAAAAGGTGGACTTACAGTTTGTATGAAAATTAAAAATATCGAATTGTTAATTTTGAGTTAAGTTTTGTTAACCTTGCTTTACATATGTAGCTTACAATTACGAAAACCTAGTTTATTAAGTGTTAAACAATGTTAATTAAATTTTTGTGATCTAAGCATGCCGCCTGTTCATATATGCAGATTTTAAACGTTCAAGATGTCGAACTTAAAGCATTAAAGTACTTTTTATTAAAATTCCTTATAATATCACTCTTTGAAATTCACTTTTCATCATATCTTTCATCATGTTGTTTTGCACTGCATTAATGTTAACTCTGTATTTTTTTTCTTCCAATTATCTAGCCAAAAAGATGCCTCCAAAAAACCTAGGTAAGGGGTGTAGTAATGCGTGTAGTATGACAAGTGTTTTGCATGGTCATTAATAGCTATCTCCGTGAGAGCAATTGTTTTTGTATTCACAGTAAAGTAAAATTTTATTTAGAGGTACCGTAGTTCAAAATTTCTTGACGTTTTAAACATTTTCTTTACATTTTTTTTTTAAAATCCCATTCCATGTTATACGAGGGTTGATCCAAAAATAATGTCACAACTTCTATAAAAGCTCTACCAGTCGACGTAAAACAACAAAATTTTAAATGATGAAAGCTACATTTACTTCATATAAGACCTGAAAATTTTAATGCAAAATGATTTATAGTTTTCAAAATATCGGATTATACACAACGTGCGATTATTGTAGTCGCCGCACCTTAATAACGTTATATGACGGATACGCGCCGTCATACGTTTAAACGCTTCCCTTATGTTTTACTTTTTACAATACTTTTGGATCAACCCTCGTATCTATAGTAAATGACATATTTATAATTATGAAGAAAAAATGTTAATTGTCAAGTACCGTGGAGTTGTTCTCAAAACGAACACCACACAACAGAAAAGTAGAACTGGATCTCCTATTCACTCACTTTTGGTGCAAATGCAGTCGTGTCAGTAATAAGCAACACATGTAAAGTTGTATTTTTATTGAGAATCTTATAAGTTAGGCAATGGACTGCATTGGTTGGTGAAGATTTAATCCTGCTGCATGCCTCCGGTGTGTTGTCGTCTTTAAATCCCCGGTGTTCATAGAAAAAAATCTCTTCATTAGAATTAGAATCAACTTAAACACAATATTCTTATTTTACTTTCTCCGTACAATATGATGTTGATACATTTGTTATTAATCACATGCTTACTATATATAGTAGGTGTATTTAAAAGTACATTAAAAATTGCATTATGCATTCATATGTTTTATTAAAGAAATTACTGAATACAGTAGTTAATAACTTGAAAATTGCATTATTGATTTGTAAATTATGTCGAGAGTTCGTTTTGAGTTTGAAGATTGTGCTCAAAAAGTTTACAGTGTATATTCATTCATAGCACATTAAGTTATGCATTCAATGTTTTTAATACCCAAATGCACATAGAACTTAATAGATTTCAAAATTGATTTGTATATGAGGTTATATAGAGACAACTTAGAACCTACCTTCATAATAAATGCATCGTTTGTTCTCAGAATGTCTTCCTAAGCAGTTCCCTCTTCTCTTCTGATTTAGTGTTTTCTAATCCTATGGGACCCTAGCAATACACAGGCAACGTCATTCTTTTGATATTAATTAAAACCTCGGTGTATTGAAGCATTTTAAAATACCCTAACCTATTAAGATTATTTCAAAATAAAGGATAAGGTATTTTTGAATTCAGTGTACATGATTTTAAAATACCTAGGTTTAAAGTGGATTTTAAAATACCTGTGCTAGTATTTGGATTAAATAATTCAGGGTACTAAACGAAAATGAATGTTTTCCAAGTATTATGTTCTTTCTTCTTAAAATTAATACCATTACATCATTTTCAGTTGTTAGTTTATTGAATAGTTTATTCTTGCAAATAAAGGACTGCATGAGTTGGCTTGTCATTGTTTTAACGCATGAAAGGATTACATTAAAATGTAGATACTAACATTAATATTCGATTTTGAACAATTAGCCCATACTTTTTTTTAATGTCTCCTTTTCAATTTATTTTAAAAGTTCAAAATAATAAATAAAAAATTGTCATAATGACTTTATTATAAGCAATTTTCATTGCAATTTTGTTCTCCAGTTTTACCTTTTCTTGTCACAATGCTAGTTTTACACTTTCAAACTGTTCTTTTTAATATCTCCTTTTGATAGTAAACTTTTAATTTCCAAGCATTTTTTTGTATATATCATAAGTATATTTTCTCAAATTTTTGGTTTAATATCATGGCTTCTAGTTGCTGTAGTATTTCATACAAAAATATAATAACAAATTCATTTATCTGGAAATTACTCAGTTTTGAAACTGAATTTCGGGACGTGTTAGATTGACACACCCTTGCACCAACAACTCTGCTGTGTATCTACCATAAACCTTTCCTGTAGAATTTAGAAAGGGACTTCTTGTGGAAACTAAACCAATATTGATGGCCCTATATAGCAATTATTACAAGTTATATTTAGCTTTTAGACGTTTTTTTAACAATATAAATTTGGCATGGTTACCTTTTTTTTATCAATAGATATTTTATTAAATTTCAGGAAAGAAAAGATGTACTCTGACAACTACCCAGTAAAACAAACAGAGGAGACGGACAGAAAGCACTTTGGTGGCGCTAGTGACAATGACTCCGCCATTAAGATGGACCACGAACCCGACTTTATGGACTCCCAGACAAACAACAAGAACCTACCTCCTCTCGACGTACAGGAAGATGGCGAGAAAAAGAAGAAGAAAAAGAAGAAGGACAAAAAGAAGAAGCAGCAGGGAGATGGTTACGACAATCAATCTGCCAATCTTTCCACAGAACTCTGAACTGATTGAGATCTCCTCCTCTCCTACATTAGTTTACTCACAACTCTGGGGGCATTTACTTTTATACTCACGTATCATATGTTGCAATTCAAAAGTAAGCATAATGATATCACTAAATTGTTATTTTCATTTCTTATGAGTGTTATTGTTTTCATTTTGTAAATTGGTGAGGAAAAGGTATAGCCACATCCTTTGCCACAATAGCATCTTATGTTGAAAAGATTTATTGAAATGTAATTTGACAGTTGTTGAGAATCATGTTCATTTTTTAACGTGACCTACAGGAATTCAAAATTTTAAAAGAAAAGGTATTTTGTTCATTTATTCTTTGAAGCTGTCTGATATCAAAATTTATTAACTTTTTGTTTGCGATATGCAAGTAGTAGTTAAGTTCTTTGTAGATATTTTTTATCAAAGATTATGAATATTGTTGATGAGTATAAAGGTTTGTTAAAGATATTATTTAATGTATATTTTTATTAGAAGATTGGATCACCTTATGGAAAATTATTAGAAAGGATCTTGGATATTTTTTTTTAAAGAAGTGGATGGGTGTATGACTGTATTGAGTAGCGTGTTGTGTCGTAAATGTTTAGTAGTCTCTAGTCAGTGATTTTATAAACAGCTTAACTTTAACATTGGTATAATCTAGAATATCATAGAAACGTCAAAAGGAGTAACAAGTTCCAACTTATTTTTCTTTGTGTAATTTAGACTTATTTTGAATGCTCTGAAAATATTTTTTCTTGGCCGAATGGTCCCCATGAACTTCAAATAACAAAGTTTTACTTAATTTTTTTTGAGTGTATATGATATTTAAATTTTTTAGCAACTGCCCATAAAATACACGTTTTATATGTTTAATATTACTGCATAATATCATTTCTTCAAGATTGTTCATTTTGACTGGAATTTTATTTACAAAAACGTATTATTCAAACATTATATAAAATTTATTGCTGAAATAATTTTAAGTGAATTTTGTCTTTAAAAAGTCTTTCTGTATTTGTAAATATTTTATATGCTTTCAATTTATAAAGAGAATGTAATTATTTTTCATGAACACTTGATATTTTGTTGCACTTCTGTGATATGCTTTTTAAAAAGAAAGAATTAAATATTTATGACTGAGGGTGTTAATTGCTGCTGTTTACTACTTGTATACATGTAACTCTTTAGATATATATGAGTCATGTGAGATAAGTGCGGAACTTGAATATATAGTATGTTAGTAAGGACCGTTTGACTTAAATGTGCAGTTTGTTAAGTATCTTTTCCTCCTTTTACAAGTACCAAAAGTATAGATAACAGACAGATTATTACAAATCCTTGTCGAAATTTTCCGTTTGGTAACATTCATGCAAATGCTTTCAAAATATTTTTGAAGTAAAGGTTATCCATGTCAGTTACTAAAATGTAGTTCAGTCTATTGTAATCCAGTGAAACAATTACGGGTTTTCACTGCAAAATGAGAACTGGGGAACAAAATGGTAACAGAGAAACAATCTCTTGAATGAAATACCTGATTGGAGATAACGAACGGTATCTCAAAAGCTCAAAAAACCATTTAACAATGCACATTTTTAAGAGATCAAACAAAGACGGAGGTGGGATCAGGTGCCATGGAGGAGTGAGCATCCCTTGACAACCGGTCACACCCGCCGTGTGCTCCTTGTCATGATCGGGAAATAACGTGAAAATCCGTCGACAATTCAGTGACACAGTGTAAATAATTGCCCATTAATCAAAATAAAATCGTCAACTAGTATATGATTTAATGATAGATTGTAGTTACTAGCAAGGTCATTGTATCGACCGTAGAGCTTACAAAATGATTACTTTTAACAAGACTTCTGATAATCCTGTTTCATCAACTTGTTTGTCAGTAACATACTTCGTTTAAGAAATTGTTCAGACGTATAGCATTTTCTTGCGTACACGTATCAGATCAACTGCGAGACATAAAACCCATATGCAGGTGATAACGGTATATTGCTGCTTAAGTAAGGGAAGTTGATGGTTGAAATGTTAACGTCATCACATTTATCGTAAGGATTTGTGGTAGGATTACCAGTAACGTCTCTTTCTGGTAAAGTGATTGAAGTGATAAAAAATATATTTTACTTGTTTAAGCAAAACGTCAAATTAAAATACCGTTGATTCATCAAAATTTGTTGGTGTCCATTTTCGTGGATTGCTTAATTCTACAGCTTCATGGGGGCGTAGTTTAATGTATTAATTCGATCTACAAATTAATATACATTGTTTCTGAACCCTTGTATATTGATTTGTTAAGGACATCGGATACCAACGAAATCCACGAACATTGAGCCACCAAGAAATTTAATTTCACAGTAATCATAAAAATGTCTTTGAATCAAATGCTAGTAATTTCGGCAATTTTAATTTACTTTGATGAAAATACCAATTATGCTTGAAAAAAGTATTGGACTGTCTTTGGTTATATTTTTTATTTGTGGAAACGATTATTTAACTATTTTGGTTATTAGTAATCATCCTTTAAGAACACCGGTACATTAAATGGGAAATGTAATGCATACAGCGTGATTAAAATGGCCTTGAAGGAGAAAGTTTCAAGTTACTTATAGGATAAAAACTGAAATATGGTACCCCTATTGATTCCCCCTTCCCCTTTCCTTATTTTTGAAATAACCGATGGGACTGATATTTGTTTTGTGAACATGTTACACAAAAGACGGAAACAAACAAGCTATTGAATGCAGTGAGGAACAATTTTATTAAAATGAGTATAAGCACACTTTAACGAGAGGATGTTACGGAAATTCACATCCTTGTGAGTATGAACTGACATCAACATTTTAAATAAATATGAGCTTGTTCTATTTTTACTTTTATAGAAAAATATACACTCTAACTTGCTGAAATATCCATCTCATGACAATCATGTGAAAGTTCTGAAATTACTATAGTATTTTTAAAAGAGGGAGTATTATATACTGAGCGTTAAGCATCAATGTGTGTGGATAAACTGTACCTCCTACCTGTAGCGTTTGTGGTGCTACTGCCAGTGACTTTCCTAATCACGTAAGAAATCTGTTTTGTTTTTTTTTTCATTTTGCGAATTTTTCAGTAGCGTTCATATAACAACGTTGAACAATTTTAAAATGGCATGTGTTGCTTTTATATTGTTATTTATTGTTGTTATTGTTTATTCAATAATCATCTTTCTAAGTAGTTTGTTGAAAAAATCTTGAAATAGTAGGCCCATGAGAATGTTAAGATTAACGGAATGTCAGAGTCAGACCAAGAAGCAGTTGTAGTGATATCATGCAACCTATGGAGATAACCAACAGTATTCAAGATCAAAAGTTCATAAAACATTACAAAATAGGAGCAGCTCCAAAACATCATAGGTTGGATAAGGTGCCAGGGAGGAGTGAGCATCCCCTGTCGCCGGTCACACCCGCCATGCGCCCCTGTCATGATCGGCAAACAACGGGAAAATCCGTCGTCAATTCAGTGTATAAATAATGGATTAACAATTAGTATGAAAAACGTCAGTCAGCTTTTGACTCAATGAAAAATTGTATTTGCTAACAAGGTCATTGTATCGGCAATAGAAAATTTTTTATTTGAAATTAAATAAAAATATCTTGAAAAGCAAATGGAAGCTAGGTCAAGATCAGAAAGATATGCCATGGTTGAATCGCTCTGAGCAGTTCTTACATTTGTAAAGAGAGGACTGGAGAAAGCTTTTATAAGCTATATACGCCTGCTGCCCAATCCATGTCTATATTATTACAAAATTAAATATATTCAAATCAAATCAACGAATAAAGAGATAAAAATTATAAGGAAGGTTAAGGTGCAAAAATATTTTTGGAGGCTTAAAATATAGATTGGTTTATAGCATTCAAAAAGAATGTGGTCTATGATACATGGAGATATCAAACAGTGTTCAAGCACAAAAGTCCAAGAAATATAAGACATTACGAACAGTAATCGATCTCAAAAGTGCATTAAACATGAACCTCTAAAACATCAGAGGTGGGATCAGGTACCATGGAGGAGTGAGCATCCCCTTAAATGTTATAAACCAATCTATATTTTAAGCCTCCAAAAATATTTTTGCACCTAAGCCTTCTCTATGACCTTTACCTTTTAAATTTCGTGTTTAAATACAAATCAGGACCAAAGCAAAAACGGATCTATAAAACGCCGGAGATGGATCTATAAAACGTCGGAGATGGCATTAGGTGTCATGGAAAAGTGAGCATCCACAGTGTGCTTCTTGTCATTATTGGAGAAATGAAAGAAAAAAATCTATAGACAATAGAAATCATTTAGCCCTAAAACCAACCCATCTAAGTTTATAGACAACGAATGTAATTTAATAGATCTAAAATTAGAAACCACTGTAGAATGAGTCATAGTAAAATGAGTCGTGTGAAGTGAAATATCTAGTACTTGATTTAATGATTTGATTTTCAGGTTTAAGAGACAGTATTTAATAATACTTACAATTTAATATATGAATATGCGAATTACAAACAACATTCAAGCTCAAGAATCCATTCAAACAAAACAAATCAGAAGCAGAAAATCAGAGCAGATAATTTAATGTCTATAAAATGGCCTAACAATAAGTATAAAAACGTCCATCAGCATTTGACTTAATGATAGATTGTATTTTCACACACGGTCATTGTATCAACCACAGATCTTGAAAAATGATAACTTTTAACGAGACTGTCGATTTTCTTATTTCATCAACTTGTTTATCAATAACTTTCCTCGTTTTGAAACTGTTTGTACATAGAGCTTTCTTTGGCATATCGAATCAACTGAGAGATAAATCCAATATGTGCGGGATAAAGGTATATTGCTGCATAAGTTAGAGAAGTTGATTGAAAGATAAGTCCTCAGGTTGATCATAAAGCTTTTTTGTTAGGTTACCATTGTCTTTTTCTAGTAAAATAACCAAATATGAAACACTGTTCATGTATATGAAAGACTCTTTGGTATCTTTTATTTCAAAAGTTAATTAAGTCTCATTTAAATGCTTTGTTGTTAGGTTACCACTGTCTTTTTCTACAATATCCTAATATGAATAGAAAGACTCTTTGGTATCTTTGGTACTTTTATTTCCATCTATTGTTAATTGATAATATGTCGTCGATATATCTAAATTTCGAGATGGCCTGAGTGTTTCTAATCACGTTTAAGATTTTGAATAAATACTGTTTCATATGAATACCGACACAAAATCTGTTAAGTGCATTTCACAGATTTGAATTTCTAGTCATCCACCGGCAAACGGTGGAGTCTCTATATCAGTGAAGAATTTTCCAAGGGACATTAAACAATCAAAGTTGCTATTAACAACATGTATTTACAACTTTTGTCATTTTTCGTATTTCATTGTTTTAGATTATTAGGTTTTCCATAATTACTAGGGCATTTATGTTGTATCTTTTAACTGATATAACTGAAACACACAAAATAAAGAGATTAAATCCCGAAAGCACATTTTTGAAAATTCCAATTAATCTTCTTTTAAAACATATGCATGGTATCAGTAAAACAAATGACACCAAACTGGACTTCTGTGTACTGCATTCTGATCGTTTCATTTTTTTTTATTTCATAAGATATGCAATAGCTGTCAGCGATGAAGAAGTGGCACCATTCTTTCCTTTCATCAGGTTTGATATGTCATGTCGAAGAATCCCTTAACAAAGTCTCTTCTTAATTTTAAAGGATATTTATAGAAAGAAATTTCATGATTAACATAATTTTCAAAATGATTTTGGATATTGAAAAAGGAAAATGTCTGTGTTAAATTAAATTACATTTGTATTATACAAAGATATATACTGTACTAAGAAAGTCGAATCTCTATTTGTCTTTGAACAGTGATACTGGGACACTGCCACCAGAAAGTTGTATATTTGGACAACTGCTGAACATTGCTGCTGTTCTCAGTAAGTTTAGCTAAATATCATCTCAGTCAAATTTGTTAAGTTTGTACAACATTGTGATAAAATGTTGATTAAACTAGTATTTAAAAATTACGCATCTATGTAAAAACCATCCAAATTTAATGTCTATTCCTTATCAATCAATAATTTTCCATAAAGAAAAAACTGAGAATATTGGTTATATTGTCAAAACATTAATACATTAGGATTAAAATGTTTATTTTTTAAAAACACATCTGATGTAACCTAAATATTCTATTACCGTCTTTCAAAAATATAAATAATACTTTTATTATCTAATGCTTTCGACAACCTACTCTTAACAAAGCTTAAGTTGATATCAAAAATACTAGCAATCACATTCTAAGTATATAGTGTAAAATAATTAAGATATTTGCTATATTATATATCTCTTTCAGTTTTAATCGTCATTTATCTGCGATATAAACAGATAACTGCTTACATTGCCATCACCAATTTAACGAGACCCTCCCCTAGGACCAACACTGGCTTCTTCGTCCTCGGTCTTCTGTCTGGGATAGGTTTGAGTATCGTAGCAAATTTTCAGGTATGGAATGTTAAATAATGAAAATTGTTTGCTTGAGACAATTATCCGAAAACTTGATTTAGAAATTAAAAAAAAACTAATTAAAAAAAAATGTTTTTCACTTTGCTCATTTAGGTCGAAAATTCAAAAGGTATTCACATAGTGGGTGCGGTGCTTGCATTCATTGTTGGAGGAGCATATTTCTTCACGCAGACGTATATTTCCTGGATATTTCGAGATATCCCCGGATTCACAAAAACCATTCTTGTTACACGGCTTGTTATCTGTATATTATATGCCTCTTTTTTCATCATAGGTAATTTTTGTCTTGTCATTGATATCAAAAGAGATAGATGTAGTATTATCTAGATATTTTTTAATTGTAATTTTTTTCTTTTACAAGGAGTTGCCACTTTTGTCGTGAGTAAACGTAAATTAGGAAAACAGAAAATCTCTACCCGGTTATGGACATCCGATTACAAGGTCAATATCTTTAATTTCATCAGCGAACTTTGTGTAACATATCTTCATAAATTTATCGAAAAAAAAGTATTTTCAGGCAATGCTTCGACTGCTTCTTAGGGGTATTTTAAGAATTTATTTTTCAATAGAATTTGAACTCATAAGAGGTCATACCGGGTAATATATATATTACAATTTTTAATTGAAAGAGTCAATCATGCATCGTTATCAAAAGTTTGACACGTGACAATACTCAGAAATACTTTTTGAATTTTTGAGTTTTAAATATACATTTAAATATTCCAGGGTTACCCCGAACACGTGGTCTCTTCTGTAGTCGAGTGGTTGGGAAGTTTTCTCATTTGTGTTTATGTTGCCACATTTATACCTGAGTTCAAACACATGAGATTGGAAACAAAATGGCAATTGGAACTTGCCACCGGTGAGTTACAGCCTGTTGTGTAAGGAAAATAGCAGTTAACCAGAATAAAGAGATATTCCCATCGGAGATCCATCTTTCAGGAAAATACCAATGAAGCACATTAAGAATAAAGAGACCTTTTCCACCGGAGATCCAGGGTTATACAGACACATCTTAAAACATCATATCAACATGGCATATCTTCAACATCTTACAGATTCATCTTCATAGGGTGTTAAATGTAGGAACGATCAGCACTATGTACATGTACCATTCAATGAGAAATTGCTTGCTATTTTACAAAATGGCTTTCGTATGAGTTGTATTCATAGGCACCTGACGCCATTTATTTTTCTTTTAATAAAAAAATAAGGGTACTTTTTTTAAATAGAAAAATAAGTAACACACGTCAGGTGCCTGTTGTTGTATTCTAGATCATTAGGTAGAGTATGTTTATTAACTGTGTGATATTGTGGTGGTACAGATACTAATATACTTAATTTATTCCAATCATTATTTTTATCAAGAGACTGCATGCCTCAAGATGAACATTCATTGTCATTACCGGCCTTTTTGTCTCAAATAAGCCTATAACAACTACTATATATAATATGTGTATTGGAACATCAATGGTCGAAGCTTTTACATTTGAATCATGAATATAATGAAAAGAATATCGCAAGAAGATATCTTACTGGTATTTTTTATGTCTATATGAGCAAAACATACAAATATTGTACAATATTTGTTATTTCTTTAGGGTTCCATAATTATTAGCATTCTTGCATGCATCCTTCATAATGTGAAAATCCTCTGTGAGACGTAAAACAATCAACAAAAAAAGCTGCTCAGTGTAGTTGGCTGGCGGAAGAGGCGACCAGTTACTCTCCCTATGCACCTATTATTCAACCTCTAGTGTTTCCAGTGGTCCTTGTTTCCCCTCCACAATACTCTTATTCTTAACTTGGTAAATGATCTTGATCATTTGTCATCTTCATTTCTTTCAATTTATTTATCAATAAATTAACTGAGAAGCAAACAGTAATCATATTTTTTGCTTTTATATCAAAAATATTTAAAACAAATCTCCACTACAATCTTCTTAAATAGCAATTCAGAAGAACAAATTCACATTATGTATCATGGAGACCCACTTATGTACACAAGGTACTGATAACGGTTAAAAAATCGCGGGTATACAGGTACAGGGAAGTCATGCACAGATCAACATTGTGTCAATAGGGAGGTAAAGTCGTGTTTCTCTTTGTTTTTGTTTGTTTAATCTTAACGCTTTTAAGAAGTTTTTGATAAGTTTGTTTTTAGTGAATATTGCTTTGATGTTTTAGGCTTTCTTGTAATAGCGTACTCGTCTTTGAATAGTTGAAGGTTGGTTATGATTTTTAATTGAGGTATTGACGAATGAATTCTTTCATATCTTGATAGTACATTCATATAAAGATTTGTTTCCATTTTCAATTACATGCGATTTCAAAAGATCGCACTATACATGATGTTTGTTGAAGACAAATATATGCACACTGATTCGATGATTGGAAAGTACATGTAATTTTAAAAGCTGAGATATGTGTTCGCTTCTGCTTGTTTTGAATTTCACACCCTTAATCGTACCCCTTATCGAACTTCATGTAATATCAGATATAAGTACATTATGATAATAAGTTATTAATAACATAATATTAAGAAATATTAAACATATTTCATTTTAGGGAGACTTTAATATATAAAAAACATATATAATCTTAAATGTGATATATTTTCTTTATTTAGATAAGGTATAATGAATTAAAGTGAAACTAGATAAGACTTATATTGATTTTTCTTTTACAAAAATAAATACAGTTTAAATATACAGGACTGAACTTTTCAGGATATAAGTTTGCGTACATCAATTCGCTTCCAAACACGCCTGATGTTTTGTTAAATGAATTTTGTTTTGGAACATTTTTTACACAAATAAATATACACATACTTTTCTTTTTAATTATATTAGAGTATCTTTAGAATTCAGTTGATTATTTCATCCAAATTTTTATATGATTTATTTCTACAATAAGTGACGAAGAATTCAAGCTAATAATATTCTATCCAATCGTTTACAATTTTATTTTGTACTAAAGTAGCTATGCCTTAAATCCTCTTAATTAAAAACACGATTCTGTCTCACTTCTGTTAAAACTATGAAAATATTTATGAATTTTAAAAATATAATTGCTTTTTGACGATGCATTTTTAAAGATACAATCTTCGGGTCAAGTACAAAATAAGACGAAAATAGTCCTATCCACATAATCTGCAGTAAATCGGTTTTGTTATTATAATATTTTTGTAAGATCATAAATATTCATGTATGATTATAACAATTCTAGTCTAATATAAATATATGAACAAAACATTAAATGCAAATTACTTTTTAATGAATATTAAACAAATGAAATTGTTTTCAGAACAATAATTTGAAAGGTTCATAAGACAGGTTGACAGAATAAAATTAGAAATTTAAACCCCTATTGCAGGTGACAAGAATATTGCTGCAAAAGCAGGTTGACAGGTAGACAGGTCAACAGTTTAAATCAAGAACAACAATTTGACAGGTTTGACAGGTCGACAGGTAGACAGGTCAACAGTTTAAATGAAGAACAAAAATTTTTCAGGATTTGACAAATTCTTCGTACAAAATTCATTTGCAGTGTTCAGTCTACTCGAGGTCAATGTAAAGATTGACAGGTAATATCATAAGATACATGTATATTGAATGCCTGAAAGTCTAAATTTTATTCTCATTATATATGCGCAATGTCTGATAACAGTTAGATGTATATACATCTAAATTTGACACATTTGATAACCAAATTACCTCAACAATGTGTATTATGCTGACTCATTTTACTATAAATGAGCTGAATATATAAATTGTCAACACGTCTTATTGTCAATTCAAAATACATTTGAATAATGTTGTCAACCTGTCAACCAGATATAAAAGCACATTTATTAACAAATTTACTTTCAAACTTCACAGTATTATTGATGTCAACCTGTCCAGCAGTTTTCCTGTCAAACCTGTCAACCTGTCACTGAGGTGTCAACCTATCGACCTGTCGACCTGTTAAGCAGACATATAACGATTTTTTTGAACAAATGATATTTTATGACTTGGAAATATATATTTACACTAATGTCAACCTTAGTAGCATTTATAATAATGTCAACCCGTCTGCCTGTCTTTTTTTAGGCAAATGACTTTAATCTCTTTTATAACACGGATGGAATATATTGCAATTTTTAAAAGCTTTTTTTTTATGAACAAATGTTCATTTATGACTACTAAGTGCACATTAAAATTTATTGATACTTAAATAAAATCATTTGTAAGATACATATCTTGTTTCATACTTTATGATCCATTTTATATAATAATTGGTTGACAATATAGAATGTAATTGGTTTATATACTTAATTTACCAATAATGGCCCCAACTATTCATTAATATTAAACTATGATTCCTATGCAAAATATGCTAATTTTTCATTTTTTGTTTTTACATTTATGAATATTTTTTCAGATGAATATGCAAAAATAATATGTGTTCAATTTGTTGATGCGTGAAAAAAAATTGGAACTATTTTCGTCTTATATTGAACTTGAGCCCAATCTTCTTACATCGGAGTCTAATATTCTAACATTTAAGATAAAATAAAATGAAATATATGGAAAAAACGAACAGTTTTCAAGCTCAGAGGTCCAAAAATTAATACAAAATTGGAGCAGAGCAAACATGGAACTCCAAAAATCAGAGGTGAAATCAGGTGCCATGGAGGAGTGAGCATCCCTTTCCGACTGATCGCACCTTCCGTGTACTCCTTGTAATGATCGAGAAATAAGAAAAAATCCGTCGACAATTCAATCTGTGTATAATAGTCTAACAATTAATATGAAAAACGTCAGTCTGCAATTTTCCTTAATGACAAATTGTATATGCTGAAAAGGTAATTGTATCGATCATAGAACTTACGAAATGATGACTTTAACCAAGACCTTGATATTCTTGTTTCAGCAATTTGTCTGTCAATAACTTCCCTCGTTTAATAAATTGTTCATAAGTAGAGCATGCTCTTGCGCAAGAATAAAATTAGAAATTTAAACCCCTATTGCAGGTGACGAAAGAATATTGCTGCAAAAGCAAGGGAAGTTGACGATTGGAAAAGTTAAAGTCATCAAGTTTATCACAACATTTTGTTGTTATATAACCATTAACGTCTTTTTCCAAAAAAAAATATCCAAATATGAAACAAATGTGTCAGTTTCCGTGGCATCTTTTATTTCAAACGCATCGGGATACATTGTGTCGACATAAGAATGGAAATAACTTCTGTTAATTAACAATACGTCGTCGACATCTCTAAATGTCGAGTTGAAGGCCACAGCAAATGATTTCTTCTTTTCACGTAAAAGATTTTTAACAAATTCTTCGACCTTTTTGGTACAAAATTAACTACGCAGTGTTCCGTCTACTCGATCAATGTATAGTACTCATGTGAGTATGACTGGTCAACAGAGGATGCTTACTCCTACTAGACCCTTAATCACACCTCTGGAAGTTGTGCTTGTACCATTTTTTTTAGGTTAAAAATTCTTCCTATTTTCATGCGATGGGATAACCCTACGTAAAATGTCCTGATGTACCTGTTTTCAGTCTTGAAACTTAGTTATTTATAAAACTAAATTCAGATGGATATTTGATATTATCATTATCATATTTTTATTTTTAAGAACTGTAATTATTTGGAATCGAAGTTGCAGCAAATGCATACTACTTTTTCCCATTGGTTTTAATCTTTCTATTCAAGCTGAAAATGCAAATGATATAGTTTACAGATATCATAAATAAATTATATATGTATCTTTGTTTTCAGCAGGAATGTTCGTGCAACTGTTGGAGAAAAGTTTGATTCTTCAATCAATAGTTCAAGATGTTCGGCGATAAACTGCACATTTTCCCAGTATTCGTTGTGATATATGTTCCTGCATCATTTTTTATTACGTATGTAATTTTTCTAGTATATTTAATCAAATTTCGGGTTTATCTAAATAAATTCAAATTTAAACCACATAATAATACTTAAATTATATAATTGTTTGAATGGGACGTAAAAATGTCTACGCTTTTTGAATCGTAGGACCCCTTTCACCAAATTATTGAAACTGTCCATTCAATTAGAAACATTATTGAAATGATTGTATGTTATTTTATATTCCGTTTTAGAATTCAAATATTCATTCATATACATGTAAATACATTGTAGTAACATTTCGAGCTGGAAAGAGAATCTTATTTTACGACCCTTTGAGAATTTTTCACTCATTTTGAAAGGCATAAGGCAAACAAGTATAAGTTCTAAGTAGTCTTCAGAAGAATGTCATACAATCTATATAAAATTCTATGAGGTACTCTCCTAAAGTAATTCTTTGAATGTAGATATGGTATTGCGGTGGGTAATGGACACGTTGAACCAGGATTTCCATATATCAGGTAAGCTTTCGAATTCAGGACTACAAAGATTATTCCATTTGTCTGGTAACATCTTAATTCAGGTTATTAATTCTCTTCATTAAACAAAGTGATTCGGAGGACTATAAGTTACATGGGTAAGGCTTGGTTTCCTCTAAGCAAAATTTAAATAATTAAATAATTAAAACAAGAATTTATATATCATAGAATATCTTTAATTTCATTGTATTGAATGTTCGCCCAAGATTTCAAAAATAGCATAAATATATATTTATTTTTTATCCATAGAAGTATCTTTATATTAGCAATATTTTTATCCAAAATCAGAAACTTAAAGTTAATACTTAGAAATTTATTCTTTTCACATCCAGTGACACGGGTACCAAAGAACCCGAAAGTTGTGTATTTGGACAACTCTTAAACATAGGAGCAGTCTTTGGTAAATATGAGTTTAGTACTTCGAAGTTGATATTGAAAATATTTTTGAATTTCTCATTGACAAAGATTTTGTAGTTTTTTGTGACCTTTTAAGATTTCCATGGGTGCCAACTTTGCACCTTATTAGCAGTCTGTTTTTTTTTCTTTTCTTTTTTTATTAAAACGAAAAGACTTTCTTCAAATACGTCAAGTTGAAAAGAATTCTCTTGTTATGGTCTTCAATTTTGCTAATTAAATCTATCGACGACATCATTTAATAATTTTTAGTTCCATTTATATGTTAATTTGATTATCGCACTGATCTAGAAAAAACACAGCACAGACACTGACACTTCTGTTTCATATTGGGACGTTTTAATAGAAAAATATATTGAAAGCAGTCTTTTTTAAGATCTTTAAAACAAATGTTTGTATAATGTGCTCATAACATATAATTTTTTAATTTTTTTTTCAGCTTTGGTTATATTTTATATACGTTATCAGCAAATAGCAACTTATCAAAGTGATTGCCCTGTCAGAAGAATAACGAAATGTAATAAAGCTGGATTGATACTAGGATGGATGGCAGCTTTTGGTATCAGTCTTGTTGGAAATTTTCAGGTCCTGAAATAAATTTTACAATTTAATATCTAATTTCATTTTTAAGCATTAAAGTAAATTTTTCTATTTTAATCTTCACTAATTATATGTACACTAAATTTTGTATCTTTAATTAACTTTATTTTATGCCTGTAGAAAAACCATCATATTTTTTCAAAATATTTGATGAAATATATATATCATATTAATTATAGGAGACGAACGTTTTGGTTGTGCATTTGATTGGTGCTTTCCTAGCCTTTCTGATAGGGACAGTGTATTGTTGTGTACAAACGTATCTCTCCTACAAACTACCCGAGATGCCCGGTTCTTCCAGAAACCTTAGATTAGCCAGATTTATTATCTGTGTTTTAACGTTCATCTTTATGATAGTCCGTATCCTTTATGTGTGAAGTAAATTGTTCAGAAAAAAAAACAATCTAGGTCAAGCCCCTATAGTTTGTTAACATCCAATCACCAGAATATCTTAATTACTAAAATTTCATGGTTATTTATGTTAGAGACTAGGAAATGAAAGTGCCTGTGTAGCTCTTACTCTACAGGAGTATCTGAAGCCTTTTTCCTTGACAATGGAATAGTTTTAGTAGCAGGAAGATATGCAATGAACGATAATCCAAACAGATCGAATAAAGATATACCTATAGGTCTAAGCCCAGGCGATAAGGTAAGTAATTTTTTTTGCCCAAAACAATGATTTCTAAAAAGTATCACTTCTCTTCTTTTTCACCAAAAGAGAATCCAGCTATTCTATAGACACGGGTTACTTCCATTCGCGTGTAGTGTGCACATTATATTGCTATTGGGTTTGTTGTTGTTTTTTCTGCCTTGTAGAAACATCTTTTTTGCTTGTCTGTATACTTTATAATTCCTCCAAAATTATACAGAATCTTAATGCAAGGTAAACATTCCATGTACTTTGGTTATTACTTACCAATCAAGTTGCAAATCATAGCGAAATTTGATATGCATACCAAACCGTTGTCCATGAAACCATTTCCTTCAAACCTGTATACATTGCAGTTAAGTTACTCAATTAAATTGAATTTAACACCAAACCCAAACATTCCTAAAATAAAGCATAAAGTATATACATAATAGTTTACTTTTTTGCAGGGTTACTCGGCTCATCTGACATCAACTATATCGGAATGGATTATTGCATTTTTAATTTGCCTTTATGTGGCCACGTTTACGCCAGAATTTAGATATTTTGAAATGATTAAGCCTAAGGTAACATTCCGACAAAAATGTGTTCGATCTGGAATAGCACCAGCTGACCAGTCAAACACAAACGATGTTATGACGATAGAAAATGGTGGAAAAGATGCCAAATATTGAAGTGATATATAGTCTTTGATAAGCCTAAATGTGATACATGTATACCGGTATTTCATGTTGAGATGTGTTTTGTTGTCCATAAATATTATCAAAGAATAATGAATGTGAAATTCCCATGTTTGCTCAGTATTTTGATACATGCTCAAATAAAACATAATATTGAATGTCTTGTTCTTTATAGATTTACATTTCAAAAACTGGATAATATTTCAATCACAAATGTTATTCTACAGGAAGTAAGCATGTATATTCCAAAGAGATGCATTTTAATGTCTCTCAAAATATTTTTCATTCATTTCATATTTATAAAAATATTGTTTATTAAACAACATATATAACAATATTTTAAGACGGAAAGGCAAGTACAACTCAAAGGAGTTTGCTGTGGATTCAAATATGGAAAGATCGCACAGCAATCAGGTTCAAAAGGCCGTTAGAACAATATAAATTAGTAGCACACCATGCACCAATCACTAAAATCATGGAAATGAAATCAGGTGCTATGGGGGAAGGATATGGAGATAACGAACAGTATTCAATATCAAAGTCCATAAAACAATACAAAATAAGAGCAGAGCAAACACGGACCTCCGAAACATCAGAGGTGGGATCAGGTGCCATGGAGGAGTAAGCATCCCCTGCTGACCGGTCACACCCTCCGTGTGCTCCTTGTCATGATCGGGAAATAACGGAAAAATCCGTTGTCAATTCAGTGTATAAATAATGGACTAACAATAAGTATGAAAAAGGTCAGTCAGCATTTGACTCAATGAAAAATTGTATTTGTTGACAAGGTCATTGTATCGATCATAGAACTTACGAAATGATGACTTTAAACGAGACGGCTGATATTCTTGTTTCATCAACTTGCTTGTCAATAATTTACCTCATTTTAGAAATTGTTCATACGTAGAGCAATCTCTTGCGTATCGAATCAACTGAGATATATACACTCCGTATGCAGGTTACGAAGGTATATTGCTGCATAATTAAGGGAAGTTGACGATAGAAAAGTTAAAGCCATCACGTTTATCATATAGCTTGGTTGTTAGATTACCATTAATGTCTTTTTCAAGTAAAATATCCAAGTATGAAACAGGTGTGTCAGACTCTGTGGTATATTTTATCTCAAGCTCACCGGGATATATCGTATAGACGCTGAAATGGAAATCACCATTGTGTATTGACAATACGTCGTCAATATATCCAAATGTCGAGTTGAAGGCCACAGCAAGTGTTTTATTCTTTTCATGTATAAGATTTTGCACAAATTCTGCTTCATATGAATATAAAAATAGGTCCGCTAATAATGGAGCGCAATTGGTACCCATGGGAATTCCAGTAGATTGTTGGAGTACCTGGTCTCCAAAAACCACGTAGATATTGTCAATCAGTAACTCAAGCATCTCTTTGATGTCAGCTTCAGAGTACTTGTGTGTGCAATTAGAATGTGTTTAACAAAATTATTTTGCAAATGACCAATGACCAGGTAAGTAAATTTACGAGTTCCATTTTTATTAATAAAAGCAGCTGTCAATGATATCAAAAAGCCTGGACTTTAATTTATCGTGGGGAGTAAACATCCCCTGCTGACTGATCATGCCTGCTGTATGCTCGTTTCAAGTAATATGATTCTGAAAAATACGTCAACAATTCAAAGTATGAACATTGACAAAATAATAAGTGTAAAAATCATCAGTCAGCATTCTTATGTAGATTTGCTGAAACAATATTTTTCTTGCAAGGGATTTTAAACAAAACACTGTATACAAATAAAATGCTTATATTTATTTGATGTTGTTAATTTACAAATTAAATATACTACACCAATAAATGCGGTGACTATCGTTGACTACACAAACCTTCAGTAGATATTGTAAGACTTCATATCCACATAAAACATTAAATCAAGTAACTTTAGAGGCCCACATATTTCTGTTTCCAAGGTTGATTTTTTTTTCTTAAAACAAGAAAAAAATGTATCCATTTCTTTATCTTTTATATCTTTAATTGGACAGGAAAAATATTTTTGGTGTACTCAGGAGAGATAATTCTCGCATATTGCGTACCATGGAGACATAGCTATGTACACAAGACACTGATAACAGTTTTAAAACTATCAGTTTGCACGTATAGATCGGAATGGTATCAGTACAAAGGTAAACTTTTGTTTCATTTTATTCTTACTGTTTGAGTGCTATATTATGTTCCGGGCTCGTCAAAGTTCAATTTTTAGCACTTTTCAGAAAAAAAAATGTGATACTGTCCCAAAAATACACATGTATAAAACACTGATATTTTTCAATAGGACCCATTTAATAATGATTTTTCTCCTACTTCTTAATACTAAGTAAAGGTTGGTTATTTTCGAGGATTAATATTCTTAAAGGTTAGAAAAGAAATCATATTTGAATTAAAACATGAAATAACAATGCGTAAGGATTGATGTATAATGTATTCCTAGCTGATATTGACCAATGGAAAATCAGAGATGATTCTAGAAAAAATATTTCAAAAATACCGGCTTCTATTATTTTTCTCCTTTAAGATTAACTGAGTAATTATGTTGTTTGACGTCCCATTCGAGAATGTTTGACTCAAATAGAAACGTCTTCCCGTTAGGATAGGAAGCTTAATTTAAAGGAAGTGAAATGGAGTTTTTTCAGCTTCTTCTCTTCAAATAACACGCCTTTTCTTTGTGGTACAATACTTTAAGAATCGTGAACCAAGTTGGTAGGACTTTCACATTGACACATTTAATACAAATGTATCTTTATATCTTAATATAAAGATATATTCTTCGTGTATCTCAAAATTTTATTACGTCGGAATTCATTTAAAAGAACTTTGTTTATTGAAAAAGAAGGTGTTTGACATGCATCTAACATGCACATGAACATGTACTTTTTGAAAGTCGCCTTTTGCTTTCAACCTGCTCTATACATTGAATTACGGATGTTATCTTTAAAGTACCAATCAGGCTTTTTCATATGTTTGAGTAATATTTTGACAGTTGTTCAATACGAGTACTTTATTTTTAAATAGGTGTATTAACTTTTAAAACGTTGAATCTTAAAGTCTAGACACTTACTTTAACCAAGTATTTTTTAGTTACTTTGTGTATCAAATATTCAGACTCGCATTATACAGGTTGATATTAATTTTTATGATTTAAATTTTGCTGCATTTTATGATTGAATAATTGCCATCCCTGAGATCTAACAATGTGAGAAGAGAAAAAAAATATCAGCTTGGTGAACATTGTACCCTTTCAGATGGCTACAATTTACCTCAAAACAGCAAAAAATTCATGAGTTGAATTGTGTTTTATTTGACTATATTGTACATAAAACAAGCTTTAAAAAATACCTGTGGTAAATTGTTGCTTTAGTCTAGGTACAGTAATTTACTTATTTAAAAATTATATATTTCTATGTACTTCACAAAAAGATGACTATAGTTAAACTAAAACAAGTGTACATGTAATGTATGTTTTTTCTTAAAACTGTTGCACTAATTTTTCAGTATGGTTTTACATAATTTGCTTAGTTAAATAAAATTCTTTTATTATATATTTGTTGTTTGTGAATGCTTTTAATAGATTTACCTGTAAATGGCTGAAGCTCAAACCACTGTTCCAAGATGTTTAGAGACCATTTACACATATTTCCTGTATTCATAGTGGTATACGTTCCAATCTCATTTTTCATAACGTGAGTAAACTACAAGGAAATATGACATGAATTTAATGAAGAAAAAGAACTTTCCAGTTTTTTAAATTTTAATTTCTTTTCCTATTTAGATGACAAACTTCTATCTTGCGTCAGTCGTCATTTCATTTGTCCGTGTGGCTAAATTTCACCAATTTTTGTATGTAGTATATGTATGGCACGCCAAATTCACAAAAATGAGCTAAACATAGTTTCACAGTCGATAAACTCGGTTTATCGGTTGTAAACTATAGTTTACGGACTGTAAACTATAGTTAACAACGTTAATCTATATTTTACATCTGTAAACCATAGTTAACGCGATAATCTATGTTTCAGAACCGTAAACTATACTTAACACTGAAAACAATCATTTGCGATTCCAAAACATATATTATCTGATAAATACAGTTTCACGATTTGTAAACTATGGTTTATAACTCTTAAGTTAACTATAGTTAACGATCTGAAAAATATACGGTTGTCTCACGATTTGTGAAACTATGATTAACAACTCTTAACTATAGTTCACGATTGTAAATTATAGTTCACAGACGTTAATCTATGTTTATCAACAAAATCTATTGTTAAGTTAACGCATTATTACAGACAGATAAACTAAGATTATCATTCGTAAACTATAGTTAACAACCGTTAAATTTAGTTTTACAGATGAAAACTATAGTTAACGAATTGTTCACGGTTTGTAAACTATAGTTTACAGTCGATAAACCTAGTTTATCAACTGTGAAACTATGTTTAGCTCATTTTTGTGAATTTGGCGTGCCATATATATGGGATTTAAGAGGCAAATAAATTTCAGGGGATATTAGAAGATTTTATTAATTTGTAGTTTTCGGCCCCACCCAGGGATAGGGGACAAAATTGTCCTGGTCCCAAATATTCAAAGTTTTTCCTGGAAATCAAAAAATAAAACTTATGCATGATTTTGATAAAGATAGAGCCACTTATCAAAATTCAGAAATTCATGGCCATATGATGTTAGTGGCATTGGTGTTAGGGAAATGTTCTTTTAATCCAACAGAGAAAGTGTATCATTAAAAGAATGTTTACATGACCCTTAAGCCCTTGAATCTCTTGTTTGATTTTTTTTTATTGATTTATTTTTATAATTTATTCCAGTCAACCGTTCTTTGTTTATTATGCTTTAATTAGAATGAAAATTTACGTAAAAGACTATAATCAAAACTTGTTTTTAAAGTTAAAAGCCTGCAAACTTTGTTTTCAAGCCTCAATTAAATAATTAAAATCATTATCATGAATTTTATCTGTGGTTTACAATAGATATGGTATTGCAGTTGGAAATGGGCATGTTGCGCCTGGATTTCCGTACATCAGGTAAACATATTGCAAAGAAAATTTATACAGAATGTAACGAAATCCAAATGAGAAACAAGAGTGATATTTTAGCATTAAAACATATGCTTTATATATATATATAATATATATATATATATATATATATATATATATATATATATATATATATATATATATATATATATATATATATATATATATATATATATATATATATATATATATATATATATATATATATATATATATATATATATATATATATATATATATATATATATATATATATGTACTAGACAGGAATTGTCGTCTTGAATGGTTTGAATTTTTTCTTCAGTGACACAGGCAGCTTGCCTCCTGAAAGCTGTGTATTTGGACAACTCTTAAACATAGGAGCAGTCATTGGTAATAGAATGAATAACCTTGGTGTCATTTAAAAGAACTTTATTAGTTAGAGTATGCATATAAAACATGGAATATACAGAAAGACAAAACATTATTTCAATATTCTTGTAATTTCTTAAACTTGAATAACGTTTCAATACATTTTCTATTCAGTTTCAGTAGTATTCTATATACGTTATAAGCAGATAGAGACTTACCAGCACGATTGTCCAGTGAGAAGAATCACCAACGTAAACAGGGCAGCATTCGTTCTGGGTCTGATGGCTGCGTTTGGAATAAGTCTGGTGGGAAACTTTCAGGTAAAGTGTGAGAATATAAATTACAGCAACTCAAATACGAAAACTATTGTGACTTATCATGGACCTCAAAAGGCTAGCAGAGCTTAAATAAACAAACAGTAAACAAAAAGTCTGTCCGACTCTAAGAACAACTTTTAACAGTATGGTCGAGTAGTGTCTAATAGGAGGATAACGAATAGTGATCAATTTCATAAATTGGGGAATCAATTAACTCAAATCGTGAAGAGGAAATGAAATACGGACTTCTGGTGGGATCAGGTGCCGAGGAAGAGTAAGCCTCAATCTGTTGACCTGTGACATCCGCTGTGAGGCTCAAGTAATGATCAGTATAAGAAGTATTCTTTATTCAAATTTAGTATAATGGTATTGAACATGTCAGACTAAACACTACCCAACGATAGGTCGTATTCAGTAAGAATTTTTCTAACATATCTCACATTTCATTTAGTTTGGCGATTTTTTCATACAGTATTTGAATACATGGGGCTCAAGTCAGTTGTAACCATTACACATACTTACTCCTCTATGGCACCTGATCCCACCTCTGAGGGACACTTACGATGAATGTATGTATAATTTTGTTTATAATTTTAGGACGTGAACGTTGTTGTTGTACATTTGATTGGTGCCTTCCTAGCCTTTGTGATTGGGGCGATTTACTGCTGTTTACAAACTTACCTTTCTTTCAAACTACCTGATATCCAAGGATCCTCCAGAAAACTAGCACAAATAAGATTAGTTATCTGTGTTTTAGATTTTATTTTTATTGTTACAAGTATCCTTTGTTCATAGAAAAAGGCATTAAGTACTACATGAGCTATAAGAGACTCGAACGCTTTCTCCTGTATTTTGCTTTAATTAGAAAAACACAATAAATTTCATATAGATTTTTCTTGACAATAATTCAGTTTTGATAGCATCAAAGCTAGCAACAGAAGACAAACCAGAAGGTCTGAAGGCTCGGTGTTGGACGCCAGGTAAATCGGTACGTAAATCATTCAGTACTTTAGGAGGAAATGTTATATCAGAGAATCTCAAAGTCCATTAGCTGGTCGTATGCAATGTGCATTGTACCAACATTCAACAGCATTCTCAGCATTTTGCTGCAGTTTTGATCCGATTAACCAACCAAACATATTGAAATACTTTGTTGACTGTTGTTTCAATCTTTCAATTATGTCAATAAAATATGTTGAGATGACGAACAGTATTCAAACTTAAAAGTCCAATAAACATTACAAAATAGGAAGAGAGCAAAGACAGACCACTAAAACATCAGAGGTTAGATCAGGTGCCATGGAGAAGTGAGCATTCCCATGCTCTTGCATATCGAATCAACCCCATATGCAGGTGATGTGGGTATATTACTGCATAAGTAAAGGAAGTTGATGATTGAAAAATTAAAGTCATCACGTTTATCATAGGGCTTTGTTGTTAGATTACCATGAACACATTTTATAGTAAAATATCGAAATATGAAAAGATTTGTTTGACTCTGTGGTGTCTTTAACTTCAAGATAAAGGGATATATCATGTCAACATATCTACAAATATTTGTATATACACAGTATATTTCATGTAATTATAATCACACTTTCCAAGAGAGTTCGGGTATACTGATACCTTTTTTTCCTGGTCCGACCTTCCAAGTATTTTCTTAACCTTTCATTAAATTCCTTTTGCATTTAAAACTTTTAGCAAGCACATCTTTTGGAATATATTTGTTGATGCCCTGTAGATGTGCAATTAGGCTTCAAAATTTTCATTTGATACCATGTGTCTCATTTGGAGGTAAGAACGACTTATTCTTAAAACTTTGGTTTCAAGAACTTCTCTTAAATATTCGGTTTCAGACAATTATCTTTTGGAATATAATTAGAGGTTACCTGATGTTCAGAAAGATTTCATAATTCTTATTTTCACCAAAGGACCAATTGGGATATAAAAAACAACATTTATCCAAGAAAGTTCATTTCATATTTAACCAGTAGACAAATCAAATTCTGAAATATTCTTATGGAAACCTGTATATACACCATAAGGTTTGAAATTTTCACTTTCAGACAAGTTTTTATTACAAAAATCACAATTAAGGCCCAAAATTTTATGCAGTTATTTATATTTGACTTACTTGTACTTTGGGAGCATAATGCCGAAAGCACATCGTGCCATTGGACTCTGTTTTGGGATATGCTTTTTAATTGGGTCCAGGTAAATCCCGCCTCTTTTGCCTTCTTTTCCACGGACCTTCTCCAGGATTGCCTGGGTCTCACAACCCTCCCCTTTTCTTGTGGATTCCTAGTCAAAATTTCAAATCAATATAAATTTTGAAATAATTGTGATAACAAAACAAAATTTATACCATATGTTCAAATTGAAATGTTTTAAAAACCTGCAAATTTTTAATAACATATGTATCATAAGTGACAAGCTATTCAAAATCAAAATTTTGACTTAAGTCTGTTCTCAGTTTATGGTCTCCAAGCTTGGGCCTTTTGTAATGTTGTTTGAGGGTTTACCTAAAGTGTGACGAGCAGTATTCAAACTCAAACATGTCAAAAGTCCATTAAACATTACAAAATAGGAAGAGAGCAAAGACGGACCACTAAAACATTAGAGGTTGGATCATTTCCACGGACCTTCTCCAGGGGTCTCCCAACCCTCCTCTTTTCTTGTGGATTCCAATCCAGAGCCTGTTTGTGATGTTGATTGAGGATTTGCGTAAAGTGTAGCCTATCCAACACCATTTTCTTTTCTTTATCAATAAATATGGGATTTTGGTTGGTTCTCTTGAAATCTCTTCAATGGGCTGTTGTTTGAGATGGTTTCAGGCCATCTGATTATGTTAAGGATAGTGCAGATACATTTATTGATGAAAGACTGTAGTTCGTTGTTTATTGTTTTGGTTACTTTCCAGGTCTCGGAACCATATAAGAGATCTGCTTTATCATTTGTATTGAAAATCCTGACTTTGCACTTTATGGAGACTGCTTTAGAATTCCAGATTCGACTGAGGGTGTTGAAAGCTTGTTTTGCCTCATTAATTCGGCTTTGGACGTCGTCATCTACGCCACCGTACTTGTTGACGATCCCCCCAAGATAAGTAAATCTGTCAGTTTCTTTGATGTTCTCCCCATTTAACTAGATTGAGACCTCTTGTTTGTTGTTGCTTTTCATTACCGCTTTCTTCTTAGTATTTATTTGAAGGCCAGTCTTTTGGCTTCTGGTGCCAATCGTGATAGTTTCTCTTGAGCATCTTAATTGTTCCTTGTGCGAGAACAATTCAATGTCTGTCATCTGCAAAATCTAGGTCTTCAAGATGTTTTGTGAAGGTCCACTGCATTCAGGTCTTTCTGCCATCTTTATTTCCTACATGATCCAGTCAATGACTATCAGAAATATGGAAGGTGAGAGGATGCAGCCCCATCTTGCTCCTGTTTCCATAAAAGAATCTGTGAGTTATTTATAGAATATTTAATTAATACATTTCTAAGAGGAAAATTCTTCAGAATCAAAGTCTAAATTATTAAGGTTAACTTCGTATCCTTCGTATCCTATTATAAGCAGAGCTTACGTTATTAGCTCAAATGAGCTGAAAGTTCAACTGAGCTTTTCTTCATAATAGGGAATCCAAGTTTTACATTGAAATTGATAGGGAAAATCTTTAAAGATATTCTCAACGACCACTGGTCCAGGAAAGATGAAACTTACGTGGAAGCATATAGAGGTAGTGTAAATTCTAAATTGTTCAAATCGTGGCCCCCGGGGAAGGGCGGGGCTTCTATAGGGAATTTAATTTTTACATTGAAATAATATAGGAAAAATCTTTAGAAATGTTCTTCTCAAGAACCACTTGGCCTTTAAAGCTGAAACTGAAATGCAGCCTGGGGTAGTGTAGATTCTAAATTGTTCAAATCATAACCCCCGGAGGTAGGGGTGGGCCACAATAGGGAATCTAAATTATACGTTGATTTTAAATTTATTGAAAAATGTCTACATAAAAAGAAAAAAAGACTCCAGCTAGCTATGCCTTTAATTCAACATTTAGATATTTTGAGAACATTTTGTCAAATACTAAACTTCAGCCTCATCTATACGTGGATTACGTTGATACGTTGACTACTAGTAATATCCCGATGCTGAGCTTGAATTAAAAGACACCACAAAGTCAGGCATATATGTTTCATATTTGACTAGTTTACAGAAAGAAATTGACAACTAAACTTTTTTCTCAATCGTCGACTTACCTTTAATATGTAGCAAATACCATCATCACCTGCATAAGAAGTAGATTCCATACGTGTAAGAGCACATCCTAGCAAACCTTCCCTCCTTCCTTGTTCAGTTATGTCTGTTGAAGTTTTATTCGAACACATTGAGAGATGTGAATATAATGGATGGAAGAATCAACATAATCAATGTAAACCCGGAAGTTTCAAATCTTTGGTACTTTGCAGAAGAATAACTCAACCTTTTTTGGTCATTTCGTGGGACAGGTACAGATGGAGGAACATAACTTTTATTTCATAATTTTTTTTTGAATTTCATCCAAAATATAGCGAGAAATCCTTTATCAAATACATGTAATAGCACAATTTGATGTAATATACCATGTTGTATTACATACCAATTAAAAGTCCTTTTGATTAATATTGCTATTTTGCTACAACTATAACAAGTATTTATCTGTTTTCTTTGATTGTAGGGGTACGCTGCTCATTTGACGTCAACAATATCAGAGTGGATCATTGCGTTTTTAACCTGCATTTTTGTGGCCACATTTACTCCAGAGTTTAAACATTTCGAACTCATTAAACCCAAGATAATTTTTCGAGAAATTACAAGAAAAGACATGGTTCCTGGATTAGAGTCCAACAAGGAACCAAAAATAATGACAATTAAAAATGAAGAAGCAAGTGTAAAATATTGAAAATAAAAAAATGTGATAATTTTTTCTGTGATAACATATACATGTACATATAAAATCAGTTTAATAACATGGAAATGCTTGTCAATCCCAAAATTATTATTATTCGTATTATCTCATTATTACCAATGATGTCACAAATGTTATTTAAAATATCATTTTTTTTTAAATTCTTACCAAACTCAACATATCCTGCAGTTGTTTGAACACATTTTATTGAATAAATCAAAAGGATTGGAAACAAGCTTAAGTTCTTTTAACTTACGAGTTCCTCTCCTTAAATATATAACTATAATATGTTATGAAATCCTGCAGTTGAGTCTGATGAGAATAAAGCTTTGAAATTTTAACACAAGCAGACAAAACCATGAAACTTCACCTGTGTATGTTTCATTTCGACAACGGTGTCTCCCCGGCTACATAAAATAGACATGTCTGTAAAATTTCTTCAAAAGCATTCTCCATTTCTTTAATTTGAATAAAGTTCATAATTCTATATTTCACTTATATAAATTTTATTTTGACAAATGCTATTTCCTTGATTACTAAGAATGGAAGATGTCAGCCAAAGCCTACCTAGTTGTAGATTGTCCCCCGCTTTCGCGAAAGCGAGGGGACATTAAATCTCATTCGTCTGTTTGTCAGTCTAGCGGTCCGTCCGTCACAAAAACTTTAACCTTGCCAATAACTTTTGATTTAGTGGAGCTATGACTTTTATATTTCACATGTGTATTCCTTGTGACAAGACCTTCACAAAAACTTTAACCTTTTTACACAAAAAAATTAATTTTTGATAACTTAGTTGGAGCCATGACTTTCCTATATTTCACATGTGTAAACGGTTTTATTTTCCTTGTATACTTTGACAAGACCTTTCTTTGGATATCAACAAATTTGACCTTTTGACCTTTTGACCTTTGAAAAAAACTTTAACCTTGTCCACTTTTACACAAAAAATTTAATGTTTTACTTTGGCCATAACTTTTACTACCTTGATGTGTTTTTTAAACTTTTGTAAATTTTTATATTTGGCATTTGCATTAATGTATAAAATTTACCTTCACGATTGACCTTATTCTAAAAAATTAGCTTTGGTGATAATTTCTAAAGTGTAAAATTCACACCCACAAAGCCACCGAGAGCGGGGGACCACAATTCTTTGAATTTGCTTGTCTTTGCTAATAACTTATAACAACTATAGAATTCACGAAGTCCTAAAGTGTAAAATTTACACTTTAAAGTGTAAAATTTACAGATTAAAGTGTCGAAATTAAAATCGAATAAGTAAGAAGACATAAACATCATTTGCAGGTGATAGCTGTGAATATTACGAAATGAATAAGAAAAGCTGACTTAATTTCGGTTGTTATAAAATGTAGTTGTAACTTCTCCCTTATCATCTGAAGACATCTATGTTACGGACCTCGCTGACTCTGTGGTATCTTTTTTTCAAGATCACTTTGATTATGAATGGAAGTAACTAGTATTAATTGATAAAACGTTGTGGGTTCATCTTACTGTCGAGTTTAAGGTGATTGCAAGTGCTGTCTTTTTTTCTCGTGTTAACGTTCTGGAATAGATTCCACTTTATAGGAATATAAAAACATGTCGGTCGCGGCTTATAAAGGTGCACAATAGAGACTATCGAAATTCCAATAATTTTGTTGGAAGGTCTGGCCGTCTCTGAGGACTACATAGATGCAGTCAATGAGGAACTCGATCATCCTTTAAATATCAACTTCAGAATACATGTCTGCTGAATAATAGTGATTTATAAAGAAATATTTTTCATGACCAATCACAAGACATGAAAATTTTTTTAGTTTCATTTTATTATACATACAGATGTTTATGATCTATCAAAAAGCCTTAGGCTAGTTTTTAAATTTATTGCGAGGAATTGCGGTATAAAGTGTAGAAAATTCGTAAGTTGTGATGTAACTGCCATGAAAAATTTAAGAGATTTTGAATTTCTAAAGGTTTCTTTTATGTTTTCAGAATCAGAGGTTTACACCATTCCTAGAATATGCTGTAGCACACTACATGTACTTCTGAAGTTTCTCCCTTAGAGCAGTTAATATTTCTGAGAGGATTAAATAGAGCATTTGGTAGAGCCAGCTATCATGGCTATGTACCTTTGCTTACAAGGGTTTTTTTTAATGATATTTAGAGATTCAGTACAGGTAGGATGGAGCAAACTCACCTAGGATGACTGAGGTTACATGTATTAAAGGCAGAAATGTGAAATTAAAAAATTTCAGCATTAGAAAATGAGCTGTGAGTATAAGTTGGATTTCCAAAATCAAATTCAATGTTTTTTTGAAATTACAAACGAAAAGAAAATTGTTACTTGCCTTGTTTCTAGAACCAAACATATGTTTCTAAAACACGTTATCCATTTTAACAAGGTGATATGGCATTCTCCTTCATATTTAGTCCAACGTCTGGCATAATCTTTAACATAATCCATAATAGAACTGAAGTTATCTCGGCAACTGAAAAATAATAATTGACCACGGAATATACCTGATCAAATAATACATATATGGCTCATGGCAGGAGTGTCCAAGGGATAGATCTCCATCCTAGGCACTTGATCTTATCTCTGGAATTTCCAGGAATTCGTGTTTTCTGTCCTCTTTACATATTTGTATTACTTCATTGATTTTTTTTTAGGTCATTCACTGTTCGTCATCTTCGCCTTTTTTTCATTATGGATGAAATTATCTCAATTTTTTCACGTTTCGTTTTTTTTTTTTCGATCAGGACAAAGAACATGGTTACGACAGTTGTGAAAGGTCGAAAGGGGACGCTTACTTTTCCATGACACTTGATCCCTCCTGTGATCTGCATGATCCCGATTTGTCATGTTTCAATGGGCATTTAAGATTTAATGCTGGTTGTAATTTCCATATTTGATTTTAAGTGAATTATCAAAAAGAAATCTTTCAAAAAAATCTTTGATCGTTTACACTTGAATTGATTGTTTAAACATTTTAGTCCCGATGAAGGATCCGAAGATACAATCATCCGTCAGTCTAGGAGTCACATGGGCACTTATTTCTTAATTTTTAACCCACCGTGACGTTTAGTAAAAATATTTAATTATTATACCATGGATTGAAAATCTTTATTACAGACACGAGTGCGTGTAGTATTATCATACTCAGAAATAAAAAAAAAAACTGAACTGGCTGTAGAGGGGGACAACTCTGCAGAGGAGATTGCAAGGATTTTCGCGAAGTTCTCGACAGAGTTATCTGCTCTTACATTTTTATTAGTCAGGGAATTCCCGTAGGCAGAGAGAATCGGAACTAGTGAGGGGGTGGTAGATCGACATACATAAGCTCAGGTAAGTCAAAATCTATACAATTATTTACAAGTGGAGGGAAAAACAAAGACTAATCGCACACTTTACCTGTTGCCGTGACCCAGAAAACTGGTAAGCCAGGTATGCTAACGCTATACTCGTAACTGAATCAAGTGAATGGCCTAATTATTGTTTTCTTCTCTTTAAATATGTAGCCTGTATCAACATCGTATTTTAGGTATTTCAGTCATAGTTTAAATTCATAACATATCTACATAAAATAGGCCTAAACAAATTTGATATATCTTCAATTATCTTGTCTATTTTCATTTTAGGTTAGACAGTAGCCATTCAATCTCGTAATCGATCTAATAGATCTATTTTTAGAAGTCTGACGAAATATAACTTTAGTCAGACGGGGAGATTCGAGGAAGTGACAGTTATGCTACCTGAGGCATAATTGGCATTTATTTGTTTATTACTGGTGTGGCCCATAAGAAAATATATTTTGTGTGTTTCTGCTTCAGTAAATCGACGCACGCCTAATTGCTTTTATTTACCAATGACATCAATAGAACTCAAAGAACTTATTTTCTGTATTCATATATTGCGATTCATCAAATGTCTGGTACCGTTAAATATAAAAAAATTAAACTTGAGTAAACAAGTATAAAATTAACTCAAAATTATTGCCAATTATCTGTAGATCACTGCATAAAAACACTTGCAGTTGCTTCTTATCCCAATATCGTGACCTAGGTGAAGATATTTTCATGATTATACTATCATTCAACCCATACTTCAGTAGTTACAAGTTATTTATCAATCCTCCCAAAAACATAACATATATGTAGGCTTATTCAAATGTGCATGCTTGCTTAAATCTTTTTTTAAGTTTTAAAGATACAGACTCTGTTATGATGAACATAAACACCAAAAAAACATGTTTCGTCATTAAAGAGTATTCTAAGTGTATTTTATGAAAAGCTATAGAAACCATTTCATTAAAATATATTTAAGTATTTTGGTTTCTCGTAGTTAATGTTTGCTCTCAGGTTCTGGCTCAGTTCACACAAGCTCACAAACGTGTGTACTATACCGTACTTAATAGAAATCGAGATCTATCTCACATTTCCTTTGAAGTTGTGTCATCAGTCAGAGAGAACGGAAACCCCCTCTCCTAATCTCAATTACTGTTTCCTGAGAGTGTGTTTTCTATTTATACTTAATATATATAAGGATTGCGAGTAATAGAGAAAGACCTGAAAGAAATTTTTTTTAAAATTGTTTCTTCTGCTCGATATTGGAAATTGTAATGAATTTATTATCTTTTTTGTCTTTTATTTTAACAGGAATGTAATTCTGTATTGGAATTGCTGAAGATCAAGTAGCAGTTTATCTAACTGTAACTCAATCCTTGAAAACAGGAGGAAGAAAAATTACAAATACCTATTACAACTTTTAAATAGAGGTTAAGATGTTTTTGGCGGCCAGTTGGTGCCTGGGGCGCTATATGTGGCTTCTGCCAATTTTCACTCTTGGTTGGTTATTTGTTTCCATGACAACAACGTAAGTATTTTGATCTTTACCTGTGAAATTATCATTACTACAGTAAAACTCATTCGGTACGAACACAGATATTGGAAATTCACGGATATAGTGAAGTTATCTTGGATCCCCAGTTATATAAATTTAACGAAATTCCTTAAACGGATATAACATATTATGGATATAGCGAAGTAATTTCATAGATCTTAGTGGTCAGTGACTTCATTATAACCAAGTTTTACTGTATTTGAAATGATAATTAGCTTAAAAAGGAGCATGCATGAGGAAGAAAGACCAAGAGATGTTCTGAGGAACATGTTAACTTGTGTTTATTTTCATCTGTCTATTAACTTGGTAGATACGATTAAAGTAACTACAGCCCAGAGGAGTCTATTTTTGTTTCAATTACTTCTCTGCTTGAAATAAACTGGGTATAAACATCCCATGAAACATAAAAAATAAGGAAAAAAAAGGGGTAAACATTTTGAAAAGAAATATTCAGCATTTTTTAGAACAAGGAAGAAACACAATTTTAGCAGTAACAGTTTTATGAACAATAGTAAATGAAGTTTTGAAGTACTTTCAAATTTTACCCTTGAAGCAGGACATATATTACATCTCACTGCACATTGTTCAGTCGCTTGTGTTCATATGCAAAATTAAAGAACATGTGACACAATGTTGTTATAATCAATAAATTGTAGCACAATGCAGTTTGTTAATTTTTAGAAGTATGATGTAAATTATATTTCGAGTTTTCCTGGATAATCCAGTGAAACACTTGGATTTTTACATAGATTAATTCAGAAGAAATTAAGTGTTTCTGTATATAAATAATGAAAATTGGGTTAACAGAAGATAACTGTAAATAAGTAAATTACTCATCATACAATGTCCTATGCTAAAATTTAATTGAAATAAAGAATTTTTTGTAGTGAAAATTATTTAGTACATTGAGCAGGTGTGCTTTATAAAGCTGTGTTAGCACTGGTCAGAGGGAAAAAGGCCATTTCAGGAGGGAGGAATGTAATGGTTTGGGCTGTGGATATCACCCTGGATCGCTCAGTTATCACAACACCTGACTGGCGATGCAGGGGTCTGGGTTCAATTTCCAGTCCAGCCATACATTTCCTCCTTTCCCCTTACAGATGTGGTACTGTTTACCATCCCATGACTTACAAGTAAATGAAGAAATAGTCCTACCAGAGTCATAAGAACTTGGGTTATGTCTTTGAGGGTCTAGGTCAAATTAAGGAGGGAGATATAAAATGTATTGGCTCGATAGGTTAGTTAAAAGAGCACTTGACTAGTGATATATGTATGATACAGTCTAACAAGGGTCTGGGGTTTGATTTTTGATCCAGCTATATACTGTAAAATATATTTTTTTTGTGAGTGAGAAATATCTGCAAGATTTGCAACCTTCATTTACTCTGAATATTTCTTCTGGCAAACCAAATATTCACCTATGTTTTATGTAGAATGTTGCCCGTGGCAAACATTAGTAGCCTCAGATGGATCAAACCGAAGAATTGCAAATAAAAGATGACGTGAATGATAATTGGTTTACAGTATCTTCGAATTCTCCTTTCCATGTTACACACATATTATTGTGCCAAGCCTGTATGTAGACAAAAAATAAAAACTTTATAGTCATACTTAAATGTTCAACAAGTATTAAATTTGATTTGACCTCTCTGAAGAGTTCTGTTATTATCTTTGTATTTACAGGTATGGCATTGCTGTGGCCCTTAATCACACCTTCCCAAATTTCCCATACATCAGGTAAGCCTCTTTACTACCAGTGCATAATTACCTGTGCTTATAATTGTTTGATATTTGAATCTTTTACATATACATATGTCTAGTGTGACTATGATAAAATTATGTAAACATGTGAATGTGTTTGAATACTAAAATATATTTTGTTTTGTAAAATCGCATTTCTGATGACAGACATTATACTCCCATATTATTTTCTGTTTTATAGTTATACAGGGGTGCAAGTTCCAGAGAGAGGAATATTCACTTTTTCAATAGCAGTCACCGCAATTATGCGTAAGTCTTAACGTTATATTAACACATATTGTATTTTTCTTTTAAAAATGGAAAACTTAAGCACTGAGTACACTATATCAAGGACAGGGAGCTCATAAGGTTAAATGGAGGATTTTATTCTAATGTCACAAACATTTTATGAGTGCAACCTCAAAAGCAAAAGTTAAAACTCGCATTGAAGAATTAAACCATTACTGTTGTAAACGTAGCTCTTGGAATGACTCTTGAATTAATCAATTTCACACATAGCTACATGTAAGACTTCTTGATTGATAATGTATGGTGATTTATTTCACATTTCATATTGCCATTTTTTGGGTGCAAAGAATATTAATTGATTATTGTTTTAATAAATTACAACTAATAAAATTGAATTCTTTTATCAAAATAATGAATTACTTTTAAAGAAGCTTTGGGAGGGAGGGGTATTATTTTATATTTTGATTATCTGCTTGACTTTGTTCTTGAATTTTTGACAAATGTACTTAACTCACTGCCTTACTTTAAAATATTTTTTTTGACAGTTGCTGCAAATGCAGAAATGCGATTTCTGTTTGTTAAAGAGGTTTTTCGTGAGAAGAAAATGAACAAGAGATGGACGGACACTAACATTGCTGGCCTTGTCCTGGGGCTGATTTCTTCCTTTGGACTTCTGCTTGTTGGATGTTTTCAGGTAAACAATTTCACTATTTTAGCTAAATCAAATTTTCAAATGTACTAATATATTAAATCTCTTAGGTTTCTAGACCTCTGAAATCAGATGCAGGATCAGGTGCCATGAAGGAGTGGGCATCCTCTGTTGACCTGTCACATCTGCTGTAAGCCCCTTGTCATAAACAGAAAAATCAGTAGACAATTTGGTTTGAAAATAACTGCCTAAAAATTTGGTGAATTATGTCAGACAATATTTAGCCTAAGAAGATTAAAGTTGTATTTGTAAACAAGGTCGTTATATTAATCATGGATGGAATATATAAAGAAAACATTTACACTCTTAAGATAACTAACGAAAGAGGGCTTTAACAAATGTATATTTTTCCTAGAAAAACTGTTTTAACAAGTCTGTTGCCTGAATGACAGTTTAATGTGTCGTCCCACATGACATTTAAAGGGAAATAACTCTTGTAAAATTCATGTCTTTCAAAAGCTATGTGTGCAGTCAAAAACTCTGTAGCAAGTAAGAAGATGGATGTAGAACAGGGTTGGAAAAGGCAGTAAAACCAGATTGTTTATCTTTCAAATCTACACAACAAAAATGTTTGGATCACAAGGATGCAAAAGTCCAAATATAGATCTGAATTTTATTACATTGTAGTGTAACATGTGAGGCAGGTTGTCAGCCTGTAACAAACTGAGTAAAGATGATTAGGTGTTAATTCTTCAGCTTATACAGTTATCTGCAATGTTAACTTGCTGAAGTTTTTTGACATAAATTTTCGGTCAATTTGCATGTTATTTGATTATTTTGTTCAGTGGATTATAACTTCCTGTACTAAATCAAACAACTACATGTAATATGAAACATACAGGTATGCAAAAGAAATTCCTATTGGTTAATCCATGATGCATATTTAATTATTTATACATATTTTTGACAGGTGGATGTAATGAAGCCACCCCATTACTTTGGTGCATTCTTGTGTTTTGTAATTGCCATAGTGTATCTATGGTTACAGACCGTCATCACCTGGAAACTTAGACATGTGGCACAGAAGACACAAGACGGCAAAGTTTGGAGGGCAGTCCGCTTCTTCATCTGGATATTCCAAATCCTCAACAGCGCAGCTTCCACCATTCTGCTCATCTTGTGTATCCTTAATTCTGAAGTAAAACAAGTAAAATTACTGTAGATTCTTAGGATGAAAATTAAAAAATAAAAAAGGTTATTTGCTCACAAGTTTGATGAATTGACAAAATCACTTGATGTGACAAATCAGGAATAAACATTACCACTAAATAATGTAAACAATAATTGGATTACAGTAAACTATACACTGAATTTTTTTTTATTGTTTCCTTAATTTACCAAGTTTCTGTGTCAAAGACAACATATAAATTACAAAGAAAAGCAAACATGGGGACAAAATGGGTAAGACAGTTTTTTATGTATTTTAAAGCTCATTGCACCAGTACTTCAAGTGTACTTTTTGTGGGTATTTGTTGTATCTTTTATTGGTGTTTAAAAACAATATAAATTACAAAGCTTTTAAAAAAACAATAGCTTCAACTTTAGATTATTCATTGTATGATTGTAGGATACGTTACGTGGTGTGTTTTTGTTGTCCACAACGACGGAATGGCTGCTCGCATTCTCAATTATGTTTTTTGTACTGACCTTCATCCCTGGCTTCAAACGTTTGAAGGACATCAAAGTGAAAGTCACCTTGGACAAAGGAAAAGACAGAAAGTGCGGCCCAGTATCCAATGGAGATGCAGATCAGGTAATCCATCTACATTGTGAAATTGTTAAACATTTACATAACAACTATAAATTTTCAGGCATTTCTACAACAATACAATACTACATGTACCAGTATATTTATTTCAAAAATAAGAATCAGCTGTTAAGAATATGAAGATTAAATTATTGCCAGATCAATATAATTATAGTATATACTTTAAAATTGATTTTGTAACCACAAAAATGGACCATTATGGTGTGTGTGCTTAATTGGTAGGATTAACGTCTCATTTCTTTCTGTGTTTATATTTATGAAAACTAAAGTATGATTCTAGTTAGAAGCAGTATATGTCCTCTGTCCTAAATTCTAAATTTTCTAAAATAAGTACAAACAGAGTATATTTTACATTGCTTTTTCATCATACATGTCTTCGGGCTATTTTCTGGGAAATTTAGAAGCAGACATTCCTGATCGGCTTTGTAGTATTTAATGCTTCCAGCTATAAAACATAGTACCAGGGTACTAATTATAGTCAGCAGCACTGCTAATTAATTTAGTGGGACATATAGGTGGGTGGGTGAACATTAAATATACATGTATATATAGGCCTATATATTATATATGTATGCACAATGAAAATGCTGTATATACAAGTGGCCCTTTGCACATTCCTAATAAAATGATTTTCAATTTTTCAATTATTCTAATAGCAGGTATAATCAAATAGTGTAAGTAATTAAGCATTGAAAGTAGTATGACCAATTGTGGTCAAAATATGCATGATAAAATGTTAATGTCAAATTCTCAAGGAATGATCATAGCATTGAACTTTGAAGTATATCAGCTAGAAACTAATTCTAAATGACAACATAATTTATATATGCTTATTCACTTTAATTCACCATTCATAGATGGCATGTGCTGATTATTTGTCTTTTGTGAACAGCAGTAGGAAGCTCCTTGTTGGTTTTGGTTCATGTTTTAGAATTAAGAATATACTGGCATGACTGTAATTCATAATGACTTTTTATTATGCGTTTACATGAATCTTTATTACTGTAAATAAACTGGCCATAAGAGTAAGTTTTCTCCCAACATATATCAAACACATGAATATATTTTTTTTTCTGGTAGACCCTTTTAACTCCCTTTGTAATATATGTATTATATTACTTAACAGAACACTAAAAAAGCATGAAGTCATGTCTGTATTACTAGTACTTTGTAATTTAGTGCTGATATTTAATCAATGCACAGTATATGTATAATTATGTCTTCATCAAATTGTCCAGTGTTGATGCACGCTTAAATTTGCTTTTGAATTTTTAACAGTGGTCAGTTAAAAGGATAAAAATGTACCAGTACCCATTATTCAACTACCAGTATCTATATCATTTGTTTATTTTTTCTGATAATTATAGCTACTAGAAAATTTCTTCTTTTCAATTTTTCAGCATGAAATGAATGACAGATCAAGTTTAACTGGACCAGAAAAAGTGTAGAAGGTACAGAGAACTATAGTCCCAACATTTTCTAATCAAAGACAGCATTGATTTAAACATCCAGTTGTTAATCTGATACTTCTCTCTGTGGTAGTCAGTACAGAGTCCTCACAGAGAGTTTTATCTGAAGTTAACATAAGTTACTACAAAATCAAATTGAACCATTTGTTAACACAGAAAATTTTATTAAAAATTATTTTACTTCACATTTACATGTGAAAACAGCTCAATGCTTGTTAGTTAGTTTGCATTTGTTAATTTAATAATTTGCATAATTTTACATTTTCATAAGTGAAATAAAAGTTAGATGAGTACTTCTTTTGCCAAGCTTAAAAATCTTGAGTTGTATATTGAGTTACTGGTGCTGATCTAGTATAAGTTGTTATATGATTGAAGATCAAGTAACAGTGGTGTTAGTGATGTATGTACAGATTTTCTAAGTATCTACATGTTTTAAACTTTCAGGTATATTTCATTTTGTTAAAATTAATCCTTGTATGAGCTTTATAAAATCCATGATATTTTTCAATTTGGTTTTTTTTTTTACAATACTTGTAAATATGTCTGACATGCAATGTTGAGAATAATTATATTATTTTTTCAGTGAATACTAACTTTTTAATATTTTTTCCTTGTAAAATTTTTATACTGGATTACCATTTAATGTCAGGTACATATGTGTCTTAATCATTGTATATAAAGTGTTTCATGTTTTGTGTACATGTATCATCTTTAAAATATTTTTTTTCATCCCTTGTGGTATGATTTTTGTGACCACCTTGTTTGCAGAATCAAATGCTGTTATTGAAACCAAAATGACAAGCTTTACTGCCTTAATTGTGTACTGCACTGTATGTTGTAATGGCTACCACCATATTACATGTACTATTGGTGCTACTGGATTTAACTGGAATTGTTTTAATAATTTCATTTGCACATCCAAGCTTTCAAAACCAAATATTTGCAGTGATAGAAATAATTAGAGGTGAAGAAACAAATATGGCATTCTAAAACAAAGTTGTTTTTTTAAATAAATTAATACAAATAAACTGTCATGAACTGTTAAGTATGTGCATGCAGATAAAGCTTAATTATAATCAAATGTCTGCACACACAGGTACATGTATATAGAAGAAAATGTGGGTAAAATAGTTTGCTTTTTTTTTTTTTTTTATTTTGATGATGATTTGGGTAACAATTAGTCCCAGCAGAAGTCATTAGATATTAATGTTTTAAATAAATTTTCGTATATTTTAAAAATCAGTGTTTGTATTTGTATCCGTATAAAAATTTCAGATCAGCATTGCATGTTCATAGAGTACTATAGCTGTGTTTGTAAATTAAAGATATGGAATAATACTGTTTTTTTTTTTGTGAGTGAAGATGGCAGGAAAGTGTATTGAATGGTTGTGAATTTTTTCATAGAATTTCTACATATTGGTTCCTATATTTATACATGACTGTGTTGTCTTTTTTATGCTGCTGCATTTTCATACTACAGATTTGTTTAGCTTTGAACATAAAGAGTATTCTCTAATTATGTTAAAAAGAGTATTTTTATAATTCTGAATACTGGGTATTGTAAAATCTATCAAATATTTTTATATATTAAATTTATCTGTCAAGCATTGCTCAAATGAAAAAAGAAATTAATTTAAACTTTATTAATAAAAGATAACTTTGCTTTTACTTGATTTTAATGTTTTTCCTCACAAGTTATTTCCCTTTCACACCTCTGTACTTTTTGTGAAGATCTGGTAAGTTCTATTGGTTTTGAAATAATGCAGGGATTTGCTGTCACACAAAGTTTTATTATCAATAATAGTAAGTGCTCCACCTCTAGATGAAATGTTGTATTTCTCTGTGTTCATGCAGGTTATGGAATTATATATTTTTTTCAATAAATGACAGAAGACATAGTTTTTAATGTCTTAGAGAATAAAACAGAGATAATTTCCTGATTATGTCCATGAGCATCTGATTTAAACAATGGAATCTCTATACTCCCTATTTTTAGCACATTATTTTTATTGAGCTGTGCAGTATCCTACAGAAATTGTGTCTGTTATTAACATGATTTATTTAGGATGTGTACTTTTTGATCCATTTATATGTTTGAATGAGTAGGTGATCATAATTATTTCTAGAATTTGTGAAAGGATTTAACTGGGTGATGGGAACTTTTTTATTCCTTTTTTTTTTAACAATACAGTACTAGTTCTTGTTTGTACCATTTTACCCAAAAAAGAACCACTGATAGACACATCATACAAACTTGTGACTATTTATTGGAATTTTTAATTTTTTGTATTATTAATAAACCATTGTTATGTTTGAAGAAATCTGCCCATCCCAAAGCAGAGTCTTATTTATCCAAACTGTTGCTGTTAAGCTCATTATTGTTGGCCTTAGGTAAATAATTGTATACATGTGTAAAATTCATGTATTGTCAAATAAATATACATTTTGTTACTAGAATGTGGACTTGATTTTTGTCATAATAGTGAAGGACATTAATTTGGGATGATTGTCCGTCAGATGAAAACAAATTACATTGTAAGACTTAGTCCTGTTATAGATTTTGCTGTACAAGTTATGATAATGAGTTTTTCTAGCTTATTAGCTCACCTGAGCCAAAGGCTCAAGTGAGCTTTTCTGATCAAAATTTGTCCGTTGTCTGTCGTTGTCGTCGTTGCTGTAAACTTTTCACATTTTCATCTTCTTCTCAAGAACCACTGGGCCAATTTCAACCAAACTTGCTACAAAGTATGTGCTTTTTCCTAGCCGATGTGCTCAGGTGAGCGCTGTGGCCCCTGGGCCTCTTGTTGATATTGTGGTCACAATATGAAAGGCCAAGAGCACTTATATTTGGTATAAACTTGGTCTGTAACTCATCAAGATACACCTGCATACCGAAATTCAGCTCAATAGCTGCAAGTGCTTAGAAAACTAGAAACATTTTTATAGGAAATGAATGCCCTGCCATGTGTATATCAGTAATGCAACATGAAATTTGTATAAGAGTATGAAGTTTGATGAGAATATCTTAATTGAAAAGTTTCTTGTAAATTGAAATTAAAATCTAAAAAAAAAAATGGATATCGATGATAAATTCTCACCAATTATATTTAAGTTCATAAGCATACATAAAAATAAATATCTTATTAATAAATGATTTCTTTAAACTATATGTAAAATGCAAATTAAGACAAGTAAAGTCAGGGTCACAGGAAAGGTTGAAAAAAATCTTGATGCAGTTGATAGCATATGAAGTTAAAAAAAAATATCGAGTTTTTTTTTTTTAAACTGAGCTTAACACCAATATAAGAAAAGTGAGGTCATGATCAAAGGAAGGGTTAAGTTAAAACAAGATGTGTTTGTGAAACAGTGATGCCCCCGTATGGCAACATACTGAAGGTTAACCTTTCTAAAATGCAGATCAAATATGTTGGTACCTAAAGTAAGGCCTTTTTACAAGAAATACAAATGTGATATATAAAACCCTAGCACCACCTGTTCAAGGGTTATGACCAAGGTTAACATTTTAAAAGGTAGGACAAACTCCGGGGTCAAGGTCAAAGGATCGAGGTTGCTAGTTTCTAAAGCAAGGTCTTGTCTCAAAGATTACATATGGGAAGTATGAAAGCGCTAGCCCTTACCATTCAAAAGTTATGGCCAATGTTAAAGTTTGTAAAAAGTAGGTCAAACTCCAAAGTCAAGGTCAAAGGGTAAAGGTTCTTAATATAATCCAAAGAAAGGTCTTGTCACAAGGATTACATATGTGAAACATGAAAGCTCTAGCCCCTACTGTTCAAAGGTCATGGCCACGGTTAAAAAGTAAAAAGTAGGTCAAACTCTAAGGTCAAAGGGTCAAAATTGTTGATATCCAATGAAAGGTCTTCTCACAAGGTTATATATTTAAAGTATGAAAGCCCTAGCCCTCATCGTTCAAAAGTTATGGCCAAGGTCAAAGTTTTTTTGTAAGTTCGGAAATCTCCAAGGTCAAGGTCAAAAGGTCAAAATTGTTGGTTTCAAATGAAAGGTCTTGCCAAAAAAATTAATATTTGAAATATGAAAATCCTAGTATCTACCATTTAAAAATTAGGGCCAAAAGAAAAGTTTGGAATTTTTGTGTAAAAATGGATCAAACTTCAAGGTCAAGGTCAATGGGTCAAGGATCTTGGTATCAAATGAAAGGTCTTGTCACAGGGATTAAATATGTGAAGTATGAAACCCCTAGTTCCAACCCTTCAAAAATTATATTCAAGGTTGTATTTTAAAGTAGGTAAAACTCGAAGGTCAAGGTCAAAGGGTCAAGGTTCTTGGTACTCAATAAAGCGCCTTTTCACAGGAATTACATATGTGAAGTATAAAAGCCCTAGCACTTACCGTTCAAAATTTATAGCTAAGGTTAAAGTTTTTTCATAAGTACAGAAATGTCCAAGATCAAGGTCAAAAGGTCAAAGTTGATGGTATCCAATAAAAGGTCTTTACACAAAGAATATATACATCAAGTTTAAATGTCCGGTTATCTACTGTTAAATAGATATTGCCAAAGTAAAAGTTCAAAATTTTTGTGTAAAAGTGGGTCAAACTCAAGGTCAAGGTCAAAAGGTCAAATTTGGTGGTACCCAAAGAAAGGTCTTGTCAGCAGGAATACACGTGAAATATGAATGCCATAGCTCCACTAATCAAAAGTTATGGGCGAGGTTAAAGTTTTTGCGGACAAACAGACAAGAGACAGACAGAGAGACAGATGGATGGACACAACAAAAACTATATACCGCCAAAACTTCATTTACAGGGGAATAAAAAATGATGCAGTTGCATAGCTCTAAATCAATATCTATCTGCATGGAAGGGTTGATTACACTATATTGAATTGTTACTTTAAAACTATCCAAGACAAGAGGCCCATGGGCCTTATAGGTCACCTGAGCATTATGCAACAACTTTCCAGTGATTGAATTTGATTCAAGTTTTAAGCCAGATGCTATGGCATTCAAAATTTTGAAAGAGGCACCATTGATCATCATAACAGTACACTTAGCAGTTGCTTAGTTTGTTTACTTAATACCCATATGCAGGGTAGGGGAACAAAAAATGCATTTCAACTAGTCAGTAATATTCAGCAATAATCAGTAGTGCCCCTACCACACATGAACCCCTGACCCTTAGGCCTTCATATTTGATTAATACCAAGGAGCAGATTTCAAACCATTCATTCATTTTCAGTATATAAGTATAGCGCCCCCCCCCCCCCATGGTACCCCTGACCCGGGAGCCTTGAAATTCACAATTCTGGAAGATTAGGGCCCTTGTTCATTATAACTATATAGGTAGTTCATCTGCTTAATATCCTGGAACAGAGAAAATATTCAAAGATTTAATGTATTTTCACTATATAATCTATAGAGCCCTGCCCTAACACCAGAACCCCTGACCCCGGGGCCATAAAATTTATAATTTTGGTAGAGGTATTCTTGCTCATCACAACTACGTACTTAGTTAGTTTATTTTATTCCTAGGAGCAGAGAAGATATTTTTTTATTTAGTTTCATGTATTTTCACTATATAATCAATAGAGCCCCGCCCTAACACCAGAACCCCTGACCCTGGGACCATAAAATTCACAATTTTGGTAGAGGCACTCTTGCTCATCATAACTATGTACTTAGTTAGTTTATTTAATACCCAGGCGCAGAGAAGAAGATTTTCAAAGAAATAATGCATTTTCACTACCTACTTACTTAGCCCCACCCTAGCACTAGAACCCCTGACCCCAGGGCCATGAATTTCAAAATTTTGGTAGAGGACTCATTGCTGATTACAATCATGCAAACAGTTTGACTGCTTGATGTCCAGGAGTAAAGAAGTAGATTTTTAAAGATTGCATTAATTTTAGTGGTTTTTGCCCCACCCCTCAGGCCCCAGGGGGGCAGGGATCATAAAATTCAAAATTTTTGTTCCTCTTCGTCCATAGATGCTTTATGCCAAGTTTGGTTGAAATTGGTTCAGTGGTTGCAGAGAAGAAGCTGAAAATGTTCAAATGTTAAAAGTATACATAAGATTGGAAATTGATATAATTTGTTTATCAATAAAAGTTACGAAAATACTGTAAATTACACCATTAAAATTAAAAGCGTTACAAAGTTATCAAATTATAATTATTTATTATCCTGCAAGGAAAGAAAAAGTTATTTTTAGATAAATCAATCACGTGACGCTGTCGCTACTTTTAGATTGATAAACACACGTGGCGTAAAGAAAACAAGGTAGGCCATTTGAGATACTACTCAAACGTGGATGGCAAGCGTCTTAAATGGTACTTATCTTTTAATGTATTCAGTATCAACCATCTTCTCTTTTATGACTCATATTGACCTTATATTAATAATTGTTGTCAAAATGCAACACAAGTCGTTGTCTGTGATTTCCCGTGGACATGTGTTTCTATATATAGGCCTACTGTTTACGCACTTCCTTCATCAATATTCATGAAAAGACTGAATTCTTAATTCCTAGATATGTTTAATTGTTTTGTTATTACAACGACATCTATAGTACAATTTTGTGGAAAGTATTATTTTTTATTACACTTCATGTATTTTAATTCATTAATCATTTTGTTTCACACAAAATTCGGCGTTCACATAGCGTATATGACTTTAACGCACGACGACGGACGAAAACAGATAGCGATAGGTCACCTGAGTTTACTCAGGTGACCTAAAAAGTGAAGTCAATGTCAAAGGAAAGGTCAAGGCCGAAAAATTCTGATGCAGTTGAATAGCTTACATCAGTATGCATCAGCTTATGAACTTATGAACTTTGAATTCGCTATCTTGAATTGTTTCTTTAAAACTGAGCTAAACACTAATTTTAGAAAAAGTGAGGTCAAGGTCAACAAGAGATCAAGGTCACAAAATGTTGATTCAGTTGAATAGCTTACATCACTGCATCAGTGTGTGAAGTTTGATGACACAATCTTTTCAATGCATGGTTTCTTTACATTGCAACTTAACACAAATTTAGGAAAAAAGAGTTCAAGATCGAAGGAAAGGTCAAGGTCGAAAAATGTTAATGCAGTAGAATAGCTTACATTAGTATGTGAAGTTTGATAACACTATTTCAAATAGTTTCTTTTACACTGAGCTTTGAACTGATTTTGCAAAGCGGAAGGGAAGGACAATAGATGGACATTAAAAACTCTACATCTATATATGCCCAGGCCACTTTCACGGCAGGGCACAAAGTATGGAAAACCATGTGGGACAAACTGACAGCTGGACGAGGAAACCTATAGTCCCTCCAGTTACTCCAAATGTGGACTACAAGTAATAACACATATACATTGTTTACATAGTGTGAAAGGTCACTTTGAATAAGAGCTATGCATTGTTTAAACCAGATGAAAAGTCAAGGTTGAAAGTTGAAATAGACTTCCATGTATTCTCCATGGTTTTGATTACCAGTAATAAAAGATAAATACCCTCCTAATGATTGACAGTAATATTTAGTTGTACTTTATATAAAGCTACAGCAATAAATTCCAATACACAAAGATCTACTCTCTGACCTTTACACATTACTTTATTTGTGCTTGGGACAGGTGCAAAACGTATTTTTAAAATCTTCAATATTCCATCTGTTATTGCAAGTACTGTTTGACTCCTAGTATTTGTCAATTTTTGTCACTCAATTTCTGAATTAAGGAGTCCAACTTTTACAATTAATATACATTCTTTATTTTCTAACTGAAAATATGACATTTATTTTCATCAAGGCACAAAGTGAAATAAAAACATGTACAGAGATGTAAATAAACACATTTAACATTTTTAACAAACTTAAATTGGAACAACTAATTTGTGCAAAATTGTATCATATATGTGATCTAGCTATGTCAATTCTCAGGATTTAAATTGTAGATCGAATATATTTCTGTGACTTTAGAAATGAAACTTTCAAAAATCATACTTTGAAATATGGGTCCTATAGTTTAAAATATATTTGTTAAATGTACAGTATGTTGTTCTTACAGAACTAAATTGTGCAGCACCTTTTATAATAGTGTGGATTGTATTTAATGCAATTTCTGACCAATTTGAGTTATGATTCACATGGAAGATTTCTTAAAAATATCCAAGAATTTAATTCCCCTTCTGCAAATTGTTGCAAATTGTTTTATTTACATTGTTTATATCTTTTATGTGTGACAGAGTAAGACATCAAGAGACATTTGGTAACAGAAGTCATATAAAACATTCAGAAAACTGAAAATGACTGACATTTAGAACTACCCTGTATTTCTGAACTGGCAGATAAGTGTCAATAATCTTAACAGAGTTTGCAAATCCATATAATTATCATACTAGCAGAAATATGAATGTTTAGCTAAATGGTTTGTATTTTTCCCTCCAAAGCCATCAAATGTTTTTGTAACAATGCTTTCCAAAAGAAAAAAAAAATCCAACTTAACCCAAATCTACCAAGTGTGCAGAACTAAATACATCATAATCAATGTAAGTATAAACGGTAAATAAAAATATTAATCATTTCTACATTCACTACTCTGTAACAAAAATATAAAGGACTAGCTACATATAAACTTCTGAGCTTACAACAATGTCATTTAAATATCTTAATATGATCATAATTCACAATGGTTCAAATCTGACAAAAATATAAAAGAATATAATATAAAGGAAAACATTAACTTTTTCCTTCAAGTAGGAGTACAGCTAGATTTTCCTACATTCCAAGCAATATTAACTGTATATAGACTGAACTTCAAAAGCACAATAATTTTTATGGGGACGGTATTAAGCTACATTTCAGCTTCTGCGCTCCAACATTGGATTAAATGACAGTTTTCAAAGTAAAGAAGATTAGCTTTATGATTTTCCAATAATTACACCTGTGACAAACATGACAGACTGAGATCATTGAGATAAGTGTGGAATTCCCTCAAGTAATTTTAATATGAGGAATTCAGTCAAGTGATTTTCATTCCTTGTGGCTTTAAAATGCTTAAATTTAATGGATGTAATGAATTACATATATATGAAAAGAAGCAAAATTTGCCCATTTCAGGCATTTTACCAGTACATGTATTTCATTTTTCTTGCTTCAAAAACAATTAAAGCCCTTGGAAAATAAGGTACACTCAAGTCAAAATTAATCTATTAAAGATAGACATGTAATAATTAACTAATATAGTTTTTTATGGTAAATAGTTCTGAAAGCAGAATAAGAACACAGGTACAATTTATTTATAACAAGATAAAAAGATCAGCGAAATCATTGACCAAGACTGTCAGGGATAGACATTAACGTTCAAGTCCTTTTCTTATATGGGGACAAGTGAACTCAAATTTTGACTTATTTGAAAGACCTTGATTGTCCCAAAATTAAAAGTTAAAGCAAAATTTTACTGCAAGTTTTTAGGGAACAAAAATGCCTTCTATTTGGCAAGTTCAGTTACCTGTTGAAAATTTGATGTATTTTGCTTTAAATGAATTTTTGGTGCACTTTCAAGTCCAGCCCCAGACAAACAGACTTACAAGCTTACATTTAATTCATACGACCATATTCACATAAAGAAAAAGAAGCCTCCTTTATTTCATTTTTTTACATAATTTGGGTCTTTTAAATTTATGTTCCCCCTTGAATACTTGAACAGAGATGACTTCAAAGCCATGAAAAGTATTACTGAATGGACATTGATATGGGACTTTCTATAGACCAAGAGATTCAAAATGCAAAATCAATTTTCTGTTCCATACAGACATAAAGTTTTCAATTTATTATTTAATTTACAAACTAATGTAAGATAAAGGTCATCATTATTCACTACCCTGATTTAACAAGTATGCTAGTAATTTCACTCGCTCAAACCGAGATACTTGCCCCAGCAGATTGAACATCTGTTCATAACTATCCCTGACAGTTGTTAAACATTTACATTTATTTTATTATGTCATCAATATTGCACCAAGAAATGTTCTGTTTTACTTCACAATATCATATACCCTGACATACATTTTATTGTCACAAAATGAGATGTATAACAGATTGACATCAAGGTTCATCTCTATAACATTTACCTGTCATGTTAATTAAACAGAGAGAAAAGAAATGGAGGATGCAATGTCTCTCCCCCTTTACATAAAGCACATTGGAACAGTCACACTTTTAATGCCCTTGAACACCGATGTTGAGCAAAAAGGACCCAAACTTACATGTAATAATTAATTATAAACTAAAACAGAATAACAGGTCATATAGCACTTCAACAAAAAAGACTTTCATACAATATTTCTATAAATAAAAGACCTTGGTTCTATTGGGGACATGGCATAATTGGTATGCTTAAGAAACCCCAATGGACCTTCTACTACAGCCTCAAACAACCAAACTATCCAGTACATTCATTTGAACATTCTAAAATATCAAAAATCTCAGTTAGAATCCATCACAGACTGGTAGTTTTCTCTTAACAGTTAAGAAACAACCTTATTTATAAATCTATAAATCTAGTTCCTAAGTTCTACTTTATATAAAATCTATTATACATCTAATGGTATGTTTTTCATAAACACAATACAATTATAGGCACTATTTGTAAGCATTAATATTTGCACAATATAATTTTATATTCAAAATAACACTAAACTTAAATTAAACAACAGTTTACCATTGTGAAATTAAGATGTATGGACACACATGCATTATAAAATGTTACCAAAAAACTTACGGGACTTTGAGATAATAGGCAATAAAAAAAAAGAAAGAAAATGAATGAAGAAATAAGTGATTTAGAGAAAATCTTTGCAGGAATTGTTCATTAACTTGTATACATTTACCGCTTCTGAAGGGGATTATAAAATCTGATAATTTTTGTAAGTGCTTGCTTACATGTGTGAATTAAAATACCTATCTTTCAGAGCTAGGCCCTTTCCTTTCAGTAAAAGGAATTAATAGTATTGTGGTTTAAATATATGCTGTACTTAAATCAACTTTCTCTTTTAACCCTACATATAGTTTCATGATGGTGGGGGATTGGAAAAGTATATTGCCACAATAAAGTCTTCATTTCTTCATCTTACAATCACTAAAATAACCTGAATGAAAAATACAACCCCCCCCCACTTCCTCCAACCCCTCAAAAAAAGCAGTAAAAAATAGTCCTGAAAGAAAGTTGATTTGCAGCATAGAATAATTAAAGTTGTAATATTGAACTTATTTTGGATTTCAAATTAATATATCATAAATTATACAAAAAAAGGGTCATACATCATGCTACGTAATTTGTATACTATATATATTTAAATATTTCTGTTCAAAGGAAATAGCTAATACTAATATATGTCCTCAAAACAAAAATATCTTTAAATCACAAACCTTTAAATAATTATTCTAAAATCAAAAAATTTTGAGTCTTAAATAATTGAAAAACCACCTGTTAAAGAAGCACCTTGAGAATGTGGACTGCTCAATAATAAATAAATAAAATATTGGCAGGTCTATAATTCATATCACAAAGCACATTATGGCCTGATTTCTATACATTGCAATGCAAGGTTTTCATAAAAGAGAAAAGAAAAATAGCGATTTATATAATAAATATAAGCAATTAGATATTAATTAGTTTTCCGTAATCTTGCTCTTGGAGTTACGCCATTCCCATTCATGGATGCCTGTTTATACTTTCCATTGCCATTTCTAACACCATTTGTTTCTTTTTTCTCCTCTAATAACACATCGTTTTTAACATCTCTGTAGATGAAGAATTTCCAGAAAGTAAAAAATAGAAGTCCTAGGGCACCTGCTATCCAGAACAGTGCAATGTGCTGGGGGAGGGGCTTACTGATGGTCTCCCAGTCAAACTTGACCACAATAAGGAATTCTGTGATGATTATCATCGCGATTAACCAGGATTGACGTCCAAACTTCTTACAGGACCTGTAATACATAGTAAAGTTCATAATATCTAGACCCAAACACCACTAGTGATCCAATCTGATTAATTCCGATTGTCGCTGTACAGCAACTATCAGAATTTTGGAGCATAACAAAGATCTTGATTTCAATCAGATTGCTAGTGATCTCTCAAAGAAGTTAAAATCACAGATAACCTTACAGCAAATAGATTTAATTTAACTAAATACCAATTAAAATGAGAATAACTTTGTATACTTCATTTAAGAAGTCACTATCTGACTTACGGATCATCTAGGTATTGGAATGTCTCTCTCATGGCTGCCGCCCCCATGAACAGGAAGAATGCCAGGCGAGTCAGATTGAGGTAGTGTTCTGGAGGAAGCCATAAAACAAACTTCAGATAAAACGTGTTCAGCTCCGCCACAAGAAACTGAAAGTAGATAAAGACAAAACTCAATTCCATGTAAAGCTTGATCAGAGAGTAATATTACACTTTATCAATCAGCAGAATTTCACTAAAACTATCCAATCCATTTTTTTTTAAAACTAACTCTCATGATCTCATCTACTGTATCATTTATGGCTACACAATCTGGAGTCTATACATGTAATATTTCCATTTTTTTTTCTGTGATAACTCTTTGAAAGTAAGCAGAGTTGATATCTTGATAATTCTACTGGAATGTAAATTAGGCAGATTGATAGGTCATGAGCTAAGGAGGCCTAATATGCATACAAATCTTGTGCACATCTGCCTCTAAGTCTGTCATTAAGGAAGCCAATTAAATCTTGTCTTTGTGTTTGATGTCAGTGGGTGAGGAGTAATTTAAATCTATCTCTACATTTTTTAAAATCTAAATTTACAATTTTATTTTACAATGATATGGAAATATAATGAATCACTGCCTAGTTAGTAAAGTATGCCAGAACATCAACGATAGTGGGAAACATGGAATAATTTATGCAAAACGGGATTCGCCCATTATGCAAATTATCCCAGGTTTCCCACTATCGTTGATGCCCTGGCATACTATACTAACTAGACAGTGATTCCTTAAATCATTCCAAAGAAATTTTCCTTTGCAACATGCATATACAGATGATAAGATATTATTTTCTCTTTTCCATATCACACCCTGTATCAGCCTTCGGCCAATATTAGCCCTAGGGCATCAGCTCTCTGGCTGCTGTGTCTTCAGCTGACACAGAGTATGATATGGAAAAGGGTAATATATATTATTCTGTGTATAGAACTCCCTATAATGGTATAAAGTAGTAATACTTACAATAGCTATAACACCTAACATACACAGCCATCGTCTGAGACTGGACAGAGGCCGCCAGTCAAAGTCTGTCCAGCTATACGGGGTGAACTGGAGGGCTATTCTCTTCATCTTACCCCTATAATACAAGTCAATCTCATCCTATTGATCAATTGCTCCAAAAAATGAAAGTTCTTCCATCATCTTGTACTTGATATCTATCATTACCCATTGTCACTTGTGTTTACCTGTATGAAGGTATGTTCCACATGCCCCTCCAATGATAGGGCTTCATTGATAAATAATTCAATGTTTTCATCCCCAAGTATATTCCTAGTCCATTACACACAATGGCATCCATTATCCACTGAAAATTGAAAGATTCGTTGAAAAAAATGCTGTTACTTAAACAATAAAATGCTTTTCTTTGGTTGTTAGTATGGGAATGAATGTCGCAGCTGTTGCAGAAAAAATAAGTGGGTTTTGTAAATTTTTTCTGCAATAGCTGCGACATTCATTCCCACTAACAACCAAAGAAAGACATTTTATTGTTTATATTTATATCTGTTTAAATAATCATTTCAAGTGAGATTAAAAAGATTAATTAATGTATTAATGATGCGAACGTCTTTGTATGTTTCATTGATGGAACGGCCACTGATCAAGAAATCTGTACAGGTGACATGCCAAGTGTAGTTCATGCACTGATTTACGCAATGGGTTTTCTTAAGAAATAAAGGAGGAAATATTCAGTGGATGTAAATATAAAGTTATAAAGGCTTCTCTTTGATATATTGGATTTAGATAAGAGAAGATTTGGATTTATGACATGGATATATATCAGAATACATGTTAATTTACAGTTTGTCAAAATTACTAGATACCTAGATAACACTGACATGTGGGATTGCATATACCCTAAAAATGAAGGGCAATCTATGATTTGAATATCATTGTTAGTATCACTTAAAGGCCGAAGTTTTCAACCGTACGGTTTTCCTCAGGTAAGTTTGGTGTGGGGTGGAGCTTAAATATATACACAGGATGTTACCTGAGTGTATAAATCAATTTCTTTCTTTTAAAATAATTGATATTTATAATAATTCGACATTTTTTATAAACAGTGTGTTTTTTAATGAAGTGCTATAACGAAAATACATTTAGCACCAAAATCTGTCGTTGTAATCTGGCGACAAAAAGGGAAGTAATTCAAATTACACGTCGTCTATGAAAGTGATATATTTTGAGAATAAAATGTTGATTTTTGTCTTAATAAATATCTTTTTAAGATAAGAGAACAGCTATTGGAATCATTTGCATTTTATTCCTTTCGACATGGAATTTCAAACATTATACAAAGTAAGATGTTATATTCCAGAATTTCTCATGTTCATAATTTATAAATATAAATTCGCTTGACTCATGAACAATGTTACAATTTGTCATACTTGTTTTAAAAAAAATAATTTTATGATACAAAATTTTAACTCATGTTTTGACACAGAAATTAAAATTATCGATTGTAATCGTGATATGAAATCCTCCCTTTTAAAATTAAATTTACAATATATATTATACAGCCATGATTTTTCGTGTCATTTATTTATTTGATAGATTGATTATATTTATGGCATATTCTTATGAATTTAAAAAGAAAACAACGATTTGATTGCTTCTTTATCAAATTAAAAGAAGGGCAATCTACAAAAGATATACACAACAGCAGCAAACTAAATCAATCAAATTGAATTTCATGATGTTAGGTAAATTTTAAGGAGGTGCACTTAAGTTTACAGTCAAAATCAATAAATTTTACAGTCAAGATCACACAATTTTACAGTAAAAATGATTAGATTTTGCACTGCAGTGAATGTTGATCTACAATGTATTAATCTTTAAACTTATAATGACATAATTTCAAAATTTAAATGACAAAGACATAATTTTTTTACAATGTTTAAATGACAAAGTAAAAGGAGTAATCACAGATATTTCGATTTTTAGTAATAATGGCAACACTGTTCATCAAAATCAAAAACTGATGCACTATTTAATGTATCTTAGTGTAGTCTACTTGTGTGCCAAGTTATATTGAAATCAGACCAAAATTGTAGGAGGAGTAGCATTTTGAGAAGACAACGGACAGCTAGACAGACAGATGGATGGACAAATGAAGCTCTTCTGGTCTCTGAGATATTCATTTTACAATTTACAGTAATGTGGTGTCTGACTTACATGATCCCACCAACACTCGCTGAAGTTTGGCAGCTGGTGTTCTAAGGTGTACTCCAATACTTCAAACATAATACTGAGGACCGTGCAAAGCCACCAGTCTCTTAGGATCAGTGTCTGTGAAAACGAGGAAATTCACATACAAAACAGTTAAAGTGTCAGACCCTCAAAAGCTAAAATAAATCATTAATAAATGAAAGACCCGTGGACCATGATGTTGACCTGAGTAACTTTTGAATATTGAATACATGTTATGAATATTGAAAGGAAAATGAATATTTAAAATATCGAACATCAATTCCTTCAATAATTTTTATTTTTTATGTGTGCAAAGTAAGTTACAGAAAAACAGCCTTGTTAATTTTAAAAACATAATAATAATACATCCAAATTTAATTTTTGTTGTTTTCTAAATGATATCTCAATGCTCTTCTCTGTTTTATTTGAAAAGATTATTAACTCTCTCCTGTGTTTTCTCTTTGCTGCTATTGAAGGGCTGATTTTTTTTCTGCAATGTTTAACCTTGGCCAATCAGAAAGCTGGGAAATGTTCAGTCACATAAAATTAAATAAAATACATTATCAGAAAATATATAAATATATTGAATCTTACCTTAAACCACCATCCAAAGAAGTGAGTGGGAACAAATCCATCCAATTTATCCTAAAATAATAAATCAAAGCTCACCAAAAACAATGTGCAATAGTTTGAGGATAAGGGTGACCCACGAAATCTACGGTATAAACATCGGTCCCCCACAAACCATGTAGATTCCATAGTAACCCTTGAGACTTTCATTCATTTTAACCCTTTATTTGACGTACCCAGAGGTTATGCCATGGGTCTGTGGCATTAGCATCAAAGAATAAACAGTTTCCACCATATGCCTTCTCTGGAAGTTTGACTCCAAGACTGGAATCAAAGTGCTTCATCATGGCCCTGGCATCAGAAACATTCTACAGATAAATGTAAAATGAATAAACAAGCCATTTCAAAATCTACTCAGATAAAATACTTTTGATTTCCTAGACAATGTCTAACTACCAGGAAAGATAAAACCTTCAATCCAAAAAGTAAAATTAATTAAATTCACAAACGTCAATTTACAGACCCTTTCACTGCATATGTATACAAACCAAATATTTGCTGTGTTAGCTATATTTATATTATTCACCAAACCTTTTCTGTGTATTACTGAAACATGTTTCTTTTAATTCAATATTTTTTAATTAAGATACTGTTAAGAAAACTGAACAGAAATTGCACTAGGTGCTGATTACTGCCCTTGATTAAATATAATGATTACATTTACACAATGTTCATATGTCCCCTCCTGCCAATAAAATACATTGTGAATCACTTTTTATTCGCGAGAACAAGAGAACTTTATTTTAATTCACATAATTATGCATGATAGTCTGGTCACCAAATTTTCATTTTTCTGTATACATGTATTTTTTCTGGCATGGGATATATATTGCTTCAACCAGAAAATTTTGTCTTGCAGATAAATACCAAATACCAGTACATATTTCACCACATTTGGTGATCTACAGTATGTCACGAAACTATGATAAGAAAGGTGTTTGAAGAAAATAGATAATTAAGGATTGCTCTAATAAACTGATTAAGTAGACTGTGATTGAGAAAAAAATTAAACAAAGGTGAAAAGTGATTACCTGGAATAAAAGCCAAACCAGTCCCAGTTCATATACTACACTCATGCACATTACAAGTCTCCAAAAGGCTGTAAATCAGGAGAAAATTAATCTAAGGTGAGGCACAATATAATAATACAAACTCTAAAATAACAACATGCCGTCTGGTGATTCCAACTTGTACGTTATAGCATTATACATGTAGAAATAAGACTCTGATACATCTGATACAACCTGTGATTATATTTTGGTAAGTTAGGTAAGTACTATAAATAGAGATTTTTTTCTTACATTCTTTCTTGTGTTTATCCAAACATATTGAAACCATACAATAAGATAAGATAAGATAAGATTTATTAATACCAATATGGGGCCCATCAGGGCATACAAGTAAAGAGAAAAACATACAAGAAGAAGTTCAAAATTGATAGTAGTAACTAACAAAAGATTAATGATGATACAGCAGTTGGGGATTACAACATATATAATCGATATACTGTACATATAAGGCTTTTTTTACTAGAGTATAAACATTATTACTCTTTTGCATTTATTTGTTTCTTTTTTTAACATTGCATAATTCGCTATTTCTTATTTTAAAGATATTGATTGAAAAATTACCCAGCTTGATAAGCAACATGTCATTTTTGTTAGACATAATCCATAAAATTTTTCTTTATTTGTTAAAGTATGGAAATTTTTATTACTTTTAGCAATAATCTTAAAAAAGTCAACTTTATCATGTTTATATAATATACATTCAATCAGTGAGTGGATCTCATCTTCCACACAGTTCATGTCACACATTCTACAAATTCTTTCATTTCTTGCAAGGGTGGTTATGTGAACTTACTCTAAATTTGCATATAATTTTTCTTTGTTCAAAATTTTTTTAATAATAAATACTTTTCAATTTCAAAACTTCTTTTTATATAGAAATATGTTGTAAGTTTACCCGATAGACAACCATCATCTCTTTTTTTTTAACCAATATTGAAGGCAATCCCCTCTAATAATTTTTTCAGTTGTTTCTTTAAAGTTATTAGTTTCATTGATTTACATCTTGACCAATCTATGGCTATGCCCATTTTTTTCTCTACAGAAATATGTTACATTTGAAAACCAACTATTTACATTACAACTGTCCAAGATAATTTTTTCTTTGTATACATTGTATAACAAAGAGTTTTCAGGCATGTTTTTCAGTCTGTGCCAGTAAGATATAACTGCTATAATAATTGAATAAAATATTGGTTGTCTACCCTGTTCAGATAGAACTGCAATATTTACACTTCTTTTCCCTGACCCTATAATAAATTTGCAAAATTTCATATGAAGATTTTCAATCTCCCAATTGTAAACATTTTACAATATTTAGTTTTATGCATAGCAAACCCTTCTTGCTGTATTTCATTAAAAAACTGGTTCATGTAATAATAACACAGGAATACAGTTAGGTTTAATCATTTCCTCACACTTTCAAAGAGATATACACCAATACAGATATTTTATATGGATTATAATTATACACTTATGTTTCAAGGGAAGTTTGAAATCAAGGACACTTTTCTAATTGTACATGAAAAACACTCCCTCCCTTATCACTTAAGAAAAACACGACATTGTTCCCTCTCACTTCCTTCCCCAAGTAGACAGCAAACATGTACATTTTTTTAGTCAATTTACAACCAAAACCCAAGGAAATAGTAATTAATTTTCTTTAACCATACTCATAACAGAAACATTAAAAAACAGAGAATTGCATCTACATTAATTTTAGATTTGATCTGGGAGTCCTATAATTTTCTTTTTTCAAATCTCATGCAATTCAAATCACAAAAATCTTTTCATTAATGAAGAAAAACCTTTTAATGTATACTAATAAGCAATGCAGAAAGTTATATTTCAGAAAGTTTCATTATTTAATACAAAGGAGAAATCTGAAACAGCAATAGGTGACCTGGTCAGCCATATCTGATATAATTATATTGCCATCTTCCCATCATCCGTTTCTTCAATTTGCTTTGTTTGTTTTTAACAACAAATGCAGCGTTTTAAATACAAATCTTACACCCATAACTCATATAAGTGATATTAATTTAAGACTGAAATACACAACCACTCTTTCCCTTGCAGAGTTGCTTTTCATTCCTATCCCAGACTCCTTGGCAATGGGCTCACATCAAAGGTTTTCAATATTAAGTGTTAAGCATGACATTTCAAGGATAATTTCAAATTATATATAACTTCTAGTTTTAGATCTATTCAGTAAATATTCATCATAAAGGACAAACATTTAAGCACAAATATTTGATTAAAATGAATAATTACATCAATACAATTTAACACTGTCACAGTGATGACGTATACCAGCCAGTGACAGAGGTGATTTTATGAGCCAATGGTAGAGAGACACAACTTATAAAGAGAACAATGCCAGGAAAGGCACATCATTTAGCAGATAAACACCATAATGGCAGAGTTGCCCATCTTTGTCATTTACAGTTGTCTTTGTTTATAATTAGGCCAACATGCATAAAAAGTGTGCCTACAAACTGAAACTCTAAAACTGTTAAAAGATAATGTAAAGGTGAATCTTCTGATCTAGATTTCTACCTGGGTGTGGTCTCCTAAATACACCATCTGGGGTCTGTGTCACTCCAAAGAGCAAAAAGGTCAGAACCATGGCAACAATACCCCTGAAAATTCAATAATAATACCTGATATATTAAATATCTTAATCAAATACAAATGGGTTTGATATATATCAGAATTTGTGTCTTAGTTGATTCCATTCACAAAATAAAATATATATGTCAAAATCCCACCATTACAACTAAATATAAATTAACATGACATGTTATGCCATGCAAAGTTAATTCCTTGGTTCTCAGGCCTTTTTTTTAAAAGAAATATGATGAGGAAGGCAGACATTTTTTTTTCCACTTTTTTATCGTCCCCAAAACATAATGAGACAGCTTTTTACATTGTACAAAACCTCAAATAATGATTAGGGAGGTGATGTGTTGTTTTTTTTAAATTGATTTAGCAATAAAAAGGATCAATGAGGCACCCTTGGAAGAGATGAGGGAGGGCCTGAGAGCCAAGAAATTAATTTTTTATGGCCTAGGCTTACAATAAACTTAAAGATCCCAATTTAACATCTTATAAAATAACTTATCTTATAGAAGTCATAAATTAATGTCAAGCTTGAGTTTTTAAAATATTACACATTTTAGTTCTAGACATTTGTGTTCTCACTTAAATATACCTGGCTGACCATTGCTGTCTTTATATAACAGTGAACGACCTGAACTGACCTTTTGTTGTTGTACTCAGCATCATATGTGTCTTCTTCAAACAGCGTAACATACACCAGGATACAGCTGAACACCACAAGGACAGTGATTGTATGTGCCCGCCTGTAAAGAAGTACTTAGAGCTATATATTATAATGCCAAACTGTAACAGAATACACACTGCTAAATACAATGTACCACAAGGACAGTGATTGTATGTGCCCACCTGTAAAAGAGTACTTAGAGCTATATATTATATATGCCAGACTATAATAGAATACATACAGCTATAAACACCACAAGGATATAACTACAGAATTAGGGAGTGAAAGCTAGTTCATTGACCAATGCTGGAAAGTGGAAAAATTCTCCTAAAAAAGTGTGCAGAAAGTCTTGCAACAAAAATTGCACTGTAATTGAATTAAGGATCTGTAGCATTATAGTCAAAGACTTATGTATAAAACCATAACGCTACATTTCTGCAGCTACACGAAGACAGTGACTGTGTCTGCCCACCTGTAATAGAGTAAAAGTACCATGAATTAAACTAACATAGATCTGGTCATCAGTTAGCTAAAAACTGACAGTGATGGTAATTTTAGCAAGACGTTCTACAAAACTTAAGGTCACATGAAAAAGAAAAACATATTACAAGGGTGAAGACTATACACATTGCATTAGGCTTTTCTCCTTAATTCTCAGGTGTAGAAAACATAGGATAAAGGTTTACCATTCTTCAACTAATATGTACAATTTTATTTTTTTTTTTAATGCTTCAGGTTTTCCAAAAGAAATCTTAGGCCTAAAATAAAATCTTGTTTGTTTGCAGTTGCCTACAGACTCACTGAAAATGCACCCGTCAGACCCAAACATCTTTCAGCTACAGTAAATGTATTATATTGGCATGCAATATGTTTGGTGGAAATTTATTTTCAATAAGATAGTGTATATTAGATTTAGTGCTATCTGAATGTGCTAGATATGATATACAAGACATTTAATGATGTACTTGATTTAGCAAACCCTGCTTACTGCCAAAATCACTAACTAGAATACACCTAAATGTAATATGTTTACCATGATATTTTGTATTATTTTTTGTTTTACTTTCAAACTTTCAGGATATTGACACTGTTTAATTTGGTATTTTTGACTTTTGTTTTATCAACCAGTAGCTTATAACAAGTGGAGCTTATATCTTTATACCTACCTACTTACCCATTCTTAATACTTAGTATCAAAATTCAGCAACTGCAACCAAAGAGTTTTTTAAGCTTGGCCTAATTTATAATTTAATAAATGCATCGGTGTCCAGTGTCCACATGCAAGTAATGAAGATTCTCAAAGATAATTGTGAAATTTATGCAGAGAAATTCCTGGATGTAAAGAATCTATGGTATTAACCTGATGATAGTTTCCATGATTAGTTACTGACATAGTCAAAATAATTGATGGTTTTGTACTGTGGTACTTAAAATTGGTCATATAAAGAATATTATAAAATACACTGAAGTAACACTATAGGCTGGAAAAATATTGGGGTGGGGTGGGAGGTGGGGTGTATTTAAATTGGCGAGGTCCTTAATAAATTTACTGGACCTGGATGCAATTCCCTGTTTATTATTTATCAAAACATCTATACCGTAAATCTGGAAATTTTTACGTCGATTTTATTTTGCGAATCTGGGTCAAAATGCTGTTGATTAATTTTTACGTTTCAAAATTTTGCGAATGACCACTACTTTGTTTACATTTTCTTTTTGTTGAATTATTTTTAAGAAAAATATTTTTGCGAATGCAATGAACTCGCAAATTTGCTAAAAATTTATCTACAGCAAAAATTTCCAGATTTACGGTAATGTGTTAAATGTATCATATTATTTGAGATACTGACAGGAACAATATAGGAGATAACACATATAAGAACATGCTAACACTGTATGTAACACATCGGGGTATAGAGTCATATCAGAAGTCTGACATTGTACATATCACACGGGGGTATAGTGTAGTGTCAGAAGTCCAGGTCCTTGATAGAGTAAATAAAATCAATGGAAAATTTCACACACATACACTGATGACAAAATTTTCCAACATTGTATTTTCTGTATCAGGATATTTATACTGATATCTTATCTGTGTTGATGAGCCCTTGTTCCCGATTTACTTTAGGAAAACTTTTAGGCTGTATAATACCAGGTATTGTATTTGCTTTGTTGGGGAATTTTTTTAAATCATTGGTTATCTGGTTATATAAGACCAGGGTCAGTACAAAGATTGTCAAACTGAATGGATCTAGTTTTAATAAAAGCAAATAATTTATTCCAATAAAATCTATTTTGCATATTACATTTATTTTCTTAAAGCTTTAAAGTGTAGACAATTAACATCTTAATGTTTTAACTGTTTAATCAACGCATATACCCTCAGTAAACAGAACCTACATAATAAAACAAATGGAACATTTAATTTTCTTTTAAATGTGGAATACATAATCAAAACTCCTTAAATGTATTTTCCCCAATCTTCAATTAATAAATCCTTATACTGTTATTTATAATTACCAGAAGAAGGACATGGTGCCATCATCCTGGATATCTTTAAACTTGTTTTTTTCCTCCTCCCAGTTGTGAGCTGTGGTACTATGTAGCCTCAGGATGTGGTCTGGTGTGTTCCTCGCTGCAGCCATGATGACCAGCGTACAGCTGACCCCCCAGTCTTATCCTCCTTACCTGTTAAAGATACAACACTTCCTTATTCAATGGACGATTTACATGTAATCCAACAGTTCTACCCCCCAACAAACTTTTAAGATTACCACAATAATTACAACCTTAACTTATAAATTAAGGAACATCACTGTATTGAATAAAATGTCACAGGGTGAATTATAATTAATTACCGTAATATGACTAATTATCATTTTGATATATTTTTATAAGGCATTATATTATTACAGTACCTAGTAAATTTCGTAGTCACTACAGAATTTACTACGTTCATTCACTGCCTTATTCACTGAATGATTCATTCATTCATTTATACAGGCGAGTGGTCAGTGTGAGTCTACGAGCGTGTGATTGCATGGTCAAACAGGTTTTTCTCTGTCCCCTGCGCATCTGCACCTATACTAATTCCCAAGCACTCAAACTTAAATGTTGGGGAGAGAAGACAATCTCTCTCCCCAGCACAAATTATATCTTAGAATTATTGTGGGCTGTGATTTATGGTCACTATTTTTCTGTTTAACATAGAATATTAAGATATGGAACCCAGCAGCCGTGTTGTGTTTTTATTTCTTCAATACTTAAGGCTGGACAATAGCGTCCAACATGGGGCTTTTGATAATGAATTGATTAAGAATTACATGCATAGATGATAGTATAAAATTAATTTTTTTCTCCTTTGACTGTAATTAAAAATATTTCTCTTCATCAGGCCAAAATATTCCAATGCATTTATCATCTTTACACTCCCTTCCTTGGTCAGCAGGTAAAAAATTATACAATATGTTTAGGCAAAGACAAATCAGAAATACACTGCAATAAACAGTTATTTTAGAATGCTAGTGATGATATAGGGGTCTAATTTTTTTTCTTCATACTGAAAAAAAAATGAAATATATATTTGTTTAAAATCAGAAGTCAAAAAGTATCACTATCAGTCTGCGATACAGAGGAAAAAAACAAACCAAAAAAATGCATGATGTTTACACTGGGAAAAATTTACAATGTAACTTTTAAAAAAAGTTCAAAATGAACGAATTTTTATGGAATTTGTTATTCGAATGTAATGTTGGAATATTTTTATTTCCAGTGTACATGCTCTACTTTTGAAGAAATTATTATGAAAGAAATAATCACAGATTATTTTGGTTTGTGGTAATTCTTCTAACTCAATTTTTCCAAGTGTTAACTGTACCTTCACTCTCAGTGTTTAAGTTTGATGGACCTCTAACATAACTGTGATCTAATTTGTTGTTCCCAATAGTCATTGGCAGATCAATAATAGTTATTAGTGTGTCATGGCAGTTGCTACCTGTACGGCAAACTGTTTACAGACAAGCAACAAACTTGTCAACAGATTTTAATCTCAATATTAAGAAACCGATTTCAAAAAAATCTTAATCAAAGTAATTCCTTACCTCTAAAATTTTACGCAGCTTCTTCGTTTAATCTACCGTCTGGAAACTGCGTTTGAACACATGGAGAATCTGACGAAAACAAACTCATCACGCGATAATTCAAACCGGAAGTAACATGGAAGAAAAGATAACTCGTTCAGAGAAAAATTCGTGTGCTTCTGTAAAATTTCACCTTCCAATTAATTTTAATATTACTGTCTCCAAGCCTTGAAAGAATAATTACTGAATATATTAAGAGCATAACGTTTTTTTATAAGAGTGACTGAACAATTACAGCTTCCCTTACAGTTACACACAGTCATAGAAACTTGTATTTTTCAATTTTCAAGCTATATATTGCCTGTTCTGTCTTATGTGAGATACTCAGGCAAGTTTGATCACCAGGACCTATACTCCAGCATTCTAGAAGTTCATGATCGAGATACCTTTGGCTTAACTTGTCCAGGGTATATATCAGAACTACTGTAGAGACATTGACTGGATGCTCTTACTTGTAGAGGTAATTGGGCACCTGACTGGTGATTTACGGGACTCGAGTTCAAACCTTAGATAATTTGACTCATTTTTTCTACTATCCTTTTACAAATAGTTCCATGCACATACCATGCACTGGCATCCGGCAAACCTCAGCTGATTTTGTCACCTTCATTGAAATTGTTCGATTAGATGAGGTACGAATTGGTCGAGGTGTGCCGTGTGCGGGCACTGGAAGTGAGTCTCATAATAGATGAAAACCTGCCAGCGAAGGGCCCTAGTTGGTATTATTTTGGAAGCAACGACCTCAAGAAGGGAGGAATGTAAGGGACAGACGAATTAGATTGCTAGTGACAAGATACAAAGAGGCCAAGTTGATAGCTAACACCTGACTAGTCATTAAAATTCAAATCCTGATCTAGTCATCACATTTTCTCCTGTCTGTTACAAATGCATTAAAATCAAAGATAATCAGTGATAATGACCAAAGGAACCACTGGTAGAACAAAACACATCTAAATACCTTAACTATGTCTCTATAAGCTTTATAGCATACAAATCTATCCCAGTTTAACAAATCAGACCGTTTTTGCCTTGATGTCTCCAAATTCATTTGACAAAATGTCTTCTTCCCTTTTAAGCAGCATGCAAAATAATGTGTCCTAAGATTACAAATCTGATTTAAAGTGACCTGAGCAAAATATCGGTTTGAAGACTACATTTTTCACCAGTCAGTAAAACAATATGATGATCATGACTTTACCAAGATTACATGTAACAGAATTTCATCACATTTACTCAAAATCAGATTTTGTAAAAAGATGAAATTTGCCATTCCTTACAATGATGTTGTTGGAAAGAGGACAAAATATTAAAAAATAACATTTATAGAATACGAAATTAATGACCATTTATTTAGGTTTCTCATACACATGTCAATATAAAAACAGCACTTAATGTGTTCAAATTTTACTTCAAAAATTAGAATGTACTTTTTTTCTTATGATAATTTTTCAGATTCTTTTTTGTGAATTCACAAACTGAGAATTTAAATTAACAAAAAGGATCAAAAGAAACATTAACAAATTTTCTGCCCAGCTATTGGTATATGGAAAAGTAATTCATACGAAATTGCTAAAGTTCACACGAATTAACACAAATTAAATATCTTAGTTACGTGAAATCAAGACATTAACTATCAATATTCTATACCAATACTTTAGAAAACGTTCTAACTATATAATGCAATCTTCATTTTATGCAATGCATACAAACTACAAGCCTCATTATAAGTGGATTAATAGTAATACCAAGTAAACAATGCTGCTAAAAATGCAACATGACATTATGAAAGAACAGCAAAACCTGGACACTTGACTTCAGTGCTTGCTCACATATATAAAATCCAACTGAGTACTGCCCATACTTTGCAGGGAAAAAGTCGTCCATTAATCCAAACAGAGATTACAGTTGTGGTACTTAGAAAGAATTCAAAATTACAGTGTCACCATTTTCCACATATTTTGTATATAAATTACATGTAACATTTAGGTACATTGTATATAGGGATACATATATTTCACACAAAAATATTAAAGAAAATATGAAGGATATATTGAGAAACAGGATTCTGATTTGAAGATAGACTTTAGCTATGGTATCTTCAATGAAAGCAATTGTCTCCAACTGCAACATTCTTAAAATCCACATAAACAACAAAAAATTTCACCCTGTCAGGACTTCACAAATACATGTAGGTAAACATGCTTCAAACAGAAATATATTACAGAAGGATTAAATGAAAAGTTGACAAAAATATCCATTGTACTTAAACCTGATCACACTGAAATTTCCTTCTGTCCCAGAGACAACAGAATCAACATGCTTTTCAGCAAACACCTTTGATCAGCATGATGTTCTATTTTAAAATAAGCAGCCATAGATCACATTCAGATTTCTCATTCAGACAAATACCCACTTTTGGACACATATCATAATGATTAACAAAAGCACAGAAAAGATCACAATATTTCTCCATTAACATCAGACAGTCATCATTTTAGGCATCGGTCAAAGTACAGGGACCCGATGTAGCCTCCCCTCATTGACTTTGTGACGTTCTGCTCAAATAATCGCCGGTTACTTTGAAGGACCTCAGCAGCCTCTTTGTTCAATGGATCCTCGGGATTAGGTTCCTACAAACATGTCAAAGGGAGAGAAATCAAGTACAGGATAGACTCTAAAGACCATCAGATTATAAAACAGCCAATTCTTAAAAAAATTAATTTAAATAGTTTTTCATAAGTTTTGCAAAAATAGGAAGATCCTAAAATTTCATAATTATGTTATTATAAACAAGTACTTAATGCTTTTTTTTTTAAAACAAAGACAGTTTGAGAGAGGGACATTGTGGATATAAGAAATTTGCTTCCAACATTCTAAGATGCAAAACAAGAGAGATGTTTTTCACTATAATTATGCTTTCTTTTCAAACAAATTCATAACATACCGAAACACTGTACCTGTATTTATTTTTTTTATTTTTATTTACTGAAATCAGATCATAACAACTTAACCAGTAACAAACACATTTATAATTAATCTTTTTTTTTTAAATTATGGGTTAAACAAAGATTCCTCACCAAAAATAAATACTGCAACCCATAGACAATAGAATTTATAGTTAAAACAGGCTTCCAGTCTTCTCTGCAAAAGAAAACAAAAAATTTAATGCTTTTCATACATCATTATATCAATATCTTTAAACAACAAGATGTGTTTGTTAAACACTGATGCCCCCATATGGCAGCTAATAGCGAGGGTTGAAGTTTCTCAGGTTCAAGTCAAACTCCAAAGATCAAAGTCAAAATTGTTGGTACATGTGTTCTAAGGAAGGTCTTGTTAAAAGGAATGCACCTGTGAAATATGAAAGCCCTACTCACTGCCTGTTCATAAGTTATGACCAAGGTCAAAATTTTTTAAAAAGTGGGTCAAACTTTAAGGTCAAGGTCAAAAATATTCTATATATGAATTGAAAGGTCTTGTCACAATGAATACACATGTGAAGTGAAACCAACTGGTTGTCCCACCTTACCCCCCCCCCCACCCCAAACACACACACACAAACAAAGGAGGAGCAGAAAATTTTTGAAGTATTATCTTGGCTTTGAATATTTTTTTCTTGCACATTTTGTATTTTCTATTGTAAAATAACTACATGTATTTTTCACTTATATAATTTTATAACTGTTTTACCTTAATATATTAAGACAAACATTTCCTTCTAGATCAATGTTGGGGTGATACACCATTGTTTCACATTTGACTTTAGGAGGGTCATGTGGATATCCTTGCAAAACCTTAAAACTGAACACAAATCGACCACCTCTGTAGAAACCCTGTAAAGAGAATTAAGAATTCATAATTCCAAGATCAGTAAACTTAAACTGTACCCAACCTAGAGGGCTTTGACAGTTTAATTTAAAGTACTTATTTGACTTACCTTGGTATATAGATTTGAATCTTTAAGAAAATATTCTCCTTTGAGAAGCAAACATAATGCAACCACTTTTATTTTTAAAAGTAATTTCCATAAACACCATATGATATATAAAAAAATCTAAAATTGTGGGACTTATCAAAAACTGATTAATTAAGTATCAATATATACAACCCTTCTTCGTCAAATTGTGCCATCCTGTATTAAAGAGTGCACTGCATTTAAGAATTGTTGTGAAATTCATTCTGAACCCTTTAATTTCCCAGCATTATAATACTTTAAATAATATTGTTAATAAAAAGAAAATGATAAGTTGAAAATTTATTTAAAATCCTGATTTCTAACTACCAATCTCCCAAAAGAAGTTGAAGCTGGCTAAATTATATATTTTTTATTGTTTTAATACTCTTTTTCCTGGTAATACACATGTAAAAAAGAAAATATTTTCCCTATCCTGTTAAAATATCAGGTCTACAAGAGACACCAAAATTTTTATGAAGGATTCATTTCTGAATCATTAAACATTGCTTTATGAAATGAAGAGTAAGGGTTACTTTTAAATAAATACATGGATAACAAATTCTCACTTCATCTGGTGAAATAATGAGTTTGAAGTTGAGTAGATCATCAGGGTCTGGAAAGTCGACTTGGCATGTCTTTGGTAAATTTAGTTCATTAATATCTGAAAAAAAAATTAAGCAGAAATGTATGCGTTCTTTTGTCAGTGATTTATTGTATAAAAAGAACTTTATAACAACAAGTTGGTGACTAATCTCAAAAGGGTGCAATGCACTTTTAGTAAAGAACATTAAAATGACAAGAATGCCTTAGGAGTTTGACCTTCATCCATGAGCATTCAATGGGTGGGGTATATACCTGGTATAAGCCAGAAGGAACCAGGGAGGGGGAAGGGGAGATAAAATGCTCAAGAATGATTTTTAAAATAATTCACACCACAAAGAGCTGTTCTGATCATGATTTTGACCTAAAATCTTTGCTCATGGACACTGCACAAACTGGGCCACGCGAAGAAAATAAATCTTAACAATGGTTTCTTAGATTTCTTAGGATTCTATGACCTTGACCTACAAAATATAATGATACAAGGTCAGAACACACTCTAAAGCCTTTGCACTTATGAGTAAAGTATGAGCCAGAGAGGACCAGAAATTTTTTTTTTAACTAGTCTAGATCTTTACTCCATCAAATATATATGTGGAAAACAAACAGTATTCAAGCTCAAAAGTCCATTAAAAATACAAATCAGGAAAAGAGCAAAATCAAACCTCTAAAAAATCAGAGGTTGGATCGGATGTCATGGAGGAGTGAGCATCCCCTGCCAACCGTTCACATCTGCCGTGTGCTCTTTGTCATGATCAGAAAAAAATCTGTCTACAATTCAGTGTGTAAATAATGCCTAACAATTACTACAAAAAATGCCAGTCAGAAATTAACTAAATCGCATTAACTATTTTAGGTTACTCCTCAAGTATGAGCCAGATTTAAGATTAGGCCAAGGGAATAGAAAATGTGCTCTTGGAGGAGAAAATATCCCCTGTCAACCACTCCAAAGTGATATTCAGTATGAGAACAAACCTTACAATTATTACTTCAATTGAAATTCATTCATTGGGCTCAAAATGGGTGTGACCAGTTAACAAGGAATGCTTACTCCTCTAAGGCACCTGATCCCACCTGGAATTTCCAGGGTTTAGTGTTAATGTCCTCTTCATAGTTTTGAATTGTTTATAGACTTTCTAATATCAATCCTCCCTTCTCATTATCTTCATCCTTTCCACCTGTTTAAAGTTGACATTTTATCAATTCTTTTGAAGTTTTCTTTGGACATTATAATGATCGACCTTCAAGGCTTGTTAGCACCATGGGGTCATATTTTGCCTTACTTGGTTCAAACTGGCAGGGAAGACTTAGAGCCTGGCTTGGTGGCTTGGGAAGCAAAGACCATTGAGGGAGGAATGTTGCAGTCAAATGGCTTTGATCGGTGGCCGGATAGCTCTGTTGGTAGAGCACCTGACTGGATATTTAAGGGGTCCAGAGGTTTATATCCCTTTAATCAAAGATTCCCCTGACTCAAACCCCTGCTTTTTATTATTGACATGTGCAGGGGCCAATAGATAGTTTTCAGTAGACCCAAATTAACAAGAGTTATTTCCCGTTGGCCGCCATATTGGGGGTCAACCTGGTATTTTTCCCTCCTTGTCCTACCAAATATAAGAGGGTGTAGCAGAAATATTTGGGGGAAAATCTTATGGAAAAAAATTATGAAATAAAGGAGCCTCTAACAAATATATATTTGAAAGAAAAACAATGCTTCACACCCCACAATTGTTTAAAAAGTTAAAGATGGTTGAATAATGAAGGAATATGAGCATATTTACCTTCAATATGGCGGCCAATGGGAAATAACTCTTGTTAATTTGGGTCTATTGAAAACTATTATACCATCAAATTTTTCCTTCTTTATTATCTCCTCTTGAAAAAAAGGTGTAACCTTCATTTGTCAAAAAAAAAATGAATCCCCCTTTTAATACCCAAGGATGCGCTGTGCTAAGTTTGGTTGAAATTTTGGACAGGTGGTTCTGGAGGAAACACAACATTTTGGCAAAATTAAATGACATCAGAAACAAAGACTGAAATGAACTCAAATTAATATGTCTACAAGAATGAATAGTTCAAACAAAAATCCAGAAATTTACACGATTAAAAGTAAATTTATTATTGGGTATACAAAAAATGCGCAGTGGTGATGTAATTTGTGCACTGATCACGGATGGAGTAGGGTACCACTTCTTGGTCTTTATTCATGTGTATGTTACACAGTAAAGTACCTTTCTGTATACGGAGCTGTGCTGCTGATGCCTTTTTCTGTGATCCTCTGTCCGAAGAATCGATTCCATCCTTTTTCTGTTGTTTCAAAGAAAATAATTTAATCATTGTTTTATTTTGTTGGAAAATGTTCTTATAACCGGAAACAGACAAATTACACAGAATGTTGAGCCCGAGGACTTAAAAGCTCGGTAAAACAAATCAGACACATCCATCTATTCATTTTAATTATAAACAATCACGATTACTTAAAATGATTTTGTTTTATTTAGATATAAAATAAAATTATTCATAGGAACCGTTATTGTATAAGATATTGCTGTATTTTCTTTTTTAAATTGAAGCTTTTCTTCATTATTAAAAAATCAAAGTACAGAAAGTACTGAAAAGCGTTTAACATGCTTTCATCTAAGATGTACAAAAAATGTAAAGGAAATAATGATATTAAAGTATGCTTATCTTTGTCCAATGTCATTAGAGAAGAAGCAGACATTCTGAATTTTGTAATACTCTACTAAATAGTAAAACCAATAACATTCCAGATTGATTAAAAAGTACAGCAAAACTCGGTTATGAACGAAGTCACTGGGACCCATGAAATCACTTCGCCAAGTCCGTTAATCGTTATAATCGCGGCGCGTCGATTTACCCAAATGGACCCAAATGGAACCCAAATGGACCCAAATGGAAACACAAATGGACCCAAATGGAAATCAATTGGAATATTAAATATGTATTATCGTATTTTAATACTTATTCAAAATGATGAAAATAAATGAACTTACAGTTACAAATGAATTTTTTTATTATTAATCTCTAATATTGTATTTTGAAACATGAAGTTTTCACAGTATCCTATATACCGGCAAAATTATTTGGGGGTATTTCCGTTATATAGAAACTATCAAATACTTCATTTTTGTATTCAATTATGTTCAATAGTTATAACAAATAGAATTAAATCGCATTTTTAAAAATACAATTAAAGAAATTAATGATATTAAAATATTCTCTTTTTGTTTTAATTTCATTATTTTCTATGTTTTAAATAAGTAAAAACTTGAGAATACGATATACTATATATATTTTATATTCCATTTGATTTCCAAACTGCATTTGGGTAAATCGACGCACCCTTATAATCGTATAAGAAATTAATTAATTTCATATAACTGGGAATCCAATATGATTTCGTTATATACGTAAATTCGCAATATCCGTGTTCGTACTAAACGAGTTGGGCTGTACGTGTTACAAAAACTGCATGTACAACTTACAGATACTTCAAATGTATTCAGTGTTTACATAAAAGCTTCCTTTTTTTCAAAAAAAAAATTACTTAAGTTAATAAAAGGTATGTCTAAGCTTAATACTTCGGGGGAAACATGGGAAATGATTCGTCAAAGAAAATGTAACTCGAACGAGGGATTTGCCCATGCTTTGCAGTCGGTACTGATAATCATCAGCCCCTTTAGTCAGCAATGAACCTGTCCGTCCAATGCCCAGTAGCATAATTCGGTAAAATATTTATTGTTCATAAGGGGTGCTGTATATATATAATAAATACAAATCGTTCAACTTCCAAAACTAAACTAACAATTGCTATAAATCGTGATCGCAACTTTTAGCAACGAGTTTATAATAGGGAAAAATTCCTGGTTCTTTAAGGTTAGTGTTCTGAGTATTGTTAATGCTTTGGTAAATAATGTTACTACTACAATGTATAAGGACTCGGATTAATCATGATAATAACACAATCTAATTAAAATTAGATGTTAGATCCGATCTTGCTATACTTACACTATTTTGAATTTTAAATCTACCTTTTGTTCAGAAAGTTTACGCTTAGCAATCCAAAATTCAGTAACATATTTTGTGTTTTAATTATTTCAAACTTACTACAAACTTTTAGTTTGGAAGATTGACCTACTTTTCAAAAAACCTTCTCCTTAGCTATTACTTTTTAACGGTAAGGGCTAGGGCTTTTATACTTCATATAAGTAATCCTTGTGACAAGACCTTTACTCGGATACCATCAACAAGGACCCTTTGACCTTGGAGTTTGACCTACTTTTCAAAAACTTAAACCTTGACCATAACTTTTGAATGGTTAAAGCTAGGGCTTTCATACTTCAAATATGTATTACTTGTGACAAGACCTTTCTTTAGAAACCAACATTTTTTACCCATTGACCTTTAACTAGATGTTTGATCCACTTAAAAAAAAACCTTTGTCACAACTTTTGTGCAGGTGGTACTAGGGCTTTCATATTTCACAATTGTATTTCTCGTGAAAGGGCATTAATTTGAGTACCAACATATTTGATTTGCATTTGAGAAGGTTTAACCGTCGCTATGTTGCCATACGGAGACATCAGTGTTACATATCTGTATGTTACATATAATGTAAAAATATCTTGTAATACCCACGCTTGAAAAGAGGGAGAGTATATAGCAATCGGAATGTCCGTCCGTCCGTCTGTTACGCTTAAAGGTACCCATTTCTTATCCAATGATTAAAATCTAATTTAAACAAGAGATGTTTGTTAAACACTTTATGCCCCCTCTCCCACAAATTGGAATTTTTCTTAAGTCAAAAAGGGCATAACTCTGTCAATTATGGTGCGATTGTACCCAAAACATAACTGGACCTAGAAGTACATCTGACTAATCTGTATACTAAATTCCATTTCAATATGTGCAACCTCTCCGATGAAAATGAAGTGACGTAAACTGCAAATAAATAGAGTTTTTCTAGGTCCAAGAGGCATAACTCTGTCAAAAATAGTGCAATCATACCCAAAACAGAACTTGACCTAGATGTTCATCTGACTAATCTGTATACTAAATTCCATTTCAATATGTGCAACCTCTCCAAAGAAATTGAACGGAAACTGCAAATAAATTGAATTTTTCTAAGTCAAAGGGGCATAACTCTGCCAATTATATGGTGCGATCATACCCAAAACAAAACTTGACTTAGATATTCATCTGACTAATCTGTATACTAAATTCCATTTCGATGTGTGCAACCTCTCTAAAGAAAATGAACGGAAACTGCAAATAGTTGGAATTTTTCTAAGTCCAAGGGGCATTTCTCTGTTAATTATGGCGCGATCGTACCCAAAACAGAACTTGACCTAGATATTCATCTGATATACTTGTATACCAAATTTCATTTCAGTATGTGCAACTGTTGAGAAGAAAAAGAACGGAAACTAAATGGACCGACAGACCGACCGACAGCAGCAAAGCAATATGCCCTCCCTTCTTCGAAGGGGGGCATAACATTATTTATTATGTATAAACATAACAGGATTTGAAAACACTAACAGGCACTGCCTATATGTGTATTAGTGCTCTACATAATACAAAGGTCAAGGCCATGCATATACAAGTAAATGTTAGCTAGATAACATTGAAAAATATAAATATATACATGTGCATCTTCAAAAGAAATATATATAAAAAGGCAAATTTTATAAATTATAACTGAGATGATGATATATTAATTTAAGCTTGTATTCTAACATAATTATATGACTGACAATTATGATAATAAGTGTATAAATTTGAAAATTAGTAAGAAAATAGAAAATTCAAAAGAAGAAACATTATCATGTAAATCCCTTTGTAGATGCAATAAATTCTAAAAGAAGTTTATTTTTAATTAATTTACAAGTTTAAATACTAGTATTGCAATATTTTGGTTGTAAGTGAGATTATTGTCTCCTTTTAAAATAAATTGTAGGGGTCAAAGCATCATTTGCAAAGCATTAAAGAAATTTAATGAGACTTTCACAGAATCTTTGTTATACCGGTATACTAGTACATGTAGTGCCATTGTGCAAAATTTTACTTTTTGCTCGGATACATTAATTTTAAGTTCCTTATGTTATTAACTGAGAATCTGTTGCCGAGGATAACACGCTGTACTGAAAGTCCAAACTAACCTGGAATTACTTTTACAAATTCTATATTACATAACGCCGTTGTGCAACTCCTATTTTATTTTTTGATCTGACACATAGTTCATCTTCCAGAGCAAAACATTGACTTTGATGTCCGGTATATGTATAACCGTATGGGAGGCGGGGGTATCATTTAGTGAGCACAATGCTCACAGTACCTCTAGTTTAATCAAAACTATCCCTGATATTCACAATTCCAGAATTTTATGAAGTAGCAATTACTTGGGAACTTTTTACATCAGAATGTTGTATTATAACCAGTTTTTTACATAACGTTTATAAATTATAATACAGCTGTACTAGGACTTTCTTATTTCATAATATTCCTTATAAAGAGACTTCCTTTGGGTACCAACTTATTTGACCACGACCTTTTGGAGTTTGACATTTGAGAAAATTCAACCTTCGTCATATTACAAGGAATATAAGCTACCATAAGGGTGCGTAGACCTATGTTTCACCATTTCCTTTTTTAATCAACACGGCATTAAATGCCAACATTGGGAACAGTTCACGTGTACATTTGTAGTCTCATAAAATATATTCTTCCATCACACACATGCCTCCGTCTTCGGCGTAATATCGTTGTCTGTTGAAGTACACTCCTCAAAATAACTATAGTTTCAAGACGCACAGACGACCCTAGCCTTGTACATGTTGTAAATGAACAAAACAACAAAGAATGCCACACATTTTTAATGAATTTCTGTAACGTGATAAACATGCGCAAAATGTCAACAAAACAGGTAATTCTTACCAAAAATCGTCAATTTTTTTTATTACAATCCACAAAAACATGAAATTATGCTATGCCTACATTTCACGAAGAAAGTCATGATTTAATGGCCTTGGTACTCTTCGGAACAGGAGCCTCAATACACAAAACTCCGTCTGAGGAGAGAGAGGAGGACATTTTCCCGGGGTCCACGCTTTCAGGAAGAACATAAGACCTCGTAAACTCCCTGTACACTTTTTTATCGGGTCCTGATTCCACATGTTTTGCATGTACTGTCAACTTGTTTTTATCCATCGTTTTGACGGTGATCTCCTCTGGTTTGAAGTCTCTGCAGTCGAATTTCAGGTGCAGTTTCTTGTTTCCAGCTTTGTCTTCCACGATAGGATTCTCAAGTTCCAACAGATTTTTCCCAAAATGCTGTAGGTCAAAAGGGTCGTGGTCAAACTCCCATGGGTCCAACTTGAATAATTCCTTCTGAAACTCATCAAAAACCTTATTAACCTCACTTGGGATGAGCGCTGTTTGATTAAAGGTCACGGGTATCAGAGACATCAAGTTATCCCTAGGCACCAGCGACATGATTTAGAAATTCTGCAACAACGGAAATAGATACCCTAAATTTTAAAAAAATTATTCCTCCTTTATACCCGCATGCGTAAATACTAGAAAACACCGGAAGATCTGGAAAGACAGTGAGAAATCTAGAATCAACGCGAAAATTCGAGATGTAAAAGGCATAGTCTAAAACATGGATGTGCCGAATAAGCTAATTATTTCCACAGATAGAATGGTCGCTACAGTAAACTATAGTCTGTTCGTCTGTCTGCTCCTCCATCTGTTTTGAGACTGTCACACTTTCCTGCACCAGTCTTTTTTTCTAAATCAATCTGATTTTTTTTGTTCTGTGAATGTATTTTGATGAGTTTAAAATAGAATTCAAGATTAATTCGATCTGCTTCAATGATTTTAATGAAATTGTGGCATCTTTGATTTTAAGGGATTCCGGCACATTTTTCACATTTTTTAACGCTTCCAGATAACTATATATACACATTGTATTGATCTGATTTTGGTGAGCGAGTTTCCCTTGAATTATAGATAAAGTTTTCATTTTGTTTGCGGTCGCAATTATGGGTTTTCATTACTGATTATGATCACCAGTTTTCATTACTAATATTTCATTGATCACCAAAAACAAACAAACAAAAGACTTACAGAGCGAGATTAATTTCCTACGCTCTAAGACTATTAAAAAATATTTACCCATAAATAATTAGTAAAAGAAAGCAATCAAATTAGGAAAAAATTATACTGACAATACAAATTTTCGCAAAATATATCAGTTCTTTTACTTGATGTTTCTCACAAAAAAAGGAGATTGTCCTTGCCTTGAACACTTCCATTTTATTTTATTCGCTTCAGTTTACTTCGTTTTTGAAAAAAAATTATTTTACTTTGCAAACAAAAACTTTCCTGTGAACAGGACATTAACAAACAAAAGACTTTGATTCAGAGCGAGATTAATTTCCTAAAATAAATAATCTCTAAAGAAAATAAATAATCTGACCTTGACTTATATATTTAAATATTGTGAAAATACCTTTTTATTTCCGTGTAATAAATAATTAATATTTTAGAAAAATAATATTTAAAATCAATCAAATTAGGAAAAAATGTATACAGTAGATGTGACAACACAAATTTTTCTTGTCAAAATATATTAATACAAAGTATACAGTTCTTTTACTATGATGTTTTAATATTGCCATACTTTAGTACAATAAATATTTTTGTGCAAAAAAAAAAAAACCCAAGAGATTGTCCTTGCCTTGTAATATGACTTATTAATTATGTCCATTTTATAATTTATTCGCTTCAGTTTATGACCAACATTTTTAATGTCATACTTTGAACATAATAACCAATACCACTATAATTGTCCTGGTTTTATTTTACTTTGCATTGATTTACTCCGAATTAAACTTTCCGGTGAACAGGACATTAAAATAATCCGCCTATGGTATATAAATGATTAGTCTTTTAGAATCAATCGATCAAGGTGCGCGTAAATAATCCCAAAATAAATAATCACAGGCATGAAAATAAATAATCTATCTCAAAAAAAATTTGCGACGTGGTCGTCCCCTAAGGATTTTTACTCTGCGACTTGAGGGCAGACCTCAGATATCGGTAATTTTGTAGAGACAGGGTGATGTGATCTCGTTTTTAACTCAAATTACAAGAACTTTATCTTATACTTTGCCGAGAATGTAGAAACTATCTTGTATATTAACTGCATTAACCAGTAATCTGATATAGGTATTTGCGCAGAATATTTATGTACCTATTATACGCATAAACATAAGACCAATGAACCGAACATAAAATAAAAAACAATAATCCCCCGCTCTCCAACAGAATTATCCGTTTACTCAAAATAGCACTTATAAAAGAAACATTAAAATCAGAAATTAATATAGCAGTTTATTATATTAATGTTAATGCTTCTATTCAACATCAGTTCACTTTTACAAAAAAAATTCCTGACTATGTAAAATTTATAGATTTTCAACAAGTTAATTTTAATGTATATGAAAGTAATAACAAAAATAATAATGAGTACCTAATTTACACATTTCCTTACCCAATATTGTATTATGCAAATAAATCCAAACACACATGCATATGCGTATCAAGTTACAAATATATATATCATTAAAACAATGTTTAAATCAGGAACCATCGCTGTTTTGCATCATATTACAATGCATTACAAACTACATCTGCATAATATGGAAAACTCGAGCAACTTAATTACTCACGTCAAGCAAGCTTTTTTATACTGCAGAAGACACTGAAAAATCTAGAAATACTGGAAAAAAGAATGTGGGGTGTAAGTGGCACATTGTAAAATTTGGATGGGACTTCTACAAGAAAAAATGCGTGATAGCAGCTATTGTCTATTTAAGGAGGCACATTAATCACTTTTTGATGACATACTACACAGAAAAATAAACCACCATTGTTTTGACAGTTTATCTCTGGGAACGAATTGTACAGGTACCTCTTTAATATGACCCTGACCTTTAAAAAGCTTTATAAATAGATGGAACATGCGGTGTTATTAAATGTAAAATCAAAGGAACGGATTCGTGATGCAAGAAGGATTGCTTTTAAGCAGAAACAAAAGAAAACAACAGCCAAATCTTCGCCAACCAAGTAATGTGTCATTTCATAGCGAACCAGTGAGCTCTGTCTATCACCGACATGTTTGTATGGAGGAAATTCGAGTTAAAATCTACAACCTTGTTGAAATTTAAACAAGCTAATTCAGATAATTCGTGTCCCCCGCTTAGGGAAAAAGTCAGATCCCCCTGACTGAATTTGTAGAATTATTAAATGTATACATGTATACTGAAGCAAATAAAATACATGTATGTCAATATGAATATAAAGATTTGATTGCTTACTCTTTATTATGTACATAGAGTATTCTTTTTATATGGAATATTCATCACACTGTAATGAAGATTTTAAAACCTCATAATTTTTTCTCAACTATCATTTAGTAAAAAAAAGAAAAGAAAAGTATTTTAAAAACAAACTAATTCAGAGAATTCGTGTCCCCCGCTTAGGGAAAAAGTCGGCTCCCCCTGACTGAATTTGTAGAATTATTAAATGTATACATGTATACTGAAGCAAATAAAATACATGTATGTCAATATGCATATAAAGATTTGATTGCTTATACTTTATTATGTGTATAGAAGATTTTTTTATATGGAATGTTTATCACACTTTAATGATGATTTTATAACCTCATAAATTTTTCATTTCACATGCTGAATACTATCATTTAGTAAAAAAAAAAGTATTTAAAAAAAAAGAAAAAGAAAGGATCGACCGAGATTCGATCCCGAGACCTCTCACATCAGAAGCGAGAGACATAACCACTAAACCACGGAATCGCTTTACATTCCGCGAAGTATATGCAGGACTGAAGTCACATACATGTATTTATCTCATACGTGTTGGTGATACAGGCCGTTGGATAAACTTATGCTTTATCAACGGGTAGATGCTTTATCAATAGCACTTCCGGTTTTGACACGATCCCTCGCTTCAAGACTTTATTTTATTGAAACTTTTCTTTGTGAAAATTGTTGCCCTTATAAAATGAATGATAAAGGGCAATAATATCGTTAAAAGCAAGAAAAAGACTGGTATATGTCAAAGAAGTGTTTCATTTTATCAAGGAACCCGTATTGGCTACTTGAAGACAGATGCTACCCCCCCCCCCCCTCTTAAATTGTTTTCGGAGAAGGTAAAGCATACCAGTTAAGTTGTTATAAGACTCCTTTGACATCTTCATCAATGCTTTCTTATATTATACTACGTATGCCTACCTAGTAATGTAGGTGTAACTTACCATGGATCAGCAATGAATCTAGACTTCTAGGCCCCTAGCCTTGCCTAACACGTTCTGTACTGCCATCGTAAAAAGAGTTGATTTTCACGATCCCCAGAATCCTAACAACTTTCAGTGAGAAGTTCGTTTGATGTAAAGCTCCAGCAATTGTCACATGATGTTTTCAAAGACGCAGATAGCAAAAATTCTCAATTTTGAACAGATCTACTTTCTTTCGAGGAATGTAAACATCAACCGTGCTACGTCATCAAGTTATACGTCATCAATTTGATTTTGGCAGTCATTCATGTAGTTTCGCAGGGGAAGTCTCAAAGTTTTGTTAAAACGAAAGTCGTATGAGATAAATAGAACATCTATAATTGTGTGATTTGATATTGGCTTTATCCAACTCGTTGAAATGGTGTATATTCGCTCGGCAAGCCTCGCGAATATATACACCATTTCAACTCGTTGGATAAAGCCAATATCAAATCACACAATATAGATATCCTCTATTTATTCATAGACCTAAAACGAAGGGTTCGTTTTAGGTCTATGATTTATTACACACTTAGTAATAAATACAGGTTTTTTGCATATGCGATATGGCTGACGTCACAGTAGCCGTATCAACTCTGCAGGGCTGATATGGATTTGCGGGGCTGATATCCGTATCAGCCCTGCAAATCCATATCAGCCCTGCAGGGCTGATACGGCTATTGTGACGTCAATATCACACCCTTAGTAAATTAAACCACAAAACAGTACTTGTGATCATACACAATTTTTGGTGCGTTCATATTCTCTTAACGAGGCCCGATCTAGTTGAAAATTACGAAAACGGTATGATAAAAAATTTTAATATTTGGAAATATTTTTGCATGTATTATGCTAAGAAAAATTAGAATGAAATTTTATTACCTTGCCTTCATTGTAGTCAAATGGGGGCACTGTCAAGATATGGACCTTTTCTTGTGTTTTTATACACAATGACATAGTAAAACCCTCCAATAAACAAAGAAATTGAAAATAAAAAAAAAATACATGATGAAAATTTTTGTTTTTCACATATATCATGCAATTTTCATTCTTCTTATAAAAAATGAAAAGAAAATTGAAGGTAGCCTTTATTGCAGTGAAAAGAGGGCATATCAAAACACAAAATTAGCACTTATTTTATCCAACTAGACATGAAATAAGTCGCCATGGGTGTACATAACATCAACAAACGATTGCAATACTGTATTATTTTCTAAAAAATAGATAATTCTTACATTTTGAAATAATTTTCTCTTCATGCTTTCTTTTTTTC